CTGTTGAGAGCAGCTGTCCAGGCCAGTGTGTGCACAGAGAAAAGCCAGTGTTCTGTCCGCAGCCCAACCTCATGTTCTCATGTTAGTTAATGCTATTTATTTAAAGGTTCATCCAAAAGATGCCTAACATTTTCTAAATATTCAACTTAAATGTTTGTTTCTTCTGTAAGAATTTGGAAAAACATCTCTGTGCGTAAGCCCCTTGTTTCCTTTTTTTTCCCATTAAGTACATGAAGATGTGGTGTACTATAATTTCAATGATGGTCTATTTTTAAAGCAGAGACTGAAAATATAGACACTAAATGACCTTTGCTGCCAGTTGTACCAGAGATCTTCTTCTCCCTGGTGCTTCAATTAACCTTTTCTGCCATGTTAGACAGCAGAAATAGATTTGTTGTAATCTCTCATTTCCACTCAGGAGGCAAACTAACTACTTAAATCCAATCTCTCTTCGCTTTCGATTTGTGCAACGGGGAGATGGGTGCCTCTGATTTGACATGAGGATCAGAGAGCTATACCTTAATTTCTATGATCACACACAGACACACATAAACACAGTGTGTCAGTGACAGACAAGCGTGAAGAGCATCTGAGTGACAGCATCCGGTAGCTCCGAGATAAGACGTAATCTGGTGTCAATTATTTCTCCTTGACAGGCGCAGGTAAGCAGCAATCACCTCCACTAGCATGTGCACTGAGTCAATAGTCCTGCCACCAGTGGGTGGTGAGAGGCTGATTATGAGGTGTTGAACTGAAACAAATACAAAAGACAAACAGTACGACAGGCTGAACTGATAAGGCTTGCTAGTGCTTTTCAGCATCTGATATCCACAGTGGCCTCTCTATTCTGTGTCCTAACAAAGATGTACTGGTTTCAGACATTTGAGACTCAACTAAGGAGCAGCAGTAAGTTACATAAACACATACACACACTAAATTCATGCACCCTGTCTTAACAATGATTCATAAAAATAAAAGAATCTACAGGACTATCTATCTCTTTGTAAAATTGATTTAATCCTAACCCAATTGCCTTTACTCTTATTCGTCTTTACCTACAAGGAGGAAAGTCGTAAAACAATCCTTGGTCTTGTTGAAATCACAGCTCATGGAACCATGATATGGTTGGACTTGCCCTTAAACTTATATTAGAAGGACAAAGAAGAGGTATCTCAGTCATGTAGCAGTAAATTCACAGTTGAAGACTGCCACATAAACATGGATAACACAGTAATTCCATTGTGGACGCTGGCTTGTGAATTATCTTAATTTTAATAAATTTGTCATCAGCAGTAAAACAAAACAAAAAAAAACAATTAAGTAGTAATAAAAGATGTGTAAATCCCTAATTAGTAAACACAAACAATGACATTAGAAAAGAAAAGTCAGGTTCTTCAAAGTTACTCGAATTTTCTGTAAGGAAAGTATGTGTGACGGTTTGGATTCAAATCTTAGTCAAGCATTTCAATGTATCAAAAGTTTTCCAGACAGGGTCAATGAATTTAATTACTTGGGGACACATCCTTGCACGCCTGGCTGCAGGCAAGCTTCTGCAAGGTGGGGCCACACCTATTCTTTATGAGAATGTGAACATGAGCAGATTGGGGAATTCAGACAACATGCCATGGATGCCTGGGCAGGTATGTGGGATTTTCTGCTGCCTGCTTCCTCAAACCCCCATTTTCTTTCACTCAAAAGGCACTGTTTGTAAGAAAAGGGCTAATCTCATAAAGGCATAAAAAGGAGTGGTAGCAATGTCTTGGAGGTGCATCTTTCTTCATCTCCTCACAGACACAAAACAGGGGTCACTTTGGGGGTTAGTAAGAAAACCTCAGCCTGGTGAAAAGCTTAACTAAAGGGCCCACAAAGCTGCGAAAGAGAGGCCACTGTGCAGAGGGATCCCACCACCAACGCCATACACATTCTTAGTCTCATAAAAAAAAGATTCCCCCAAACTGAAGACAGTTTGGTCCCATGGGAAGAAAATGATGATTTTTCTGTTTCCCTGTGTCTGCTAGTGATTAGTGTGACCTTTCTGGGAAACAGAGTGACATACACCAGATCCTGACACTTTTGCCCCATCATAGCAGAACCTACCGACCGGTTGTAAATTTAACAGCCATTTAACATTTTGTCAAGGTTGTGTTTTGTTTTGAAACCTTTTCCTTGGCCTCAGTGTGCATTTTCTGCCAAAGCCGCAACACACAGGAATGCTTTCATGAAGATCAATTTGCACTGACAATAGATTATACACATTTTGAGGTAGACTGTTATCTCCCTTTCCTCCTTATCCCACCATGCTGCGTTATTTCAAAGAGAGTCCGTTTTAGCCTGCGTTTTCTGTCAAAGATAACTCATCCGGTATGCTAGATTGGCATTTCAGTAACAGAGATTTAAGTATCAGGATAAATATAGTGGTGTGAATGTCTTTGATTGTGTTGTTATATTTTAGCTAAAGGCTCAACCCAGACATATAGCATCAGCAGTAGATGGATTAAGTCCCATGTATTCTTCATGTGAGTGTGTAAGTGTCGGTCGCATGTAGTCTTCCTGTTTCTACATGCACTCTACGTGCACTCTGTGTTTGCTCATGTTTTCCCCGTTACATCCCACACATACCAGCCGCAACTGTGTTAAATCTTGAAAAAGTATGGGAAAAGTGTAGTCTGATTAAGTATGTGCATGAATCATTCACTTTACACAAGTTTACACACTGGTCCGGTTTGGCATCCTAAATCTTTTTGAGGAGTGTGCAGAACTCCATAAAGAAGTGATTTATGTTTCATCTTTACTGTAATTTAAAGGTCTCTCATTGCAGTAAATTCTGAAAATTGGGCAATAAATTTGTGTTTTTAAATGGGTGTTGAATAAAGAAAATGAGTTCAAACAACAAATGGGTATAATATCTAGTTTGAGCATCTTTATTGACATGATATTCCTTTGATTTTGAAAGACAAGTACTTGGGTTGCTTCAAACAACAAAAAAAATGGTTGCAATGATCCCAAATGGAAAACCTACATGAAAAAAATAGCATGCTGTCAGACATTCAAAGCTGGTTGCACCTAATGGAAAATATGTGCTGCTGAATCTTTACTTGTAAAATAGGAGGTCATCTGTCAGTCCGCCTGTCAAGCCTCATTTGCAGTGACCTCAGTAGTGGACTTGTGGAAGCCAGTCACCACCTGCAGATTCTGTTGGCCTTTAGTAGAAGTACTGCATCACAGGTGATACACATGGGCTTCCTCTCCCATTGTCAGTTGCCACATGTTCATCCTTAGTAAAGGCTGCATTGTAATCAAACTACAAACTACATATGTGACATAACAGCCCTAATATGTGTGTTCTTGTATATAACACATATATATGTGACATTTGGATTAAAAAAACATACATGTTTTAAAGAATATATCATTCAAGACCCGTGATGAAGTCACAGCCTCCTTTATCTTTTATGAGATGCAACAGGAGTAAACTATTTCCTAATGTAGCTGTGAACAGCTGGAGGACTGAACACTGAGGCTGATATGAATGTGATCAAAATGTAAACAGGAATTTAGGATTACTCTCTGCAGTTTTTCCTGGAATCTCTCATGCAAACACACTAAAAATCCTAACCCCAGTAAGTAATCTTCTTAGTACGGAATTTTAGAAATTAAACCCTGTGATGTGACTGAATCACCACAGTACAGCGCATCAAACCATTTTTCTTGCCATGAGAGTGGGCATAGATATGTAAGTATATGTTTTTGAAGCCAACTCATGAGAATTCTAAATATGACAGCTATATCTACTTCTGTTTACCTGCAAGTGGGGATGCTGTAGCATGACAGCAGTAATTCATAGTGTCTGGGGGAGCTCAGTACAGCAGACAGCAGCTGAGAAGCTTTCTTGGAGAGGATTCATGTCAGGACTTAAGCATGTGCTATTCAGGTGCAGAGTTTCATGCTGTTTTTTTAAACTCTTTATACATAGGAGAACTTCCAGCTATCTGGCTGAGGAAAAATGTAATTGGTCTTTTTATTTTTTTATCCAAGGCCGGCGGACTTGGTAACACAGAACACTAGGAGCATTTGTCTCGTCCGATGAAACTGAAACTTGAACAGGTCCTTCAATGCACACTCTGTACAAATGGAGCAGCATAAGTGCAGGCTCATTTCCCCTAATCTCCACTTTCGCAAGCAAAGTTTGAAAAAGAGAAGGCAAAAGAGGGTTTTCTTTAACAACTAAGCAGGTATAAGGAGGGCTGCGATGAAAGATGCCTTCCATTCCCTAGATCCCCACTTATCTAACTCTCCCCGCAACCCAACCATTGCTTGTATTCACATGTACACACTGGTGTGTTGCCATGAGCAGCATGCCAGCTATCAATCTAATTACAAATTTTCCTGAAATATTCACCTGTGATGTGGGCAGTCCATATCTTTCCTCTTGTTGACTCAAACACATTGGAAGAAAATTAAGTAAAATCCTTTCCCTCACAGTTAGATACTTCTGAAAAATAGCCCTGGGTTGGGCTGGTCCTAGCAATGATATTTAAAAAAAAATGTTTTTTTTAATTAGGCCTGTCATGTGACCTCTTACACGCACCATAACCAGCAACTGTTCGGCTGATTTCTGCTGCCATTCATGCAAGACTCAATAGAGTCAATTAATGTCTTCTTTCTTTTGTCAAGCCTGTCATTAACCAGATTTAGTCTACTCATAACTCCATTAAAGCAGGATGTAATTGGGAGGGAAGAGGACCAAACAGCTTCAGTAAATTAATTTAGTAGCGTCTGATGGAAGGATTTGGGATCATTAGCATACTACCATGCCATTGACATTAACATACTGTGTGTGTATGTGTGTGTCTGAGCGCTAAAGAAAGAGCAGTTTAGTCATCTCCTGTGGCTGTCTAAGATTTGTGTTTTTCAGTTTTATTGTGTGTTAGTCTTCCAGTAATTACAGGCACAGGTGGCACAAAACCATTCATTTTTTGTTTTTCTTGTCCTTTTTACAGAGTTAAAGTCTACCGGCACTGCTCACCACTTCTCTTTTCTCCTCAACTCAACCGACTATCGGATCCTTCGCATGGATGAAGACCACGACCGCATGTATGTGGGCAGCAAAGATTATATCCTCTCTCTGGATTTGCACGACATCAACAAGGAGCCACTCATAGTAAGAATGGTTCCACGTAAACGTTAAACCGCACAAGCACAGCGTAGGTTTTCAGCTCGCCAGCTCATTGTATTGACTTTTTCCTTTGCAGATCCACTGGCCTGTTGCCCCCCAGAGGAAGACTGAATGTATCTTGTCTGGGAAAGACACTAATGTGAGTAATAGCAAACACAAACAAGAAAACATTTTTTTCATACATTAATTACTCAGCGTTGACTGAAAAATTATCACTGGCTTTTCTTTGTTTCAATTTTTTTTATTCAAATATGGCATATACTGTAGGCTGATCTGTAAGTTTAGCACTGGCTTTGGGAGGGTTGCGTAGTTAAAATTAAACTTCATAGACTAAACAATCAAGGCACAGCCATTCTGGCTGCACTGCTGTTTGCTATTTTGAGATTTGGGGCATTTTTCTGTCTCATGAGTGAAAAGCAAGTAGTTGCTTAATCTGTGTCTTGGAGCTTGGAATGAGCCTATAAATCCCATGAAAAGAAGAACGCTGTTTCAGCCCTCACTCCTTACCTTTCATTGATTTATCAATGAAAGGTCAGTGTATGAATAGCAATAGGCTTTCTTACAAAAATCATCTGGTCAGTGTTTTAATCAAACTAATTCATTTAAATATCAACGTTTCAAAAAACAAAATCACAATAAGGTTGTAAAGTAGTTGTGACCGTTCCCTATTCTCAGTGTTTTTTCCTTTTATTTGACAGACAAGTTTAGGTGAAAAGAAATAATAAAAGAGTGTGTTTTAGGTCTTTGTCTTCAGCATTTTGTCTGTTGAAATGATCACTTATCCTTTTTTGCTGGAGAACCCACTGGATATATTACAGAGGCCTCTGTGGAACAAATGATAAAATCAGGCATTGAAAGCTGTTTTTTAATCTTCATGTTTTACCATCCCATTTGAAAAAAAGATAAATCTAAAAATAAAAACAGGTTATGCCGCAACACTTTCCAGTTAAATTGAAAATGTCATTTTAGAGAGCCTGCTTTGAATGTGCTTCTTAGGGTCAGTACTTAACATCTTAGACCTCCCTCCAGTGTGCAGCTTGTTGTGAAACTCTTATTTACTGTCTTTTGCATCCCTGATTGCTGATTGTGTACAGCTGCCACCAATTAAGCACTTGAAGCAGCTCAAAACGTCTAACATTGAGTCATCCTCAACGAGCGCCGCAAGCTTGTTGTCACCTACATTTCTCATACATATTAAACAGTAGATATTTATGTTTAATTTTCTTTTAACTGAATCTTACTTTACCCTCTGTTGTCCAGACAAGCAGACAAAAAAATGAAGCTGCCAGTGGTGACGACCAGCACTTCTGAAGTGTTAATAAGATTCAGGCGTTCAAAAACAGACGCCGCCTGTTCCGCCCCCACAAGGAGGAGATGGAAACTCGTAATTGAAATTCATACGGGGGAAAAAAAACAGATCCATCTCTTTTGATTTAGTTCACACATTGAACCGCCCCGGCCTGAAAGGCACACGCAGTTGTTTCATCCGAGAGGTTTAGGGAGAGGGCTTGCAGAAGTCGTGAGCGCTGTACAAGTGATGAGCCTCGGGTTAATAGCCCTGCTCTCTCCTGCTGGTACGGAGCACATGCTGCTGTTTATCCAACTGGAATGCTCATTTATGCGTGTCTGGTGACCCGTGCTGCTCAAGACCTGCAGCTGCATTGTATTGGCCTACGTCCTTATTCCTGGGTGTATGTTTGAGCCTCTTGGGTGCGTGAGAATATGGATAGATGTGCAATAGGGGTGGTTTTGAAATTTCAAAACTGGGAAAAGAAAAGAAAATTGGCTAGTGCAGATACCTTGGAAATGGCGGCTCCTTACTGAATGACAGATAATGACAATTCAACAGCAATTCAGAGGGGGACATCGCTTCAGGCAGGAGGTCAGAGGCAATCATCCCCGCCGTGTTCGCTGTGGGGGAGCCCAAGAGCGTGCTGAATAATACACACAGACCCACACGTGTAAACACACACGCACACACACAAAAACACGTCCTCTGAAACCTCTGACTTGTGCATCTGTCGATTTGGAAAGATCTGCCAAAATGCCCCCACACCCCCCACCCCAGCCCTCCCGGCATATACTTATCTTTTCAGAACCAGTACATCCTTTCTTTTTTCACCAGCTGTCACAAGCAGAAAATATGATGGACAAATCCAAACAGATATCTTCATTTTCTGTAGTTGGATGCATGATTTGTGTGGATTAAGACCAAGAAGACAGACAGCTGGTCAGACCCATGAAGAGTAGAAAGACCTCAAAGTGTAAAGCTGCTTTCACCACCAGCACCTCTTTGTGTTTAGTGCCAAAAGTCCAAAGTCCTGATTCAAACTAGTGCTCAAACAAGAAAAATGTCAAATATAAATATCTTAATGTATTAATCCTCCACTGCAATTTTTTTTGTTTTATTAAAACCAACATTTTCTTTCAGCAGTCGGGTTTGGTCTAACCAAAATTGTTTTTCATTTGTTAAGTTTGGATTGTGTTTAACCTCAATCCCTGCAGCAAATGCTCCTCACGTCCCTGAGGCACCACGATTCTTGGTTTCTGCCACAAACTTAACTGGGGTTTGGAAACATTTTCACTCTAACAGTAGGGTCTGATGTGAAGTCTGAGCCAGGGAACCAAGCTGCAGAATACAAGCCAGCTATAAGAGGAAGTGATAGATGTGATCTTTTAAGCTAGACAGAGGCGTTATTAACAAAAAATCTGGGGCATTATGCATTATATAACTCTTATTTTTCTGAGGCTTTTTCGTGAGCATATGTTTTTTCTTTCAACCAGCATACTTAATCCTATTGCATTTTGTTTTGGCTTCCCTCAGGGGGAATGTGGAAACTTCATCCGTCTGATTGAATCGTGGAACCGGACCCACCTTTATGTGTGTGGGACAGGCGCATACAATCCCATCTGCACGTATGTGGACCGAGGACGCAGGTCACAGGTAACCAAAGACAGAAGTAGGCATCCACGGAGACATTGTGACCTTTACTTTCTAGTTTTTAAAGAACCTTAACAGTCAATCAATCCCAAGTCAGAGATCCCCTTCTGTGCCTGCCCCTCATGCTCTCCGTCTCTCTACCATCATTTTCTGCCTCTCGGTTTTCATTGATTCGCACAATTTCACTACCTCAAGGTTTGTCCGTTTCAGATTTCTATTATTATTTCAAAATTGCTGTTGCAAAGAGACCTAACTGCCACTGCTCAGCAATTATTTAGGATCCAATCTTCCCTCACACCTGGGAATAGTACAGTGACATGATATCTGTTGAAAATTCTCATCCTCCCCACCTGTTTACAGCCCGTGGCCTGTCTTTCTGTCTGTCTGCCTGAGAGCCCATGAGAGACCATCATTACTGTTGAAGCCTCTCATCCATCACCAGCCTTGTAGCTCACCCCTCCCTTTGTCCCGTCCTCGATCCCCCCCCTTGCTGGATGGCCACGCCGGGCGACAGCAGCTGTCGGCTCAGTTATAGTAGGCACACTTGCATTCACCACTCTGACTGTTTAGTCTCAACCCCTCAAATGGAAGGTTCAGATTTCAATGTAAAGGTCAGTCTGCCTCTTGTCATTCAGCTTCTCCCCTGAGGCCCAAATGTTGTGATACTTCACACTGTAAAGATTTTCCTCTGTAAGAGAAGATGTAAACATAAACCACTTGTTTAGACATTCATCCCCCTGTTACACAGCAGGGTTGTGTGAACCCTGCCTTGGTCTGTGGTGAATGCAAACAGTCATTCTTGTGCCTTTTTGAAAAATCTAATCTGTAACTGTTGAGAATAAATAGAATTTTTAAAAAGTTTAATAATTTTTAAGCTTAACTTAAAAATAAACCAGAGACAACATCTAAAATCCTTAAACCAAGGATTTCCTTTTTTTTTAAATGTATGTATATCCTCCGATTGGTGTCACTACCTTTACATCTCAGAAATAATAAGGCAGGGGCATCTTTTTTACATTCAGTAAGCATTCCTTAACATTCCTGTAAGAATTTTGTGTTTTTTTACACATTATTGCAGTCAGGTTCATTTTCATTTTACAGAATGTCGCAGCTTTCTTGGCCAATAGTTTGTATCAGTACTGTGTATGATCAGTTATATCTGCAACTGTAAATGTGTCTGTCTAAGTGTGTATTCTTTGTTATGTGACTCATTTGCATAATCTATTTTTCTTTAATTTTCCTTTTCTGCTTTCTTTCTTGGTTCTGCATGGTTTATGCATGGAGTTTACAGCTGGTGTTTGCACGAAACTGAGTCTCATCAAGTGTGTGGTTACAATTTTATTACAAACCACCCACCAGACTTTCTGCCCTCTACTTTGACCTTTACTTTGAACCACTTTAATGTTGTTCAGTCCATCTTTCAGAATTCCTTCTTTTTGTTGAGTCTACACAATTCCTGGACTTCTTTCTTGTTTTTCTCTTCAGTTTACATCATCGTCAGTGAAATTTCATTATCATCTGGGCTGTTGAACGCTGGTAATAAAATGGCCCACTGTGCCATGTCTCTGTTTTTAGGGGTTCCACAATCTACAGGCAACTCAGTCAGGAGGAAGAACAAATCGGGCAGCAGACTACACCACTACATCAGAGCCTATGAAGGCAGAGGTGGGCTGGGGGAGTTTTACAGGGTTCGATGCCCACCTGGAGCACTTTTCCTTGGAAAAATGGACATTATGTTGCTGAAAGAATTTTTTAAAATATATCTTGACTCATTCGGCTGTTTATCTTCGGCTGTATATGTGGACGCAAGAGCACTCGTTTGTTTCAATTTTTTTTTTTTGTATCACAGCAACAACTGTTGTCAGCTTTTCCGATTTATACCACTGAAGGATGTTATCATAACCACACTTTTCTGAGTTATAATTGACTTAAAAGCAATATCCAAGGACAAGGCTTTGACGTTAACTCTGCTCTGCCAAAACATATTTCCTGCCACCCAGACATTTTTGAAGCACAAGTGTTGACACAGATGTTCTATGTTCAAATGTGTTTGCATAGTGGATCGTTGAAAAAGTGTATAAAGTTACTAACATCTGCGGCATGGTGGATGATTCTTGGGATGCTCTCAGCATTTTCCTCCACCAATCCATCTAATTGTTAACTGATTTTGTTTTGCCTTTTTCTCTCCTCAGCACAGCCAGTAGTGCAGTGAGCGTTTATTCAGTGCCTTAAGGGTCACATCTCACAGCTTTCTGTTGTCACTGTGCTAACCACCTTGTCCTATTGCTAGTTTTACTGTTGTCATTAAAACCATTTCGAAATAATGTATTTAAGTGCACAGAAATATTTCTTGCAATTTCTGTCCATCACAGGAATACATTTTCCGTCTTGAACCTGGCAAAGTGGACTCTGGGAAAGGAAAATGCCCTTATGACCCTAAACTTAACAGCGTCTCTGCTTTGATCAGTGAGTACATGACTTTTCTCTCTTTCACACAGTTTGCGGACAGATACAGAGTCTGACTGAGGGCCTAAAAAAACGTCTGTCAAATGAACAGTTATTGTGTAGTTATACAATAATAATAATCCTTTATTTGTCATACATTCTCTTACTTAATCTCTCTATCTTAAATACCTTCAAAGGGAAAAAAACACTTAGTATAGGGATGTCCAACCAACGGTCCACGAGCAAAGCTGCTTACTTTATAGTCACACAAACCAGAGACGGCTGAAACCAGAGAATGTCTTACATTTCTGTCAAATGATCTAAATCAATTACCGTAATCACTTAAAAATTGCAGTTTGGGGTTTTATAGTTAATCGGGACACACTTATCTGGACAAACAGTTCAGTTGGCATGTCAATGATGGGTCTTTTGTTGCCAGCAGCTTCAAAGTGTCCAATTAGTTTATAAGTAATGTCCCAGGCCTTTGTGTGTTTGAGAGCTGACATGCAAGCTCAGATTTTGCTGGCTTACATAAAACAACAAAACGGCACACATAAAACTTTCCAATAAGCATTTTTATGTGTGTCAGTGGATACAATAAGTTAGTTTAACTGAAAGGAACAATTGAAATCACTGACATGTGCAGGGAGCACCTCGGATCATCATTATGCAATTAAAAACAAGTAACCTAGCATGTATGTATTTGTTATACTGATATATGCTGTTTAACTAAACATTGTTGTTAGTTTATCAGTGGCAAGAATCTCCCCTGGCAGAACAATGTGTCCCTCAACACCACAAAACCGATGTATTTGATGCTTGATCAAGCATCTGCTGGATGCCAGAGGCTCCACATACAAACCTTAAGACCTATTGGATCAGCTGCTATTGACCAGGCGCCCCCTGATGTCCCCTTCCCATGTCCCCTGAGAGCTGTTAACAGTATGATTGGGCCTGCACAGTATTTAGCACGTGGTTTAAATGATATGGCAGTTTACTAGGTATTTTAAGATCTGGATGAAGGGTGAAGATGGCTGTAAGTGACCACCAGTATAGGCTAGTGGTCACTTTACAGCCATCTTCTTTCGTGAATCCAGCTGACATGACATTGACTTTGGAAGTGCAGCTGTCCTGTGTAATTACACTCGCTGTGACTATGATGTCAATATCATTATAATGACACGGTCAACATTTTTAAATCAAACATGGACTTGTGAACTTAGCATGATTAGTCTGAGTGATTTATTTTGGCACTTCTCTGTCAAAATTAGTTAAAATGCATTCCTTACTTTGAATGGCCCCAGATGCTGCACATGGTATCATTCTGATTAATCCTTTAGGGATTATTCAACTTTCTAAAGATGTTCTAATCAGACTTGATGGACAGCATTTTTTCTATGTTAACCCAAGAATGTTTTCATCTTTCTAATAATTTCTCCTCCACCTTTTCTTCCTGGGTGACTGACAGATGGAGAGCTCTATGCAGGAGTCTACATTGATTTCATGGGAACAGACTCTGCTATCTTCCGTACTCTGGGGAAGCAGACAGCCATGAGGACTGATCAGTACAACTCCAGATGGTTAAATGGTAATGTCTCAACTCACAGCTTGGTCTGCATCCGGCTTAATCTTTTCACCAAGCTCTCTCCAGACCATTTTTAATTTATGCCTTGACAAGTTAAAGCCAGAATGTGCCCCTAATATTGCAAACAATCTCCCACTTGTAGCTTTCTAATGGTATTCCAGCAAGATATAGTTCTTTCTAACCTGTTCCACCTGACCTGATAAACCTTTCATTGAAAAACATCCAATTAACTAAAAATAATTACCGACATGCCTGCAGAGTGTGTAGCAGGATCAGTATCCTATTAGGGGAATGGAATGAACATCAATAATGAGTCGCAATATCATTCACTCGACAATGAACTGTAGCTGCCACATACATAGAACTGCTGTTTTGGTGCATTTAGATGATGTTGCCAAATCAATCATGGGTACCCCTCTTTGTTGCTGGATCACATATTTTCCACTGACCCTGTTGCCCTGACAACGGTCCCCTCCCAGTGATGCACCGAATCAGGACACCTGAGTCCTGCTAATCAGTCATGTGAAATCTCTCTGATACCACCCCTCCCCCACATGACAGCAGTCCTGATTACTTCCTCTCTGTCTGCTTTTTGGTTTGTCCCCATTTGGGACAGTGGTCTTTCGCAGCAGGGAGGGGCTGTCTGTGCTGTGAGTCCAGTGGTTACCCAGTAAATCAGACAGTTGGAGTTAGCTATAATGCCATTGTCACTGGGAAGAAATTCTCATTAATCATATTAGGTGTGTTAGGGTTTTAAACCTTAGGTGTCTTTAAAAAAGAAGTGAAGGGTTCTATGGTCTAGAGTTGATCTTTAATTCTACTGCTTTCAAAGAGGATTAAAGAACCATTTTCCTTTCTAATATTTTTTTAAATAAATTCTCAGTTAGCCATGTATTAAAACATTTTTTAAATAATTTTCTGTATTGAATTAGGAACACATACCTTGTGTCTTATGACAAGTGACCATTGTTTTTTTGTTTGGAAGCTTTTCAGCAAGAATAGGCAAAGACAACAGAGACCAATTTCACAAAACCTTGTATTGGGGTTGAACACTGGCGAGAGAAACCTATTAAACTTTGTGTGCGGTTTTGGCGCATTTCTTTCAAACTGAAGGCTGGGGAATTTCCTTGGCAGATATATGCATCCTCTGAGTGCCCCAGTTGTTCATGCTGGCAGCATATCAATATTGGATCTGTTTAAGATCCAGTATGAACAGGAAGAACGAGTACACATACAAAAAAACAGTTTCAAGGTGTACATGAGCATTTTCAGCACGAATTGAAGCCCCAACTCTGGATGTCTTCATAAAGTTCATTTAAAGGCACACCTGAAATTAGATTTTTCTATGATTGTATTTTGTGTACGTCCATCCTTGTGTAATGCAACGGTCCTGATTATTTTTCTTTACAGATCCCACTTTTGTCCATGCTCACCTTATCCCAGACAGCGCTGAAAAGAATGATGACAAGCTCTACTTTTTCTTCAGAGAGAAAGCCTCTGACATGGGCCAGAGTCCCATGACCCAGTCAAGGATAGGACGGATCTGTTTGGTGAGTTATCACACCAGTCAGCAAAGCTCATCTTGATAATACGTTGAGAAAGGTTGATTTTTCTCTATAATGGTTAGTTACATGCTATTAGTTGTTAGCATGCACTTTTTTTTTTAGATCCAGAAATAAAGTCTGCTTTGGTAATCCATGTTGCATAGCACACAATTATTAATTTATTGTTCAAAACCTTCAATTCATAGGCTTTGTAAGAATATTTCAAGACAAGTCCGGCTGTCGTATAAATGCATCCTTAAAGTATGCAACTTAGAATTATTATAATAAACAATATAAAATTCCCCGAGTCCTACCAGGTGCTTGAGGAGAAAGAGGAGTAGTCCTCTGAGATGAATGCTACCATTGACTTCCTTATATGAATGCAAAGGACTATTCCTATTTATATAATAAATAGAATAGATTCTATATGTCACATGAATGGCAAGTTACATTTTGATTAGTTCTTGGAGAAATCTGAGCATTTTCCCCTACCATCCACATCAGCAGTTAGGTCATATGTTGTTTAAGTCTTTCTTTTAGCAATGTCTTTTGATATATTTGCTCCACAGAATGATGATGGCGGGCACTGTTGTCTGGTAAACAAGTGGAGCACATTTCTGAAAGCTCGTCTCATCTGCTCTGTGCCTGGAGCTGACGGCATCGAGACACACTTTGATGAACTAAGTGAGTCCAGTTATTATTTCTCCCTTGTAGGATTCTCCCACCGTCCCTAACCCTAAGAATCATTTATACATCCTGTCATCTCTCTCAGTTGTGTCATTTGCCTACCACATGTTCTACATTCGCACTCTGATAATTTGAGAATTTTATCCAAACATTGTGCACATTGTAAAATATATCAGGAAAGTCTAGTTTGTTCTGTTTTTTTTCTCCTCATAAAGGACAAACTGCAAATGTGGCATTTTATAAATCGATTTCCCCAAGTCAGGGATTTTGTAATGGATCATCTGGGAGCTGGTGTGAAGCACATAATGAACATGTCTGTGACCTCACTGAAAAAGCCGGCAGATGGAAAGTGAGCATTCATAAATGGCCGCGTAACCGCAAACACTCAAAACAAGGAGCTACAGATGGACCCCGTGTTGACAGACTCAGTATCAACAACTTTATCATTTGTAGAGTTCTCATCACATTTGCTCTGCATAGTTTCACCATGATGTTAATCCACGGTTACACAGATTTTGCTGCAGTGCGTGTGGGCCAACAGCTTACTGTGCCACAGGGACACACATCCAGCTGTATTCAGCACATCTCTGCTTATGTAGAGCAATATGAGGAAAAACACGGGAAAGCTGCAGCTTCAGATTAGGTTTTAACTGACTCAAACATGTTAATCTTGACATGTGGCTGTACCATACCACTTTTTGTCTGTGAGCATTTTGGTAGGATTTAGTTCTAAAAGGAAAGTACATATACAAATGCATACATGCATGCAGAGTAATAAATCAATAAGAATCTGACATTATTCCAACTTTCCCTGTGGAACAATTCAGCCCTTCTGTCACTCAACAGGGACAATATTAAAAGAAATATGTTGCAACCCTGAATTTAGAGTTGCAAATTGTATGAGTGTATGCATTTTAAAAATGTTACTATTTTCACATCATTTTGACAAAATTTGTCATTTTGAGGTGTTCTTAGAAATATAACTTATAATTAATAATAAACCATCTTCAATTTAAACATATTGCAAAAATATTCCCTTAAATATTACCAATTTGAGGTTTGACTGAATGTACCCAAATTAAATATTCTCTTTGAAACTACAACCTCTAAATTCCCAAATGTTCTCAAAGCCACCAAATGTGTATGAATGATTGACATTTCTACGATATATTCTGATCAAATAAATGCAATGTGGAGATTTTTGTTCAATTAGAGTTCTGCCAAAGTGGCTTTGCATTTCATCGTATTGAGGTAGGATCAATATAACTCTAACCAGATAGTAACCCTGACCCATAATAATAATAATTATCTTGATATTGATTAAAAAAAAGAAGAAATAATAATGATAATAATAATAATAGCAATGTTTTTATTATCCATGCGCAAAACAAACCGCAGTCAAATCTCGATTAAACTGTGTGGCTTTATAAATTCTTTAAAGCAAAAATGTTCACCTATAACTAAATATATTGAGATAAATTGAGACTTTCACTATCAATGCCAACTACTGAACCAATTGCTTTTCCTGTACATGCAGTACGGGCCGAACATGGCTGCCAATAACTAAGGTGGGAAACACTTTCCCCCTGGGATTATTAAAGTATTTCTGACTAGCATAACTTCCCTCCAAACTAAGAAAGGCCCATGGATTCTGACAGTATTCAAACACAGAGAATTTCTCATACCTACTGTTGGTTATCTTCTATAAAATGTGTAAACATGACACAGAGGGTCATTGGACCACTCCTAAAACACTGTACCCTTGCAAACATGCAGATTCCCTCCTCTCTCTCTCTCTCTCTCTCTGCTGAGCTTCAACTCTGCCTGCAAAGCCTCTCTGTGGGGGAGGTTGTCGTGTTGCAGCGGTCAGTAGCTACAGAAACTTTAGAGGTGACACTGATTGACACCAGAGACAATCCGTGGCTCCGACTGCCTGTTTTCACACGGCCATGGTGTATTCCTGTAAATTACATTAAAGGGGTGAAGGAGGAACCACAGATTGCTGGTCTTGTTTGTCACTTTACATACAAGTGCGCACATTTGCAGATATGACTAAATGTTTCATGCAACTTTCCCAAGGCAGCGCAGACAAAAATCATATTTCTTTTTAAGCACTGTTTCAAATGCTAGGATTAACAAGCTGCCCATTGATATAAGAATAGAACAACACTGTGTATTAAAAACTGATTTTTGCTGAATCTGTGGAAACATGTACTAGTTGTACAGTGATGAGGTTTTCCAAATGTTTGTTATGCATCAGGAGCACTCAGCGCTTTGACAGGAAAGCACTCAGCTGTCAGTGTTACTATACTTTTAGTAGTCTCTCCACAGGGCAGCGGGTCAGTTGTAGCCTCAATGCAGATGAGCACTTGCGGTGAGGTCATTTGTGAGTCCTGAGGTGCAATGTAACATCCCACAGCACTGTGGTCGTTCTTCCCACAAACCACAGACTGTCTGCTAGAAATGTACTCTGTCTCCAGCCATGGTGGTACTGGTGGAGCCCAGCAAAAGCATCAGAGTGGTTGAATGAGGACTCGAGGGAGAGAGTAGAGTAGGTTCAGATGGCAGGGCTAGCAGATGAGAAAGCGTTCAGTATTTTGCAAAGGGAAAAGAGGAACATAAAAGCAAAGAGACACACAGATTCACAAGAGATGGAAATGTCTGCCAAACAAAAACAAGACTGAATTTATGAGCCATGAAGTTTTAGTGCCTTTTCTTTAATGTAATTATTGACTGAAACATTGTTTCAGTTGTTTTTCTGTGTCACTTTAGTTTACAGATCCTCTGTACTCATAAAGAAACCAGATGTTTCTTTTTGTTTTTTTTATTCCCTCTGTAATTGTTTTCGACTGAGCATTTTAACACATTGCACCAATAAGGTGATTATGTAAAATCTGTTGTCATATAAGGGACTCTCTTACTCTTACTTTTTAGTTTTTCTGTTTTCTTTTTCCTTTTTCTTTCAGTGTAGCCCTGTGAGTTGCAATGTATATAGCAGCTCAAAATATGCTTGAAAAGATGTTACACATCAGAAACAAAAGTCAGAATGATGAAGCTTGTTCCAGTGCTCGGCTGATTTATCTCATAGCCCTCCTATAGCCAGAAGGTCTGTCAAACTGGCGTCAGATGGGTTATGAATTTCTACTTTGTTTGCCAAAAGTTAATTTTTACTTTAGTGAGCAGCCATTACCTGTCATTTTCATAGCTTGGCATGTGTGTCGATAGTTTCTCTTTTCTTCAGAAAAGATTCAGAACCCATGATCAAAAAGAAACTTGTTTATTTTTTAAACTTTTCAGAGCCAGAAATGATGTCTTGATGTCGTCAATGAGAATTTAAGATTCCTCCTGTTTTGTTGCATGCTGGTTAAAGCCAAAGGCACATAGATCAAATTGTGTGGTATTAAGTTTCACCCTCAATTGTACATTCACAATTGTGCTTTGTTGTCTCTAAAGGTTCATTTAGGTGATATTTGAGAGACCAATCTGAGCTGCATCTTTACAAGTTCTTGTTTTTCGTCAGATTAACGCCTTGCTTTTGGCTTTACAGATTACAATGAAAACGATTTCAATTTATAAAAGAGAGGATCAGATTCCACACCAATTTACTGCACTCAAGCTTTTTAAAGACTTAACACAAGGCAATTATTGCCGAACTGTTCAAGGACTTTTCAGACCAGCTCTTTATGCTAGTTTTCCTCTGAACATTAAATGCACCTTTGTGTACTCAGCTTGTCTACTTTAAATTTATATCAGTTTTCCTACGTGTTATTTTTCCTTGCACATTTTTCTCATGAAACCATCAGAGGATACTCAGGGTTCGCCATTGCCTCAGCACTTCAGTCACTGGATGCATATGGCTCCTATTAAAGCCATGTTTCAGCAGACATCTCTATTTCACTTCTATTCCCTGCTGAGACTCTGGCACTGTAGTTCCAGAGTTTAAATTCAGGATCTCATTTAGGCTCTGGCAACCACAATTCATGGGGAGCTTCCTCCTAACTCCCACACGAAGGAAGCGAAATATTACAATTAGGATTATTCCGTCTGGAACCACCATAAAACCAAGGGTCATTTCATAAGAGACACTAATATTGTCTTTTGAGTTGTTTCTATGAGAGAAAGCGTTCCCTTTTAAACTTTTTAGTTATTTTAGGTAGTTCAGTACCGCAACTGACAGAAAGCAGAGTTTATCAACGATAATATAGAATTGATAATTTTGCTTGTGATTGTAAAACTATAAGAATTTGTTAGAGCATTGCTTTTTGTAGTCTGATGTCACACCTACTTACAATAGAGTCTATCATTATTTCTTAGGAGACGTGTACATACAGCCAACTCAAGACACCAAGAATCCAGTCATTTATGGAGTCTTCTCGGTTTCAGGGTGAGTAGATGGTGGCTTTTGCAAACTCTCTAACCCCGGTTTGAATGTGAGGTGCATTGTGTTTTCTCATATCATCCAGCCTGAGGGCATCTAATGTTTACCTTCCAAAGGCTACATGATCGGTCCCATTCAGGCTAGAAAGACAAGACAGAAAGCGAATGTCTAACCCAGAGGAAGACGCAGAGCTCTTAGAGGCTGACTGAGCCTGTAGTCTCTCACATAGTTGGTCAAGTTTGATAGCAGGTTGTCATTCAACACACAGCATTAAAATTCAAGAAGTGTAAAGTGAGATTCTGTTGGCGCACAAGTCGGAAGAGGTGTGCGCACAGTCATAATAAACATGTCCTGATAAATGTATTTGAGAAAGAAATATTGTTTTTGTTTTTACCCTCAGTATAGGCATCAAAAACATTAAATCCATCTGATAAAAACACATGTGGTGCTAATGACAGGGACCCATGACAGGAGTTACAAACATACTACACCCACCACACAGAAGCAACAGTCTGTACTCTGGAGATCCCCTGCCATTTGTGGGTGTTTGTATGTCATTGTGTCAGACAGCTTGACTCTACTTGAGTTGGTTTGCGAGTGTGTTTGTGCATCATAATGTTTTTTGTGTTACTGTTAGAGGCCAGTCATTGTCTTAGGGAATAAGTTAATCTGAACCCACTGGCAAATCCTATTATGTGTTCACCTGTTTTCATTATCCGTCCTCTAGATCTGTGTTTAAGGGCTCAGCAGTCTGTGTCTATTCCATGGCTGACATTCGTATGGTCTTCAATGGGCCGTTTGCCCACAAGGAGGGGCCCAACTATCAATGGGTGGCATACAGTGGGAAGATCCCCTACCCTCGTCCTGGCACCGTGAGTTAGAAAAAGAACAAGAAAATTTGTTTTGGACCAGATTTGTTTTGCTAAATTGCCCAGGAGCTGGTTTGACATTCAGATTTTCAATCTGTTCTCAGTGTCCTGGAGGCACTTTCACCCCCAACATGAAATCCACGAAGGATTATCCTGATGAGGTTATCAACTTCATGAGAAACCACCCTACCATGTTCAATGCTGTATACCCAGTGCACAAGCGCCCCCTGGTGGTCAGAACTAACGTGGACTACGAGTTCACCACGATTGCTGTCGACCAAGTGAGAGCTGCCGATGGGAGCTATGAGGTGCTCTTCCTGGGCACAGGTCAGTGCTTTAGGCATTTCCATATCTCCTTAGAGCCCACTGTGTTGGATCTGTGTTAGAGTTAACAGTTGAACCTCAAACAAATATCCTATTAAGTATCAGTGGGTCACACTTTTTATCAAAACAATACTTTGTTGAAGATCAAAAATAAATCAAGTGTACTCTGAGTTTAGAAAATCCAAAAAAGAACTCCTTATTTATTACTAAAACTATGAATAAAACTAAATTAAAGCCTCTTTTCTTGGTATGTCAGATCGGGGGACAGTCCAGAAAGTTATTGTCCTCCCGAGGGATGACTTACAGACAGAGGAGCTGGTGTTAGAGGAGGTGGAGGTGTTCAAGGTCAGTTTTGCAGTCTCGGTTCAATCACTCCTTCTGTTTTTCTCCTGAGTGTGTTTTTCATTTATCTGTGATGGAAAAATATCACTTTCATTACTCTGTGCTGGGTCATGAAAAGTTGTTTCTGTATCCCTGCAGGTCCCCACCCCAATCACCACAATGAAGATTTCATCAAAACGGGTAAGTTATTTTGCTGTGGCTCAATTACTAACACTGATACTTCTATATCATGTTGCTTATATTAAGTAATTCCAGTGAGAAAACTTCTGAAATTGACGTTAGGCATCATTTGATTAAAAATAAACAGTGTAAATATATACGCTTTACTAGAATTTCCAACAACAAATGCCTTATGTTCAGTTCTACATTTAGAATAGAACACAAGGAGCTGCATTCACTAAAATCTACCATTTTTCTTAAATTTGTTTTTGAGAAAGGTCTTTAGAAAAAACAGGAGATAAAGACAGTGGTGTTAACATACTCAACACCAGCATCTGAGACAATAAAATTCATTTATATGAATAAGACATAATATTATTAACCAAAAGCTATTAGATTTCTGAAAGTGATGCATCTATTTAAATGTTATGTTTTACTTCTAGCAACAACTGTATGTGGGGTCCGTCTTGGGTGTGACCCACCTGGCTCTGCACCGCTGTGATGTTTATGGGGAGGCCTGCGCTGACTGCTGTCTGGCCCGGGACCCATATTGTGCCTGGGATGGAAAATCCTGCTCCAGATACTCTGCCTCACAGAAGAGGTGAGGATCGAAACGGCATTCATGCCTGAGCGCTTATAGGGAATGCACTAATACCGATCTTTAGATAAGCTCTCTGTATATAAGGGATAGTTTGAAAGTACCCCAGCCTTTTAGCACAGTACATCCTAATGTGTTGTATTTATGTACGTTAATCCTACTCTTAACGCTGTCAGTTCTTACACAGTCAAGCTAAGCTTTTTTTATGCCAAACAAAAATAAGGTTTCCATTACTATTACTAAATTAGTAGAAATTGATTTTCTCATTTTGAGCTGTTCATCTGACTCCTCTAGACGCAGCCGCCGCCAGGATGTGAAGTACGGAAACCCAATCCGTCAGTGCCGAGGCTATAACTCCAACAGTGAGTTGTAATGATAATGAAACTATGCAGTTCACACAAAAGTTGTAATTGTAAGAAGGCCATAGAACACACAAACTTCAAATCAAATTTAGTTTTACTAAAAATTAAATTAATGTCAGACTCTACTCATTGATTTCTAGCCAATAAGAATACTCTGGAGACGGTTCAGTACGGGGTGGAAGGAAGCACTACGTTCTTGGAGTGCCAGGCTCGATCTCCTCATGTGTCTCTGAAGTGGCATCTACAAAAGGAAAACAGTGACAGGAAGAAAGAGGTAAGCACAGATTTTGCTATAAAGCAGATACACACTGAGGCGAAAAGTAACTTAATAAATGTACTCATCTCTTTATGTCTAACATTGAAGTACTATATGTATACAGTACATATATATATATATATATATATATATATATATGTGTGTGTGTGTTTTTGTATATGTTTTTGTTTGTTTGTTGTTGTTGTTTTTTTCATAAATTGCTCTTGTTCCTTTCAGATTCGCTCAGAAGGCCGCATCCTGAAAACAGATCAAGGACTCCTGATTCGCTCACTGCAGTCATCTGACAGCGGCATCTACCAGTGCACGTCCACAGAGAAAAACTTCAAGCACACTTTAGTGAAACTGCAGCTCGTGGTCCTCTCCAGCCGCACAGTCAACAACGTGTTGGTGGAGACCGGCAGCCCGGCTCTCCCAGCGCTTCAGTCCAGCGCCTGGACTCCAAGTGCCGGTCAGTACAAAGATCTGCTCACCATCCTCAGCCAGCCAGAGATGGGACTGATCAACCAGTACTGCCAGGACTACTGGCAGCTGGGGGACGGCAGCCTTGGGGACAGCAAAGCCAAGAGCCTGAAGGAGCTGAAGGAACAGAAGAAGCCTCGCAACCGCCGGCATCACGATGAGCAGACAACTCCAGCCCAGACATGAGGAGCTCCACGCGCGATCTGTCACATTCAAACTCCACCCCTGCCTACCTTTTCACACAACCTTCCAACCATTACAATCCCCCCAACCCCCCTTAGGGGCAATGACTCCAGTCAGATGATAGATTATCCTAAAGGACAAGGCAACAGAAAGCATCAAACAGTTTTTCTACAACTGTTGGGGAAAAAAACACAATATTTATTGTAGGTTGTAAAAAGTAATTCTTTCTACTTATCTATAGAAACCAAGTTTTTGTGTATAGATAAATCTGTGCAAAATATTGTTGTTATAATATTAATGTTAGTGTTATTGTTTATTATAATGTTATTATATTATGTTGAGAATATCTTTATGTTTGGTGTTTTTTAAACAGCAACAATAATCTAGGACTGAGAGCATCCACACATGGACACGGACCTATGAACAGAACTCTAAGTGGCGACCATGTTGGATCATTTGACTGCTGGCAGTATTCAGAATCTAAGCTCAAAGTCGAGTTTGGACATTTCTTAAACTTCCTTTAACTTCCTCACAAGAATCATCTACTGCATACCAGACAGTTTTTTTTTGTTAACTGCTAAATAGAAGTAGTAAGATGACCTAATGGCATTTCATAGAATGTGTGAGGAAAGCAGAAATGCAGGAAGACTGCAGCTGTGACTACATGTTGCAGTCATGTGTGAATAAAAACCCCCCTCTATGGCTTCCTTCCCTTGATGAGATCCAGTATGGCCTCAAGTGAAGATGTTGCATCTTTCATTCATATTCTTCCATATTCAGTTGCTGCCAAGTGTTTTGTTGGTACTGTATGTGAATATCACATCTCAATGTTGTGTTCTTAACTAACGTGATCTTTGTGATAAGCTGTTATCTGGGGTAAAGGTTCTTTTAATGACACAAAAACTGAAAACATAACATTGCCTTCTCTTTTCTCTGCGTGGGGATAAGATATTCCAGCAGGCAGCTAAATGTGAGTTTGAGACAGTGATTAAAATATATAATAGACAAAGCACCTTTTGTTGCCAAATTGGTGATTTAAATAAACCTTATAGTAAATCTTCCTCATGTATCTGTGGCATATTATATAGTATGTCCAAATAAGATGAAATTTTGTTTTGTTAAGCTTTGTTTTGCATTCCTCCCATTTTCATGTAAATATTAGTGAAAGCTAACCATGTAATCTGACTACACAAATGTGCAGATTTGCAGTACTTGGGAGTTCTAAATGGTGCTGAATGTACTGCATAATCTGGTTAACAACAGAGCTTCTACACCTATTTCTTATGCTGGTACAGAGCCATCTTTCTGCTGTCTAAATGGAGCCACAGACTACATATAATCCTGGAGAACTGCGTAACTTCTGTACAGTTAAACAGTGTCACAGGTTCAACCACTAACAAGTTGATTGCCACCAAACCTGAAGAGAAAACCATGACACAGTCTTCAGTAGGTGGATTTTCAATGTGCATGGCATGTACAGTATGTGGTAATTGTCTAAAATACAATGTTGCTGTGGATGTCAGTGAATGTCTTTCTTGTTGTGGGAATATGACTCTTTTTTTATGATGAGAAATGCTGAAAGATTGTGATTTTGTTTCTGCGCGTTCTCAAAAAAAAAGGAATGACAACAAGTTTGCATAATTCAACCGTGTGCATATGTTTTCTCTGCTCAGCGGGTTGTTAAGGTAATGTATGATATGCACAGTTGGTGTTATTGTATTGACTTGTAAAAAAATATCTTTTTCTTCCTCATCAATGTTGCTAACTAATAAATTAAAGCTATATATTTTATAATAACACGTGTTTTCCATTGTTTGCCACCAGTATGGACAATACAGTAGTTTTTTTTTTTTTTATAGCGTTTTCTAAAGTGTTTATGCTGTGGAGTGAATTCTTATTAGAACATAATCTGTGAAAGGTGGAACATGTTTAATTACTTTCTTATTCTATTTATTTAGCAAAAATGGATATAGTGCAGATGGGATAAAGAAGAACTCATACAAAAACACTGTGATCTTCTCTCTGTTTTGTTTTTTTGTGAGTTTGGTGCTTTTTGCTTCCTTGGAGCATTCACGGTTTGTAACCACCGAAGATTTTTTCAAGAGTACACAGTAAAATGTAATGTCTTCAAGTTTGAGAGAGCTTCTGTGATACAACAAGATGATCAACGTAAGGACACAAGTAATTTAAAACGTTGATGAAGAAGAAAATGTTTATTTTGGAAGGCCAGAATCTTGGCTTTGACCTTAATTTTATTTGAACATCAAAATCAAATAATAAACTATTAGAATCATACTCCAGCACAGTACTTATGTTCAACTATAGCTGATCTGCATTAGTTTATTCATTCACAGTGGTGACTCAACACTGTCAGCTCCTCAAAATAGCAAGATGAATTTAACATGATGATAGATTTGACTTATACAGTGATTTTTCTGAACAAAAGAGCTTCACAAACAAAAAACATGGAACAGAAGAGAAGAGAAGATTGCAGGAAAAAGTGGTTTAGTCGTCAATGTGTAGGGAAATGTGAGTGATTCGTAATACACATATAAACAGTGCATTCATGAAGACATAATTGAAAGTGAGGAGATTAGAATCCTTAACCTGCTTCAGATTGAGGTCAATGAGATCTGTCAGGTGAAACCGCAAAGCTCTTTAAGTACTTCAGAACTCAGTCTGCAGCATCCAATAAGAAATGTCTGTTTTCATAGTTTTCATATTTGGACAAAGGGTCAAAGCTCTTGGGTCTATTTCACTGGCTCCACTGGTTGATTGTCATGTTGAGTTGCTTTAAAATGTGTTGGGTCAAATACAGTGGAAAGTTGTCGTGAAAGCTTTGGCCTCTTTTGTAAATAACAATACATATAAGATCACTTTCACTGCAACTGATTCCCTTATCATGTCGATGCTACTTTAAAGTGAATTAAGTTGTAAACATTTAGCTTTGCGTGTTTCTCTCCTAAAGGTACCTAAGACCAGAATTGTGAGATAAGCACTTGAGCCGATGTTCATCTTCCGCTGAGCACAGCAAAGTCCCCTAAAGGTTAGAGCACTCCTACACTGATGTATGCCGGCCTCTTCTCGCACCTCTGCCCTATAACACCCCTGTCCTTGTGTCCCATTGGACATTGCCTGTCAGGTGGGCAGGGGATGCCCAAAATCCTCTCCTAAGACAGGAAAATACTCAAACATTCCCCTGTGCTTGCAGCAGGCAGTTGATGTGTCAACTGCGTAGTTGAAGGTACTGATCAGACGGTATCAGGCGAGCAGCCAGGACCTGCTTCCATTTTTCCTGACATTTGGCTTTTGAGCAGAGGGGCCCAAGCCGGGAAAAAGTAGGATGGGGGCTGGAGCTAGCGCTGAGGAGAAACGCTCCAGAGAGCTGGAGAAGAGGCTGAAGGAGGATGCCGACAAGGATGCAAGAACTGTCAAGCTGCTGCTGCTAGGTAAAGAAAGATAAGTTGGCTCAATGCGTTGAGGTCCAAACAGGTTCAGATGCATTTCCATCTGCTTATTGTGTACTTGTGCATGGACCCTCTCAGTTAATTTGATCACTTTTATTATAAGAGAGCCACAAACCAGTTATTACTAGCATTTAAGTTATGTAGTTCAGACATTTTAAGAGTGAAGGAGGTAAGATATGCTTAGCCACATGTCTTCCCAAAGCAGTAGTTACTTTGAAGTATTCTTCCACTTGATTTGAATTCCTGTTCAGTAATCATCACATCAACTGATGTTTACATGTTACTATCAATGAATTTAATCAATCTAAACTTTATTTTATATGAAGATCAAAACCTTAAAGAAAAGTAACAACACATCTGAATTAAGTGACGTCTTGATAACCTGTGTTACTGAAATGCTAAAACACTTTGATAATCGCACAAGCCAATCCTCTGTTAATCTAGATACAGTGGGTCCTCCAGCACAAAGAGCTTATCTACGAAGGACACAGATATAATACAAAACCCAAACATAACAGTAATTTGTGATAGGATTATGTGATAAGAAAGTGATCTTTTTTAGATTAATTAATGGAATGCTTCTGTTGATTTGTTAGTTTGCAACTTTATTTCTAAAAAGAAAATACTATACTATGGAAATTTGTACCATTTAAAATGATCTATAATAATATTAGCAGCCAAGGACTTGATTTTACTTTTTTAATACAATACATATACTTAATACAATATAATATAATATATATAGTTAAATTCAGAAAATGTCTTTGCTTTTCTGAGATTGTTCCATACTCAGCCTGATCATCTGCTAATTATGTAGGTCAGGGTCAAGGAAAAAGATTAGCCCTGAGGTAAGAAGTATTATGTCCCGTTAGGATCCTCTGTGTGATGACAGAGCTGTCCTGTAATAAACAATTAATTAAAAATGCCATATGTTTACTCGACCGCATTTAGGACAATGTTCGCACATCTGAAAACAGTTTTTGATGAAAGCATTTTTTTGCATTTTTTAAGCACAAACAATAGAAACTTTTTTTTTTTTAATTCTGCCCTTCTCTCATATAGGTGCGGGAGAATCTGGCAAGAGTACCATTGTCAAACAGATGAAGTAAGACATGTGACTTTGCAAGTATACAGCGTGTCATTTCTTCTTGACTTGGTTGTTAACTGCATTGTTATGTTTATAACCTCAGAATTATCCACAAAGATGGTTACTCGCTTGAAGAGTGCTTGGAGTTTATCACCATCATCTACAGCAACACCCTGCAGTCCATCATGGCCATTGTTAAGGCCATGAACACACTCAATATTAACTATGGCCACACTGATCAACAGGTAATAACAACTCCCGTGGTCATGCTAATTCGGCTCAGTTTATCTCATGTTCATGGATGGCCATTCATGAGCTCTATATGTGACTGTTGGATCTTCCCTGCAGGACGATGCAAGGAAACTCATGCATCTTGCAGACACCATCGAGGAAGGCACCATGCCTAAAGAAATGTCTGACATCATTTTACGCCTGTGGAAGGATTCTGGCATCCAGGCATGCTTTGACAGAGCCTCAGAGTACCAGCTTAACGACTCTGCCGGATAGTAAGGAATCACTACACAAACGTAAATTTCATGTTTCATCGGAGCATTGGTCACTGATGGAGTTTCATTTCCACACAGCTATCTGAACGACTTAGAGCGAATCATCCAACCAGGCTATGTGCCCACTGAGCAGGATGTGCTGCGATCAAGAGTGAAGACCACTGGTATCATTGAGACCACGTTCTCCTTCAAAGATCTCCATTTCAGGTGAGTCTGAGCAACCTCTGAAGAAATGACGAACGTTGAATGGAATGGACAACCCAAGTCATATTGAAAATATGCTCTTCCTGTGCAGAATGTTTGATGTGGGTGGACAGAGGTCTGAAAGGAAGAAGTGGATTCATTGTTTCGAAGGTGTCACCTGTATCATCTTCATTGCTGCTTTGAGCGCCTATGACATGGTGCTCGTGGAGGACGACGAAGTGGTAAGAAAATTTCAATTACTACAGTTATTTTTTTTATAATTGTATGCCCTACTCATCTTGAGTAATCATAAATCAGTTTCTTTGAAAGAAAATTCACTGGACTTTGAACATGACTTTACTTTACAGAATCGAATGCATGAGAGTCTGCACTTGTTCAATAGTATCTGCAACCACCGTTACTTTGCCGCCACCTCCATTGTACTCTTCCTCAACAAGAAAGATGTGTTCATTGAGAAGATCAAGAAAGCTCATCTCAGCATGTGCTTCCCCGAATATGATGGTGGGGACTTCACCCTTCATGAATTGTTGCACGTGTCAAGGAAAATTATAAACTCATGAAATAAACTTTGTTATCATGTTGTGTCCCCAAGGCCCCAACACTTATGAGGATGCTGGTAACTACATCAAACTTCAGTTCCTGGACCTGAACATGCGCAAAGATATCAAAGAAATCTACTCTCACATGACCTGTGCCACAGACACAGAAAACGTCAAATTTGTATTCGATGCCGTCACTGACATCATCATCAAAGAAAACCTGAAGGACTGTGGTCTCTTCTAAGAGCCCAGAATTAAGGTAAGCACAGTTGTCAAGCTACTATGTATCTAAGAAAAATTACTCTACATGGACACCCACCTCACCACTGGGACTTTCTTCTTACAGGGTGCTGCCCAAGCCCCATCACGTTCCACATTTCCTCCACCTCGTTCAAACTGAGGACTGAAGATGGAAACTGCCCCCTCGAACCAACGAATGCAAAAATTAAATATCAGTTGTTGTGCTCCAAACTTATTTGTAGCTTTGACCAAATACTTCTTGTCAACTGAGACTTGAAGACACCGTTTAAGTCCGAAAAATCTGTTCAGTTCTCAGATGAGTTGATTTTTTTTTAGTCAAGCTAACTTCTCTTGAGTCTCTTGAACCTGTCTTTGGAGGGCCACATAATCTGTAGTTAAGACATCAATAGCTTTTGTCAGCTAAACTGATTTCTTCTCACATATACCAATGTGAATAGATGTTCAGCTTATGCAACGTTTCTGCTCCAGTAAGCAGTCAGTGTACAGCCAAAGAGCAAACAAGATGGCCTCACAACCTGCATATGCACTTCAGTCACTGTTAGATATTAAAACCAAAAGGTCAGTAGAAATGTCTTCTATGTACATATACACAAAAGAACAGTTTGTAAGACAATTCAGGGTCACAAGTGGAGATTTGGAGGGAAGCGTTAGATGATGTAAGATTTTGCTGTAGTTGAAAGGGCCAGTGTATATAAACAATCTGATTTTTATTGGACAGTTGATGTTGATGACACCACGTTGATCTGTAACATTTTTGAGTGGAAGATGTATCTAACTTCAATTTGAAAAACCCTGTCTGAAAGCCTTTGAGCCAGCTATCCTGTACAAAAACCAAAAACGTACACCTTGACTGGATTTATTAAAGCTTCTGTAGAAAATTCAATACTTTTCTTTTTCCTTATTTGTAGAAATTTAAAGCCAACACAGCAACACATAAACAATTGTCATTTATTAAGTTTACTGAATAATGAGGCTCCTTTAAAAAACACAGAAACTTCTCATGTTGGCAACTGAACAGTTTGATTTTACAGAGCGACTAACAAAGTAGATTTGAATTTTTCTCTGATACTGGGTAACTTCAGTGTATGCAAATGTGTGCTATGCAAACAATTAGAAAAAGCTTGCAATAAAATACAGATTTTAGGGCAAAACAAGATGATGTGCTAAAATAGTCTCATTGCAACCACTAAAGGCTTGTTATAAAACGTAAATGCAAAAGTAATTGAAAATGTTTTGGCTGGTAATGACTTAAATTTTTTACAGGCAGTTGCAAAATAAATGCATCCTTTGGCCTCTGTTCCCAGACAAAGCAATAATAAAAAAGGGAGTTGTTGGAAAGCACACACAACATAACTTTGTCGTAATAATGGCATAATAAGGTAACATTTAATGTTCTGCATAGAAATTGCACAGGATCCCAAAGTCTTTAGCTGAAGAATAAAATAAAACATCTAGAATCAGATTCATTAAAAAAAAAAAAAAAAAAAATCTATCAATGTTCTTTGTTCTTCTCCAAAATCTTTTTTATGCCAAGAGAAAAAAACAGACTTATTTCAGAGAATATAAACGAACTCCTCATCTGACTGTATGCAAAATGACGGCCGGTTATCTTTACTACAAATCTTGGAATACGCCAAGCCCAGCTCTATTTAGACATAATTTACTAGCATTCAATCTCACAACTCTTAATTATCAAATTTAATATACATATATATATATATATATATATATGGATTTTAGTATCTTTGTGTGTCAGCAAGACTTGAAACAGAACAACGCCATTTAGGTTTTTGTGCTAAACTAAGCCACTGTAACTGATGGTGGATAGCAGCTTTATATGCAAACTGCTTCATCGTAATTTAAAGATATCCATTAATCTCAAACGAACTGCCACCATTTACTAATAAAAACGGCACATATCCAAAATAAAACAAAAAAACATTGGAGCCCTAGAATTTGTGTTTATTTATTCTAAGCATATTTGGCAGCAATTACGGCTTTATTGCCTTAATGCCTTTGCATATCATTCTCGAAATAACAAACAAAATCAATCAAAAAAATATATATGAATAAATCTTGACCTTCAAAAAAAATTTTGAAGACCTTATCTGGCTGTGGACCAAAATTAGTAAACATTAATATGGCACAGGAGCAGTGAAAAGAATTAAGATACAGCTGAGTAAAGCCACCAATAAAGTCAATGTAGAGTTGTTAAAGGTTTACCTCAGTGGAGCTTTACATTAATCACACCAACACTTTTTCGATCCATGTGAACCAACAAATATTCACAGTATAACTCCTGCACATCAGTGCTGATAGATTGATTGCAGACAACCAACCTGCAACATTTGAAACATGCATACAGAAATCCATTTTAAGGTATACTAAGAAGGCAACATTATGAAAAAGTTTGATGTCTTATGAAAGCAGTCATTCATTTTTTTTTTATTTGAATTAAACCCTGAGTTCTTACCAGATGGCAGTTAAAAAGTATGATGTGCACTTGAGAAACAGAACATGTAAATTATGTCTTCAAAACAAAAGCAAATCATACACAGTACAAAGAAGTCTTCACTTATTAAACATAGTCCAACACTAAAGAACATCTTTTATGGCTTGGTTTGTTATGTCTAAAAAGAGTAGCTTTTTGTTATCAGTGTAAACTGCACATGCATGGAATGACAATTTTGTGCAACATCAACAGTGGCCTCAAAACATTTAAACAATGTTATCCACAACTTATATATACTCCAAAGAGGCCAGGACAAATAGAAGGCACTTAAAGAGTCATTCTTAACCTCCCTCTCATCGAGTCATGGTACCTGTCTGAGATATCAAGAGAAAAAAGCCTGTAAGATCAACAATCATTTCCACAGTATTGTGTTTAATCACCTTTTTTTTTGTGTGTTAACCGTGAACAGGAAGGACACAGTTGACCCTTACATTGCCCTAGTGTTTTGTGGTTCTAAAAGGAAAACAAGCCTTTATCATCTTTATTCAATGGGAAGAAGTGAGTGGTTGAATCAAAGAGACGGACAGTAGCTTCCAACACATTTACCAACCACCTTTGGATGTTCAAAAGAACAGAGATGTTTATACAGGCACAATGGAAATCACCCTCATTTGGAGCGGTGTTTTACTGTATGAGCTTATGTTACCATTTTTAAATGTTCAGGTGCAGCCCTTATGTTAGAACACTTAATAATAAAGTGAATCAATGATAATTAGGCACTAATGAAGAGATTTTGTTCTTCAAATGTGTTTTTATAGGATATGCCTTTCATATCTGTGAGGCTAGATGGCACTGTTCCCATGAATGTGAGATAGTTGTTTTGATTCACAGCTCAGCTGTTAATAAAAAATGCTCACTCACTCACTCACACACACACACACACACACACACACACACGTTTGACCCAACTTTTTTTTTTTTTTGCTCCACAAGACCATACAAACTTATCTAAAATCACTTCATCAAATGAAAGCATCTTTCCTCATATTCCAAGATGAGAGTTGTTGTCATCTCTGATATGATGCTCACCCACTAAAACAGCAAAAATACCCACCCACGCTTCAAATGTAATACAGCACGTAGTCGATTTGTGCTCAGTTTCTTGGCTGACTCCAGAGTAGCAGAACATGTGGGACAGTTCTGACCTATAGCAGTTCTATGAGATCATTGCTTCAGAACTTGAAGGTGGTCACCGCATTTCTTTTTAAGACAGTATCCCCATTTTATCATCTTACTTAAAAAAGTCCCACCATATGATCAATCTGCCTCATGTAGACACTCTTTAATGGCAGAGCGAACCTTTGCTCCTCTGGGATCTTAATGCACTGCGGAGGAAAGGGGGGGGAAAGTAAGTTAAACATTGAAATGCTGCAAAGGCGAGTTTGGTCGATGAAGATGGGTGTCCTCACATTACTTGTATTGCTCAGAGGTGACTGCTCAGTTGTTGCCAATGCTCCCTCCTCACATGGAAACAAGTCGCTCCACTGTTTCTCTCTGAAGCGTTTGTCTATAGGCACGACATGGCCCTCGGTAGTGAAGATGTACTTGTTATCAGATTTGTGAAGAGGGTTGTCCTCATCAAAGAGCTGCAATGCATGCAAGAGAAAAATGTTTTACAGGGCAATTTGGAAAGAACTTTTTCACTCCAACAATATCATGAATGTTATGCTCTCATTTCTATAATCAGATATAATGGTACAGAGACTTACCAAGAAGAGATATTTGCAGGTTTCACTGAGGAAAAAGCTCTCCATTCGATCCTCTTTGGATTTGTCCACAACATGGTGGAGAGTGGCATACCCACATCTACAAAATAACACAGCTCAAGTCAACAAACAATTTAGAAATTAATTATTTGTGAATGTATATTAAAAAAAACAATTAGGCATCAGCAGAATATTTAACATGTGTAAATGATCCCCACCTGACTTTGGCATTTTTCTCAAGGCTCTGAAGAATATCCATCCCAACATGCAAGTAAAAAGGATTTTTGGTTGCCTGTTGAATAGAAGAAAAGAATGAGCCAAAGTCAAGGGTACCCAGCAAACAGCTGGACAACCGGCTGGTGCAGTCACCTGGTACAGAAGGTAAGTGGACTCCACCAGCTCTGGTCTTAAAGGGTAGAAGAGGACATCAGGTGCCTGCAGCTGCCAGTTGTATCGCTCTGGGAGAGCTCCAAAACGCTTCCATATGGCATAGTAGAAGGCGTGCAGGCAAATGGCGTTATCTACATCACCATTCAGCACCTTTAAGACAGAGCAGTCCCGGGTTTAGTTTAACCCCACAGAACATTTCCCACATTTTTCCCATTAAGCCTTTCATACCTGCAACCCAGGGAAAAAGGCCTGGAGGGAATCAATCCAGGTGTTCATTATCTCACCACTGAACATGTTCACATTGACGTATAGAGGCGGGTCACCCTCCCCTTCATTGCATGACTCTCGGCTAAGAGAGACAGAGGAGAAAAGTTAAGGGCTATAAGAATATTTAATGCTTCTCAGTGCCTCTTCATATCAGAGAAAGCTTAGATTGTGGTATTTGAAATGGAAAACTGGTTATGGTTGTTTGACATCTTATCATAATGACCTAAGTACAAACATTCAAACAGAGACATTACCAAAGTGAACCTAACATTCATCATGTGTAGCCAGCTGAGAACTAGAGTAGAGGGCTGTTCCCACTGCTTATCATCGAACAATGAGGAGAAATGCACACTAGCAGACTATGCCACATTCCTTCAGCATGGGACTCACCCTCTTCTCAGGTGGTTCTGTATGCTCTGATAAGCAGCTTGAAACATCTGGAAGTCCTCCTTCTCACCAAAAAGGATGTATGATTTAAGCAAATATTCATAGAAGGAGTCCATACCAGCTCCAAGACCACTCTGCTTGCCCACCCACTTGCCTGTTTGGATATTAACGACATTTCCTGTAGAGATAAAGAGCTTTGTGTAAACTTTTCAGAAAGAGGGCGACACTGAAGTTTAAAAGAAAAACTAAATCCAGCAGATGCAGGAAAACAAACATTAAAAGCCACAAGACTTCCAAGCTGTACTTGCCCAGTAGACCAGTTTCGTTGCTTCTCAGACTCCACAAGGCTCTGACAGCTCGCCTAGCGACCCACTCGAAAGTTGAATCTCCAATCAAGCGGCTCAGAATCCCAAACTCCACCAGCAGGGAGCCAGCTCCTGCAGTACACGTCTCATTGATGCTGTCATGGGGAACTCCACTCTTCAGGTTCACCTAAAATGAAGAAACAAATGTATAAAGCTAGTGAATGGCCATTTTCCTTGCCTTAAAAGGACATTTACTCCCATCACACCTTTAGGCACAGTTAATTGACTTTATTCACTCACCCTGGGATACGGAATTCCTGTGCTGGTGTTCTCGAAAGCTGGCAGCAGGCGGACAGCCAAGTCATGGGCCAGGTGCAGCAGCTCATTATCGTAACCTTCAAAGTCCACCTTGCCAAACGGATGCTTTGGGTCAGTCAACAGAATGTGTGCGGAAATAAGGCTTCCCAAGATCCTGCGGGGACGAGTCATTAGAAAACATGGTTGAATAATAAAAATGCTAAAATGCTAAAAACGACTTTGTACATTTGAAACAGAAATGTTCACTGAATTCATTTAGACATGGTTTAAAACAGATGTGTATCATAAGGAATTATGGCAGATGTCTTAAAGCAAGCCTCCATCTCCAGACACCATGTAAAATGCTTTCATACTATCAGTTTGAAAGATAAAATAATGCAGAAAAATTCTCCAAACATAGATACACTACAACATATCTACAAAGGGGATGTTATCAATAAATGTCATGGTGACATACACACATGCTAGATTTTTTACTCAAAAAATTAAAAGGTTTAATGGCTTTTGTACCTGATGTTTGCCTCAAAAACCTGGACAGTCGAGTCCTTGTCAAATGACACAGTATCTATAACCAGTTTGACGGCTCTGTGGAATTCTGTCACATTGCCAAGCACCTGGAGTGAAAAGGAAAAAAAGACATGTTAAACAAAAGTAAACCTTTTTTTTTCATTGCAATTTAAATTCAGTTTAGGATTGTAAATGCTTTGATTTTTAAGGTTGACACAATGACGCACACACGGTGGAATATAAGGTAAGGAAGTTTGAGAGTGGCTGAAAACCAGGCGTATAACCTATTCCGACTATACTGAATACTGTGGCACAGACAACACAGAAGACTTACCAGCAGGGTATCCAAGGTGTCAATGAGTGTGAGGGAATAGTTCCCCAAGACATCGTTTATGTTGATGTTTGACCTGAAATGAAGATCGGTACAATGGTCTCAGAAAGCACACTTTAGATTAAAGACAACAGTGAAGTATAGAGGTGAATGAATGTATATTCTTCTCCATGCAAAACAACTTGAAACTAAAGGCTAATGGCACTGTTTGAGGTCTTCTCAGTAATTAGAGCTTTTCCCTGCGAAACTGGGTGATCTCATTCTGCAAACACTCAGAGAGTATCAAGATAAACAAAAGCTGATCTGGAGACAAAGGGTTGTTATTCTCCACTTAGGCAAAGTTTTTAATCAGTGCAGGCAACAAGCACAACTCTTCCACTCTGTGTCAGAAATATATCAACCTAATAGCTGACCAATTGGGTCAGATTCATTTCTTTTTCTTATAATGGAAAAAAAAGGTTGATTAAATTGTCCATTACTAAAGCACCCTTTTGTTGTCCAAAAACTATGCAAAGTACATGTACAATAAATTCTATTTACCTTCAAAACCAAAACCAAACAGAGACTTCAACTTCTGTTTGAAACATAAACTATGAGATTACACTACATAAATATAGACATCTTTTAATGACTGTTTGAGATGCAAACATCACTGTCCATGTCCAGTGACCAAGAATCTGTTCCACATTTAAAAAGTGGAACACATACACACGATTTGTGGACTTTTGGAGAAGCTAAGCCATGTTTTTTTTTTTTTTTAAACCACAGTTGAACACACACATATATCCAACACTGTTCTTTCAGACCCCCTGAACAGCCACAGTATCTCATGCTCTGCATCTTTTAAGCAGTTTCTGGCCTTTGAAAACAGTTCAGGATGACTCACGGGTTTAACACGTCTGGACCTCTCCCTTCACAGTCAATGGGATTCAGCTCGTCCTCTGGAAAAGCATATTTCATGTAATTGTCATATCCGAAGTAGAACATGTCTTTGGCCATCTCTTTCATCTTCGCCCTCAGCGTGTCCGGGAATGAGCTGTATCTCCGTACGTACTCGTCCTTGTTGGCATCGAAGAGGTTCAGGTAGGATCCCTTGGGTGACTGCACTCCAGCCTTGTTACAGGATGTCGTCTCCTCATATCCATGCTCGCGTATTCGTTGAGACCACGAGTTACCTCTCGCTTCGGTTTCTTTTTCCTCCCTGAATAACAAATCTAATTTGTGCAAATTAAAGCCGAGGGGGAAGTTGAACCCCCAGCTAACATTGGATCCCAGTCCGAAGGCTAACCACAGCACACAGCTGACAGAGAGTCTCAATACGACCAGACCAACTACTATCGACCTCCATTGCATCTTTGCCTAAGGTGGATCTTAAAACGCATTATTCACCTCCACATTACTCCGGAGTGTGCCCAAATGTGAGGTCCGCTGTGAAGGTAAACTACCAACAGTTTGGAATATGGACCGACTCCGTATTTAATACTTCCTGTCAACAAACCAACCCCTCCCTGATCCTGCGGTGTGATTGGTTCCACTTTCACGTCGTCAGCTAGAACCTCGACAAACTCGTTCATTGATTGGTCGAGATGCTGTCATTTATCCGGTTGCGTTTCGTGGCATTCAACACCTCTACACCAATAGAAAACAGCCACAAGAGTGAAACCTGCGAGCTGTGAAACATCATTTGGTTAAATTTTCATCTGTAAAGAGTAAAACGTAAGAAAGGCCAGCTACATTCAAATTTCAAGAAAATCATCGCAGTAAAATTTACTTACTAACAGCATTTTCATTCAAATTTCATTGTAAAAGAAGTATGGCAATTGTTACAGTTACAGTTCTTACCCCTGATAGAACAAGTTCAGTTTGCATCTGTTGAATTTACCATTCTTATAAACTTAATTGCCCTTGGTGCAGTAAGCTCACTGTAACTTGGGCATATGAAAATAACACCATTTAGGTTTATTAGATGCTTCTTTACTCAGATACATCATATTAATGAACATGGCTTTTTATTTTGGTAACAAAATCTATGAAGTCACTGTGCATAGAATTACCTACAGCACCTCTTTAGATAATCTACTGAATTAACAAACGCCATTTCCTAATCTAAAAAAAATACTAAATTTAAGATTATAAATGGAATAAAGAGTCTTTATAGTCTTTCAACTTGTGGGAGTCTTCACGAGTCTAGCCCATCAAACCATGTGCAAAACTAATTGGATTGCACTTAAACGTGTGTACTATAGGTCTTATATTTATGCCATATGTCATAGCCTCTCAATGGGACATGGCCACTAGAGAGCAGCATTTACTTCTGATATGTCCCTTTTCTCCATCTGCATCTTGAAATGCAGTCAATGAAGAAACTGTGTGAAACTCTGCTCTCATCAGCCCCATTTCCCCCCTCCCCTATATTTGTTTTTCTTCTAAGAATAGTTCATTTAGATATCCTCACATGCATATGACAAATATGCTGCTGAATATTGCCTTTTTCCATGGACAATTTGTGCTCAAAACTGATAGAATTGTCAACTCGGCATGACCTTCTTTCATGTTACTTGCTTCATTTTTGTGTTTTGAAAATTATTTTTCAGTTTCCTTCACTCTCCCAGGGTTTAGTATTGTTCCAGTTGGTCATGCTATTCTATTATTGCGTGCCTGATTTTGACCCACTGTCCTTTTACTTGGCCACTGTTAATAAAAATGTGAATTGGATAAATTAGATTTACTATAACTAGCGAAGCCTCGCGCAAATTATACAAGGGATCATTTTAAAGGCATAGCAGAACAAAACGGCTTCAGACATGCTCTTAGCCCCCAAAAAAACGTGATTCCGGAAGAGATGTTTTGCTTTGTCCTGACGCAGAGAAGACTGGCTTTGTGGAGCTTCGGCCAAACGGACTTACCTTCGAATGCGGCTACACCTTTTATTTACACACAGCACTCTGTGACTTCTAATCCTTCATGTTTTACTCTACCACGGTAGGCACACCTTCCATGCTGCTCTGCTTCAGAGGTGAGAGATGTTGCACAAGGCACTTTAATTTCTGCCACTCTCTCAGCATTGCAGCAGCACAGAGGACATCATTCCACTGAGGCTAACATACAGAAGCCAATATGAACCACACAATCCTGTACAGCTTTACTTTTAGTACATTCAGACTTTAAATAGAACCATATATTCATACACATACATCCCACATCGGTAAAAATCATACTAGCTTGCTATTTGTACAGACCTTCTTAAATTGACTTAAATGCACAATTTTCTAAAACAAAAGACGTATTTTGATCGAGTGAAGGGAGACGATCATCATAGATGATCACAGAGCAGAGCTTGACGGAAAAGGGGAATGTATGTCCATATCACTCATGTTTGGGCATCAAACCCTGACCACGTGAACAGCTCATTGTTTAAGGCCTGTTTAATAGAATAAACACATTCCTTGAATTGTAGTATATCCAAAATTACATAATATTACAAACCACTAGGTTTATTCAGTTGGGAAACGCCTTCAGAGTAACCAGCAGATCAGTAAACCTTTGCTTACTCCTGGTTAAAGAACAGATATATAATGCCAATTTCATTCCTCAGATCGGAAGAACCAGTTTGTAGTAGTGCATCGACTGGGTTCGTGAAAGAATAACAAAGGAAAAGAAGTGTGACACAAGCAGAAGAGCGCAGTGTGTGAGGTGAAGATGCGACCGTACACCTTTGCAGTGGTAAGGGTGTGACATAACAGTAACATGGCTAATACAACTGGAAACTCCTGTATTTTCAGCTCCTACGAGACTTTGAGTGCTGGATGAGCCACTGAAGCGTGATGTCTGCAATCAATGAGACACATGAGTGTTAGTCTGACAAATACTCACTTTTTATTTTTTTTAAAACTCCAAAACATCACATTTTATAACATTTTTGTATAGTGGGCAGGGCAACTCTTGCTATTGGTGTATTACATGGTTATATAGCCAAGCAAAATAAGTCAGGTTTAGACTACAAACAATAGAATTAGGCAGACCATCAACAAGTACACTGGTGAAATAATAATTGTGAGAATTCCATAAAACACATGAGATTGTCCCTAGAAAAAGATGTAACAGCCAGAATAATTGAAACTTACCAATGTTATCTTTCTCTTTGCAGGAAATAGAGTAGCAGCAAATCTCTCTATCCTGAATTGCTGCAAGATTCCTGCGAACAGTTGAAAAAGGCATTAACAAAGAAATAATAGTAGTATGTAATTTAACTGCCCCTATGTCTAATACATTGGCTGCTTGTTGGACACAGACACACTTTGAACCTTTAGCAGAGGGAGCTACGGCACCAATTACCAAAACATCTCCACTTTTAACTAAGTTTATATGGAAGGGGCTGTTAAAACCAAAAGGGCACTGAAACGTTCAAGTTTGACAGCAAAATTCTCATGTTAATTTCACAAAGATTGTCTGATTAAAAAAAAGTAAAACGTATTTTTATAGATTACTTTGTTTTTTTAAAGTCTAATCGATCTGAGCAAATAACCCAGAACGTGACATACAGCTCTCCTCAATTTTAAAGATTCAGCACGTGTGTTTTTGGTGAATATATACTTACATTTTCTCAATGAGCTGCTTTTCATCTAGCGCGCTGGGAAGATCCCTTTTGTTACCGAGAACCAAAACCTGAAGAATAGAAAAAAAAACACCTAACCAATATATTCTAGGTGTGGGTTTTTTGATCACTTCCTTTAGTTTTGCATGACTACTACAGAAATTGCATCTAAATGTGTTATTTTCCTTTTTTTTTTCTCAAACACTTACAGGAATTCCTTGCAACTGAGGTTTATCTAGCAAATTATGTAGCTCATTTCTGGAAGCCTCCACCTTCTCTCGATCTGCTGCGTCAACCATGTACCTAGAAATGAAAGCAGTTTTGCTCACCTACATCAGGGCTATGTTTCCATCAGTTGAGATGTCCCTAATTTACATTTAATTGATTGAAAGCTGAAAAGACTGGATACTCACACGATTGCATTAACTCCCCGACAGTACCGCTCCCACATGCTTCTGAACCTTGGCTGCCCTCCTATATCCCAGATCTGCAAAATTATGGGCACAAAATGCTCCGCTTGAAATGTCACAGACAATGCAGCGATGATTTTAGGAACTAAACTTTGAAACGGCGACTTTCTAATGTAATCAGAAGGGTTCAAAATAGACCTTGATGGTGACGTTTCCTTTGGTGACTTTCCTCATGTTGAAGCCAACTGTGGGGATCATATCTTCACTGAAGTGTCCAGACTGAAAGAAAAACGCATCTTCAAATAAGTACAAAACATCGGACCTATTAGACCTACTTTCTCTAAAAACTGAGTTTGATTAGGGAAAATATTTACATATATATATATATTCATTTATATGACAGAAAAAGGGTTTAACAACATGGGAAAAGTTAAAACAGCGCAGTACAACTCGACAAAAGAAAGGCACGAGTAGAATTAGAGTAGAGTTTTCAGTTTAACTCTAAAAGTGTCGCGAGCTCCACAAGAGGATGTGTTTTCCATCTATGTACAGCATGGCAGCTACAGGCACTCTCATCCTGTTTGGACCCGACTCGAGCTTCTACTAGCTGACTGCTACCTAAAGATCCCAGAGCTCTGCTTGGTTTAAATTGTACTGTAGTAATATTTCCCTTCCTGATCATTAGGTGATGTAAACTAAAACAGCTGAAAGTCTGTTCTGTTGGTAACGGGAAGCTAATAAAGGGACCTAAGAACAGGAGTTGAAGCTGTCTAATTGACTTTTTGGGAAGAGCAGATAAAAAGAAACATTACAGTAGTCACGTCCGCTAGAGATGAGGGCATGAATTAACTCCTGTAAATCAATTTTAATTCAGAGGCATCCGTCTTTCAGATTCAAGCTAAAAAGCTTGTGGAGTTCTCTCGCCCCATGCCTCCATTTGTAGACATAAGCTCATACATCGTCTGATATACGCAGATTTCACGGCACATGACTCGCCAGAGTCACCTGATGAAGCTAAGTGGAAATGAGTGCAGCAGTCTCATGACTTACGAAGGAGGAACCACTCCCACAGCAACCACTCGATCTTTCAAAACTCTGCGTCACAAGCTTAGAGGGTCATTTTCTCCCCTCCCAAACATGAGGAAGTGAGTAGTCGTACTCCAACATCAGACCCTACTTCAACCTCTGATAACCTTTGACCCGTAAACATGTTTAGTGCTACCCCTTTCGTCCAACCGGAAATTTTTCCCTTAAATGTATTTGCTCTTAGACAGAAATAAATGATCAAATATGGACATGTGGTCTGGATTCAGTCATGGTTTTAAAGACAGTAGACAAAAGTGCTAATATATCATATTTTCCTTTTTAACTGATATTTTCTGTTAATTCGATTTAGTTTTTTACCTGAAAATATTGGTAACTGTGTCTAACAGTCCTAAATCTGAAGCCTTTAAACAGGGTTTTATTGTATGTTCAATCCAAAACAAAGATTTGTTAAATTTGTTTTTGTCCATAAATTCCTTTTTTGATGGAACCAGACATCTTGGTTAAAGTGCCACAATAAGCTGTAAAACACGTCTTTTAATCTTAGTAGTACGGTAGAGAATTTTTCTCGGATATGAAATAATTCCATAACTTAACTAGTCAAAAAGACTCACGTACATTTCAAAAGGCCTAAAAGGTATACAGAAAAACAGAACAGGCTCACTCTCCTCAACCCAGAAACTAACCATTTGTCAACCAAAGAGATTCTTAACGTATCTTTCTTATCGATGATCAAAAACTGAATTTTAAATCAAAATCAGGTTCTTTCATTTCCATTCACACACTAAAATGTGTCAAGGGCTGTAAATATGCAGGTATCCCTTTTAATCATAACACAGATTACATCCCATAGAGCAATGCTGCTCCATTTAAACTGTCAAACTACATCCTGTAAAGTCAGACTCCACACAGTTGGAGAAAAGGCACAGTGAAAACTACTCTGAGAACATCCACAATGAAAACAGAAAACCAGTTAGCCAATGCACATTGCTCCATTAGAAACAGTTTTTGAGACACCCCTGCAGAAGTTACAAAAGGGGACATCATGAAACGCTCAAAACAAGAGGAAAGGTCACAATAGGCAGATACTCCTTCTTCCCATTCATCCCAGTTGTATTTGTCCAAACATCAAATATGAAAAGCGGAGCGAGAACCATACCCTGCTATTGCAAAAAAATAAAGGCAGTTACTTTCTGTCTTTCTGCTCCATAGTGCTGCTACAAGGATGAGACAGAGCCCACATGTTCACATGACTCTGTGCTCCATCCTGTTTGCCTTCTGCAGGCTGTTGCAAAGGTAAGTGTGCGTTTTTTAACTTCCTGGTGACAGAAAACCTCACAGTTGTTGACCCCTCCGTTGACTGGGGTCACTTTATTGGGGTTTGGGGTTTGGCATGAAGGCACATAACGCAGGTGGGAGCTAAGCGACTGGTAGCAAACTAGTTAGCTCAGCTGACGAGTTGACAGCACACTTACAGCCTGGTTTAAGGACAGGAAGGTTCAGTGGACACATTTAATGCACCAGAGTACTATTATAGCATCTGTACTAGAAATACATTTAAACGTTTAAGAAAGAAAAAAATACTTCCATGCCCTTATTAGCGCTACGGCTATTAGCCAAACCCTTGCAAGTTGGCTAGCAGCCGCTGAAGACTTACAGCGATCACGTTTACAAATGTTGTTTTTCCAGAGTACTGCAGGCCGACCAACGTCAGCTCCATCTCCTCCTTCCAAAACAGAGACTTGAACCAGTCCAAAAGCCGGTTTATTAGAGCCAGCATCTTGATGTCGGTGATCACGCTTCCCTGTGGCGGAATCTGTCTCTCCCTCCCTGTCAGATGTGGCGTTTTCCATCGGGGAAGGGAAATGGGACACAAGCAGCTGTCATATGACCAGCCGGCCCCGACTGCGCTGCTTAGCGCCCCCTCTGGCAATATTAGGAATTGCATTCACGGTCAGCCCCTCTGAATTCCTGATATGGACACTAGAAACTATGAAGTTTTCATTTCATGAGTTGTCCCATGTACGATAAGAGAGTTTTTAGCTGCAGCTGAAAGTGAAGACGCTGCATACGTGATTTACAACTGAAGTCATTTCTTGCTGTTCTAAAATATCATGAAGATCCTGTGTTGTGGCTGTACACCCCACAGGTTAGTCATTTTTAAAGCTGTAAAATTAGAAACATCAGCATTCCAGCTTTTACTACGCAAGTTAGGTATTGTAACATACTTCTTATCGTCTATCTATGTCTTACTTTCCTTATTAGTCATTAATCTGAGAAAACAATATTTACAAACACAGCTAGATAGGTTTTAATATGGCTTTGATTCAAAGTAGTTTCTCCTAACTGACTAAAACAAGATCAAGTATAATAACAAAAAAAAGAATGACAGAAAGAAAATGAATCTATTTGTTAAACTAAAATAAAATAAATAAAGCCGCAGAGTTCCCCTTCATTTCCAACGTTAACACATAATCTAATCCTGGATGAGATTGTATCATCCAGATGAGTATTTTTCGTTGGAAATATGGTCAGGAAATCAAAACAAAAAGCACTTTCATAAAGCATGTAGACAGTAAACACTTAACATAAGTCACACAATTTCTTAACATTTTCTTTTTCACACTTACACAAAATCATACACATTATTCTTATCCATTTGATGTCAGAGTGGCTGAAATCATTTGAAATAGATATCCAATCAGTGAAGTACCCTGTTTTGGGGTTTCCATACACAAGCAAGATGCTGTTAAATTAAAACAATGGACCCTGTGGCTAATTGAGGCTGGTGACACTGTCATCTTATTTCCAGATGCAGCTGACATGAACTGTCCTTGACTTCATCCTGGATCATGAGCTGGACTCCACTCTCCTCCTTTGAAAGATGAAAGCTGCTGGTGTTGACTGGGACCACTTGGACAGGTTGATCTACTCAGGCAGTGAGAGATAACACAACAAAAAAGTGTTTGTATGTGTAATATCACTGATGCATTCACACCAAGGACCTTGCATTGTCAAGTAAGTACTCTGAATCCTTTCTTTGTCTTAAAGTGCTTTTCCAAAGTAGTTAGCCATATCATTTTTATCCCCCATTGGGGTTCTTTTTAAATGTATTTTAATGCTGATGATCAGGAAAAAATCAACTCAAATAAAAAGGCGTTACTCTTTACCGAATACTTTTTTTTAACCACCATGCCAGTTTTGGCGGCATTTGTTTTATTAAATCATTACTGTTTTTCAGGAATTTAATTCAAATCAAATTGACTTTATCAATTGACACTTGCTTACTTGCTGTGCGCTTCCTGAGGTTCTTTGAGCAGGTATAAGACACAAAAATAAAGACGGCGAGGGAGAGAAAAACAAATCCGATGCACATGGTCACATAAATGAAGTCTCTCTGTGTCTCTGAGGAAAAGTCAAATCATAGATAGGTTAGTACTGATATTTTGACAAAGAAAAGTGCAACAGATCACAGTAAATATAAATAGACTAAACAAGTTGTAAAACAATAAACCCTGCAACCAATCTGCCATTCTTTACCAGGGTCATAACAAACAGAGTCACGGGTCTCGTTTCCTGGAATCCGTTCATATCTGGTAGCCACGCACCTGTTGACCACAACAAGTAGTTAGTGTCAGTCTAAATTTCACTTCTTCATTCAGTTCAACGTTGCTCAATTACTTTGCCTCGTTTCTCCAAAGGACATTGTCATTTCCAAATCATATCAGCTCCAAATCTCGAAAGACTTTGTTTCTCGGTCACAACAGGTTTTTTTAAATCCTTCTGTTCCAGCTCTTTGAATATGATACTGCAAAGGACCGGCTCTCTGATCAAAACTTCTTTTTCAGTGGTAAAAGTGATGTTGCTGTTCTTCCAAACATCACCACTTACAGTAATTGCTTTAGTCATAGCGTGCAAATATTCCCAAAGTGTCAGTATTTAATTTCTGTGAAACTGCCAAACTTCCTGCTGTATGACGGTGGTTCATAACCTATAGAGAGTTGTGGCTTTTGACTGTGAAACACTGCAGCTTGTTTTAGTGGCTTGCAGCAGCTTGCATTCTTATGTGAATTTGCAAGAAGGCTTAAAGGTCAGTGTCTCAATTGCAAACATACTGTATATGCCAGGCTTTTTTCTGGAAAGTACAGTTCACAAAATTTCAATGTTAAAAATCCAAAAGGACAGTGATAACCTGGTAAAGTGCAGTGGGCAGCCAGTTTAGACAACCATTTGGGGTGGGGGTTTCCATTGGTAAGAACTCAGTCCTACTCAGCTCTGCTCACCTCGACCACAATTCAGTTAAGGTGGCTTTCCATTACAAATGAGGTCCTAATAGAAGAGAGGGGTCAAACGGCCCATGGCATCATCCGTGTGCGACAGAAGAATGAAACATCAATTAAGGAGTTTGTGGCGACACCATACCAGCCGAATCTCCATGTTTGTTGATGCGTTAGGCATTCAAAGTGTTAATCACAGAAAAAAAGACAAGTCGCTTCTATGACTTATCGAGTCACGCGACAACCTGTCCAATCCGTGGCCAATTGCCAATCTATCGCCTGCCAGCTTGGAGCTTTAGCCCAGTAGTTGCTAAAATTCTGTCAGTTAGGAGGTGTCAACCCTTGCTGAGCAGCATTGAGTTGTTCCTTTGTGGTATTGGCTAGTTTGGTAAATTTGTATATTCATTAAGACTGTTATAGAAGAAGGAGTCAAAGTAAAACTAATGTCTATGAACTCATTTAAAGGGGTCTTACTCTGTGCGTGGCTTGCAGATGTCATTTTCCACATCAAAGTATTCATTTCCCCGACATTTAGGTTCACATTTATATGAATATGTTGTCAAATTGGGACCCGACAGATTCTCTGTGTGGATAGATGTATATGGGTACAAACAGTTAGTTACAACCGGCAACATCAACTTAATTCTGTAATTTTAAAATGTGTCCATTCTTACCTGTCCTGGTTGGCTTCTCCCATGCTTTACATCTGTTTTCTTCACACTCTGAGCAGAGGTTGTTAGAACAGAGGAAACCAGACTGACAAGAACAAGTTCCACTCGTGGTTGATGTACACCTCTCAGAAAAGCCTGTAGATGGACAATTATTTGAGGCACGTTACATTTGATCTTTCTGCCGCATTTAATGCATGTCAGCATGTCTCTCAAGTTTTACCTTGGGGGCAGTGATTGCACTCTTCACAGACCGGGAAAAAGGTGTATTTATCCGAGTAGTGTCCCTTCGGACAGGGCTTACAGACAGTTTGATGAAACTCAGAGCAATATTCCTCTAGAAAAGTCCCTTAAAAGCAAAAAAACAACAAAAAACAGAATGTGTAGGCATCAAGAAAATATTCACTCTGAACATTTCATCTTAATTCAAGTAGATTTTATGTTAATGTTCAATCTCACAGTTTAACAGCTTTATAAACAACACTGTATCTCTTGTTAAATTTTTGAATAAGGGATTTACCTGGGGGACACATGTCACAGCAGTGTCCATTTACCTCCTTCCGTTCACCACAGTCTCTGGTTTGTCCGATTGTGCACAAGCTCAGACAGTGCAAAAGTAATAACACCATTGAGAGTTTCATTGTGATCAGAGCTCAGCTGCTGTTTCTTAGGACATATATTTGCTTTGAGATGACGTCAGTCTTTTTTTATTTTTTTGTCAGTCAGACCGGGGAAGTCAAAGACCACAAAAACCAACAGTGACATTAGACTGGGTGGTTCTTGGACCCCTAAACAGCACACTGTAAGATGTGTCTCTCAGCTTTCAAGATGTCACTTCACAAGGCTTTTTTGGAAACTACAGGTTTTATGTCATATTCTTCTCTTAACGTTACCCTGGCTCTTCTGAGATGCTACCGCATTCAAACTCAAAATGTGCTTCCATGTGTTGTTTTTAGTGTCTTAGTCATGTGTTGGTGTAGTTCCTTTTTTTACATGAACACCGAGAGCGATGACTAATGAAGCTAAGATGGAGATACAGTCGGAGATAATATTTTAAAATGTTTTTTATTCTTTATCATCCTAACCTTCAAACATTTGACAGGATTTTTGGTCTATGGACAAACAAAGTTCAAAGGAAGGATCCGTTTCAAATGAGACAGGTTTGTGACGACTGACAGAACCGTGACTCTCAAAACCCCTTGTCTCTCAGCTGTATGTAAATACAGAACATAGACGTGCATATGCATTCTTTCACCATGTTTGCAAGCAAGGTGTGCAAAATGATCTTTACACACAAATGAACAAATATGATATGAGCTAGAGCTTTGCCATGATAGAATGATAACACACAACTTGGTAATCATTTGCATGTAAAAAATATATATATTATTAGTGCCACAATTAAATTGGCAAGATCTTGAAAGCAACTCTAGAATCCTGAGCTGGATCAAGTGGTGGAACGGTTGGATAACATTGAAAATTGAGTGCACATTTTTACAGAATGTGAAAATGAATAGCTCTGATAATTAATTTAGTTTTATCTGGTTATATAAACTGGATTTAAAGCACAACGTAAAACTACTGAAAAAGAACAAATAATACATACAAAAATAATTAATTAAATGATGAATTTTAACATTGAAGGTTGAGAGTATATATACTGTATATATATATATTTATATATTTCATCTGGTAGTTATGGTAGCAGTAAAGTAGAAATGATAATATCAGAATTTCAGCACAATGCATTTAATTGATTTCTGAAGCTGGATTTGCATTTAGGCATCATCATGCGTAGCTGTGATGAGGTTTAAGGCTATCCATGACATTCTCCTCTGTTGCTTCTTCACACATGCACTACAACAAAGACTCATGTGAGGGTAGAGGTGCGTAGATGCTGTCATCAGAAGCCAGGAGGTTGTAGCCACAAAGGGCATGCTGACACTTATGAAAGTGAAGTTCCCGTTACAGAGTACATCTATCACCCTCAGACGTTATGCTATTTGTAGAGGAAATGTAGGTGCTCAAATTTGGTTAGAGCGACAAAGATTTGCCACCGTGCTGTCACTAGGCCAACGACAAAGACTTTAAAAAAATCTAAAACCCACGCCTTATCTCAGATCAAGTTCCTGTTAATTTGGATTAACATAAAAAACCCGACCAAAGAAATTATAGTCAAATTTTAGTCTGGATCAGTTTGTTTAAAAAAAAAAAAAGTTTTTGAAAAAGCAGAAATAAACTATGAATAAATGTTTTAGATTCTAAACATTATGCAGCTTCAACTTATCATGTAATTAGTATATTTTGACAACACAAACAACTGAAAAGACATGTCATATGAAACACTTTTTCAACAGGGATAGTTAGAGTGACTTATGAAATAAATGGCCTCACAGTACATACTGGGAAAGAGTCTGAATAACAAAACATTTTTAAATGTCTGAAGTGATTGCGGAGTAGTATAATCTTCATTGTTCAGTTTTGGGTTGTGGGGGAACCGATCACCAGACCGTAACAGGAAAAAGAAAATGCATGTTGACACTTATTCATAGAGCATATTTAAATTAGCCTGATTAACCTAGAGCTTCTTCAGCTTTCTTCAGCACTGAAAAGCTGTTCCATTTACTTGAGTCAGATGTACTGCAGTAGGAAACTCGCAGAACAGTGTCGGGAAACACTGGTACAAGTGATGCATGATGTTTATCATTCACTGATGGCATACTTTCTGAGTAAGTTGCAACAAATTGAGCCTCATTCTAGAAATTGGTTGAAACATGGTTTGTTACTCATTCAGCTGCAGTTTGAAACCGCACACCAATTTCCTGCATTGGTTACATGTTCTTTCAGTTCCTGCACGGGGAAGACTGCACAGCGTATAAGACTTATTTTTACTTTTGATGTTGTATCAAAATTAGCTTTAAGTGTTGGCCATTTCTACTGAACATTAACTCAGATATTTGAAGTGAATTTGACAACAGTAAACATAAGTGGCATCATGAAATCACCAAGATTCTTACTTTTATGTTGCTTTATTTGCTTTACAAAAATTATCTTTCTGAATAGAAAATACATTTTCATGACTGAATCAGTGAACTATTTATTTATCCATAAAGATAAAAAAAAATCCTAAACAGTCAGAGGGGTTACGCATGAAGCTGCCGTTTGTGTGTGTGTGTGTGTGTGGAGGGGGGGGGTTGTGTGCCTGTGTGTGTGTGCAGGTTTTTTTTCGAAGAGTAATGGCAATGAAGGAAAATAATGTGGGCATGCTTTCAGAACTCCTCTGACGGTTTTATCAGACAATCATCTACAGTAAGTTAAAAACAACTTCAAAAGTCTTCACATTTATAACATCAATCTTTCCATAGGCGAGAACAAGAAAACATGAGCGGAGGCACATCTTAATGGGAAAAAGCTAAGCTCTGTTAACACCACAGGGGAACTCTCCCAACCACACACCCTGCACTAGGCCTGTTTTTTACCTAGTTCTTCACAGAATGGGTCCACTACCAATGGAAAGGGGTGAGCAAACAAAAACAAGACAGAAAAAGAGTGAAAAAGTTCAACATTTCTTGTGCTATGGCTTTTTAACAGCTGGATCAGCTGTATGAATAATTTCTTACTTTACTGTTTTATTGGTCATACTGTGTATTTCTCAGACTTGTCCCAGGCCCACTTAGAGCATGTAGCTTTCTATAATGTCAGAAGACTAACAAAAACCACAGAAACACATGTATGTAAATGCCTTAGATGAGCAGTAATGGCATAATATCTCAGGTCACCATAAGAAAAAGAAACTGCAGTTTTGAAACTTCATAAATATAACAGTTACACTGATAAATAGTCTGAAAACCAATATAATGTTATAGTAGAATACATAGTACTATATTATAGTAAGTCAGAGATAAATGTAACCACTTAAACGGTGTACCTATTTTTAAGGAATTATATGTGATTCATACGACTTTGTAAAAAGGGTTGAATATGAACCACACTGCACTTGAGAATACACCTGCTACAATGCAGATGGTTTTACTTTGACCATAAAGAGATGGTCTGACTTAAAACTAACAGTGAAAGGAACATGTCAAGGATCAGTTTTATATTATTGAAAAGGATCATTCACAGCATTAGACAGCACCTAGCTTCACCTCAGGGCTCCGGATTTAGTTTGATAAAGGATTCACTGGTTTCACAGCTTTCCTCAACAGGTCTCCTGCAATGCGAATCGTTTGCTGTGAACAAGCAAACATGAATATTAATGAAACTATGCATGTATCTCAGTCCTAAGAAGAGTGAAGCACAGATCTTAGAATATGTGACTCTTTATATAGGAATAAATTCCAACAGGAACAAAAAAAGACCATAGTCATTTGAACATGTCTGACCTGTATAAAGTTTAAACAGACCAAATGGCATTTTTGGCTGGTTTAATATTTCTTTTTTACACAAGAAGTTGCCAAAAACATGGTGAGATGAATTTGTGTTTTGACAAATGCAAACTCAGACAGTTTGCAGCTTTGACTCTAGGCATCCAACCCTCATCCAAAAATGTCAATACTTAATCACTTTGCTTTCAACGTACCATGTCGTGTTGGTCTTTTCTTCCAGCAAGGAGTGATGCACAGCTTGCAGGTCACAGCAGTCAGCACAAGCACCAAACCAATTCCAAAAAACGGAAGGGCCTTGGCTGGTAATTGAGAAAAGCCACAATTGTATTATGTATTTCAACTTTTTAATCTGAGGTCACATCATGCGAGACGAAATCCAGTGTTTTACCGAGGTGGTTTCCAGTGTCTACCAGAAAAGGGGGCTGCACTGTTGTTGTTTCGGTAGACTTTTGTGCACGAGTTGTGGTGAAATGCGTCATCAGTGTGTTAGTCCCCTCACGTCGAGGGTGGGTTTCCAAAGGTTTGACAGAAACATTTCGGCTGGGGCTGGGCACTGTTGCAATCGGACTATTGCCCTTCTCCTCATTACAGACAACGTCTGAGGTTGGGGTGCCATTTATTTTCACTCCCTCCTTTGTGCAGCTATAATGGAGAAACGGAAATGAAAAATTGCATGTGTCTTTAGATATACTTGAGAGTTTGACATAATATTTATATGAAAAAAGATATAGTGGTCCTACTCTTTCCATTTTCTACAGGTTGTGCCAATTCTTGGGCTGAAATATCCATCACGGCATTTTGAACACTCTGGTCAGGAGAAAGAAACATTTGTTAAATAAAGTAATTAATTTCAAACATGACAGATGTTGTGATGTTGCCCTGATACCTCCTTGTTTTTCTTCATATCCTTTGTCGCATTTGCAAATGATAGAGCCTGAATTGTAGGGAACAAATCCTTGACGGCACTTGCATTCTGCATCTTTTTGTTTGGTGCAGCTCTGGGTTTGAGTGCTCCCTGAATTCACATTAACAACGAAAAACAAAGATTTGGTTTGGTTGGCAGAAATCTGAAAGCCATCCAATAAATGTGGATACTATATAAATTTCAAAGACTTTAATATTGCATTTCTCTGCTCTTACTTCATGCAACGCTTAATTTTTCTCTGGCCACATTCTAAGTTTATCAGTCATTGTGTATGGTACAGTTTTTATTACTATCAAAGCTTTAACTCTAACCTTCTTTGCAATAGTTGCATGCTTTACACCTCTTCGAAGTGTTTTCTGTTGGTTGGAAATATCCTTCATCGCAGGGTACACACTTCTGTCCTTTTTTACTTTCAGAGACCTTCTCACCTGGACGTGAATAGAACCAACATACTTTGACACTAGCACACAGCTCTCAGATCACTTCAGTAAAACATAACAAAAAGCAAAAACAGCGCTATTGTATATAGCTATAGACAGAATCAAGAACACGTAGAGTAGAACTAAGGAAAATTATACTTTACCTTTTGGGCATGTCCACGCATCCAAATCAACCACAAGTTGGTTGAATGCCAAAATAAATATGAGAAGACTACACAAAACCATAATTCTACGCTAGTAACACGAAGTTTCCTGTCTGAGGCACTAAAGAAAGCCTGACACAGGAAACAATCAGACTGAGCTTATGAAGGAACTCCCACGCGTCATTGAAGAATCATGGAAAATGTTTAAATTATGTTTTATGTCATCTTCCTTGCTTACCCGATTATTGTCCGATTGGGTCAGAGTTGTCAGACAATTAAAACCAAATCAACAAACGGTCTTACTTTGTAAACAAAAAAAAACTAATTCTCCGAAACCTTATGTAGCCAGTTCTGTGAATGACTTCACTACTATAAAAACCTTGGATCTGTAACTTATTGCAGAGCTTTTGTGATTTGAAAAAAGAAGAAATCTTACTGGATGTCTGATGAGCAGAAAAAACAGTTTGGATCCTGCAGTAGTTGAGAAAGTGTTGATAAATACATTATACATTTTCTTCTAAAGGTTTCAGGTCAATTAACCATTTGGGCTTGTTTTATTGCAAAAAAAAGTTGTTCCTCAAAGCCAGCTATGAAACTTTTTTTGTAAATGAAAATAAACAACTTTTAAATCATTTGAAATATATTATATACAATTTGAATGTATATTTGTATTTGTATGTATGTCAATGATCAGCAGGGACAATGATTTATTTTCCCTTTTTTTTATTAGAAGTTACTTTTGTGCATGAACCTTTGTGCAACTGTTTGGTGATTTCATATACAAATAAGTGAATGAAAACCGTGCCATATGAACAATACTGGCCCAGTGCTCAAAATGTCATCAGGTCTTGTGGACACCCTCCCATGCTCTCATCATTAGGATAAGCATCTTTTTCTCCATATGGTCAATTTAACACAATATAGTGGAGATCGTCAAAATTGTCAATTTCAAAGCGCAATGTTCCCCAGCTCTATTCATTCCTCTATTAACACTGTTTTTGGGACGTTGTCCTATTCTAAATGTGTCCAAGTTACAGGCTAAATGTTTAAGGTATGGTGTTAAATCATCAAACTTATTTACATTTGAAATCATAGAGACGAAATGTGTCAGTTTCACTTAATAAACCTATGATCTAGTCTTGATGTTTACTGTTTGGGTCTTCTTGCACACCACATATTTAAAAGTGACATTGTGCTAACTTGCACCCAGTTATTGTTAATTTAGCCAAATGTCTTGCCATCTTTAGTTGTTTTGAAAGTATGGGTGGACTCGTTAGAGTTCTTCAAGATTTCAAATGAGCACTTTGAACTTTTTTTGCTGAACTGTGTTTGATAGGCAACCTTTTACAATCAGAAAGGTACACAAATGTTTCTTGATCTAAATTACTTGATAGAGGCTTTCTGTGTATTTTGAAAGATCTGCTTTTTTTCACTTTTTTGGGGGGGGAAATTTTAAGCTATGCGAGTTGATTTTATACAGGAAAAAAAAGACATACACAGCATTTAGCTTGGAGATATTTTTGCCGGTTTGCTTTTTGTGCACCAGCTATTTGGAGAACAGGTGGAAAAAAACATGTTCAAGGTTATCTCAGATAAACCACAGATGCTGTAAACACCTCCACTTTGTCCCCGCCGTCACATACATCATAAGGGAAATTTTAAGTAAAATCATCAAAAACTTTCATATGGTTGTAAATAAGACGCAATGTTCCTGATAATATGTTTAACATATTTGTGAAAAAAACGAATCTAATAGAAAGTTTTTTGTTGTAATATTTCAAAATCTACTGTCATTTCCCTTATTAATTAGTGTTTTAGATATAACAGTCTATACCTGCTACATGTTATTTTTTAGAACGTTGTTGTTGAGAGTTAGTGGAAGGCATCATAGTGTTTCATATTCTCAGAATATGCGATATAAGATAAATGAATTTCTAAATATAAAAAATAATTAATGAATTAAGGGACTGTTTCCTGACTGAGTTATACAGATATCAAAACTGGGCTTTTGTCCTTTTCAGCTGTAAAAGATTGGACATAAAGCATATATGTTCGAAATGAAACGTACTGTATTAAAACAACGACATTACATACGACTATTCTACTTTTTTTTTAATAGTCATTGTTTAAGCAAATAATGTTTCACTATATGTCTAGCCATTGACTTCACCACACAAAAAGATCTGACAGATCTTTTCCGAGACATTTCCGTCGAATTTATATTTTTTAAATGTTGCAAAACTATGCAGAGGAGATCCGATATGCTTAACCTCACTGTGGCAAAAACACAATCCAGTGAATAACTAGCTTCCGCAATAAATAATAAATAATCCTCCGAATAAGGAGGAGAAGCAGGAGAAGGAGAAGGAGAAGGAGTAGAAGAGAAGTAGGAGGAGGGGGAGGAGGAGGAGGAGGAGTAGAAGAAGAAGCAGACGAAGAAGACACTCTTCACGACCTGTAATACGGCATGTCGAAAAACAGCTGAACAAGATGCGGCAGTAGTGAGCCTTATCTGTTATTTTGTTGTTAATAAAGGGAAACTGTCACATCAGGCATTTACCTAGTAAGTCCAAAGCAATCGCTGGCTTTCGCTTTAGAAGAGGGATCAATTTGGATACGCCTTTTCCTGAAACGCATTCGTAAATCAGGAGAAAAATCCAGCTACTTGGCGTGTTTTCCTCTATGAAAGAAGAAACTACAGTAACCGCATTTTGTTACAGAGGGTTTGTCAAGCGATCCTGTCCCCAAAAAAGCGATGCTGGTCACCGTTTTCTGCGCGCCGAGGGATCGTCCTGAAACTACATTTGCCCTCGATGTGTCCCCGGAGTTGGAATTGAGAGACTTTGTTGCACTTTGTGAATTGGAGTCAGGAATCCCTGCTGGGGAAATCCAGGCAAGACCCGCTCTAGGTGTAGCCAGGGAGCTAACATGGCTAACAGCTAACTTAGCATGAATCGGAATTTATGGTAGCCTATTTGACATATGAGCTGTTGCGAAACACTGTTTATGAAAAACAGATATCGTATGAGTTGTTACTCACACCTTTAGTCATGAGTACAGACATTGTAGATGGTCTTAACTTAACTGAAAGTCATCTTCAGGAAAAACTTAAGTAAGCTAAATGTTTCTTTAGCTTACATGTTTGTCAGGATAAACAAAAAAGGAGGTGTAGTGTTAGTTAGATGCTTATAGTAAAGAAAACGGTTGATTTCTTTGGATTTTGAGCAGCACTGTGATTGTAACCTTTATCTTTTTGTACAGTTTCCAGAGGCACAATGAGCCCCTTTCTTTTAGCAGTAATATCATTCATCATGTATTGTGGCTCTGCTTTTTACTCATAACTTCTTCACATATCCCAGTGTGACTCACTATTGCTGCCCTAAAAAAAACAAGTACACAAGTCATCAACCTTAACACCCAATGTTTTTTAGTTCTCTTTTACATACCCATACGATCATTGTAATGGTTATAACACCTACTTTAACCTATGGATTTTTGCTTTATATCAGCAAATGTGATAGGAGTCCAGTAAAAAATTGAATTCCACTAGATGAGAAATTAGGTTCAGAATCAAACTCAATCTATTTTAGGCCACAATTTATGTTTTTCTTTTAAAGGCACAACCTTTGTGCTTTTAGGGGAATTACTATCGGAGCAGGCTGGAAACAGAAAGTGAAAATAAAGTTGACACACTGATTGTATGATTCAGATACAATCCTATGCGGCTGAAGTTGAGATTAGCATTCTATTTTATTACTTCCTGAGTAGTGAAGTGGGGCTTTTTTAGAATCAGTTAGTAAGGACTTGTGAATCTTCAGTCAGTTGACGTTCTGTGCCACTGATCACTAAATATTTATGTTAACAGATCACTTATGTAGAACAGCCCCTAAAAGACCCCACACGTGCCTTGGGGACCTATGGTGTGAAGGATGGGGACGTGGTGGTGCTCCGACAAGCCGAGCGAAGGCCACCACCGACTCAGCCAGCTTTCCCAGGTAAGAAGAACAGAGGCGGTCAGGTTTAGCAAGTGGATAGGCCACTGTTCAGTATGAGGAAAGAGAGAGCAGTTTGCATGAAGGTCAGCCTGCTAACTTCTCACCTCTCGTCTACTCTGCTCCTCAGGTCTGCCCCGCATTGACTTTCGTTCCATCACAGTCCCCGGCACCTCTCCCTCAACCAGTCAGCGTGGTGCCGTAAGGCCGCCGCCACCGCCGCCGCAGCAGCAGCAGCAGCAGCAGGCTCCACAGCAGCAGGCTCCGCAGCAGCCCAGCGCCACACAGCCTTCCACGCCAGCGGCCTTTCATGGCTCCTCTTCCCAGGGCCTGGACGACCCCGCCTTACTTCAGCAGATGCTGTTATCAAATCCACACGAGCTCTCGCTCCTCAAGGAGCGAAACCCTCCGCTGGCCGAGGCCCTGCTGAGCGGAGATTTAGGTGAGGCAAAGCAATAGACCAGTAATGCCACAATTCTCCCTGCAGGTTGTTTGATTAGCGACGGATGGGTCATACTTGTATAACTGTGTTTCTTGTAGAGCGTTTCACCAAAGTGCTGCTGGAGCAACAGCAGGATCGAGCAAAAAGGGAGCGAGAGAGAATTAGACTCCTGACCGCTGATCCTTTCGATCTGGAAGCCCAAGCAAAGATAGAAGAGGACATTAGGTATGAAAGCCTTTAGAGGACAGTCAACATAACAGCTTTTGAAACAGAAATTTGCAATCATTTTTTTGCACAAGGGCACCTGTTACGCCTCGCATAGTGGCCACATGCATACGGGACTTACTGCAAATAAAAATGCAGGAATACAGTTTGCTCTGCACGTCTTCTCATCGGGTTTGTGCTTATTCCAGGCAGCACAACGTAGAAGAAAACATGACCATAGCTATGGAGGAGGCCCCTGAGAGCTTTGGTCAGGTGGTTATGCTTTACATTAACTGCAAAGTCAATGGCCACCCCGTGAAAGCATTTGTTGACTCAGGTAAGGAACATTAAAACCTGACACCTGCAGTAGAAACACCCTGGTTGTATAAATGGAAGCGGGACATGTAGTAGTTGCGATAGTGTGGCCCCCTCACGTTTAAGATCAGAAGTGAGACTTTCAGATTTGGATTACCAGCTCATGATCACCAGCTGATCTGGTTTATTCTGCTCAGTTCCACCACCTGAACCTGAACTGTTCTGTATGATTGATATATTCCTTGTATTGGAATTATATTGAGATTATTGAAGTAAAATAACTAAATCAATTTATCCCTAAATAAATACATAGAAGAAAATTATCCAAAAAGAAATACAGAAATCCCTCTGAGTCCATCAGGTAAGTTCTCGCTTTGATGTGGTTTTAATACTTTAAATACATCTTACGGTAATTAAAAAATTAAGGGTGGTTGTTGTTTTTAAGGTAAACATGGCACTTTTCCATTCTGTGGTTTATAAAATTCTCTCCATTACATTTATTTGTATTTTTTTAGTTTTTTATTTTCATGGTCTTTCATTGTTGACACAGAGCTGTGTATCAGGGACTTTTTCTGTCACGGGGGAGCTAAGTCAGAGCCAAACAGTGACATTAAAGCACTGCAGACCACAGCTGTGTGGAGAAGATCCTCACCTTTAAGTACAGAAACCACAGCGTGTCTGCAGTCCTACACACTCTGCAGCACGCTGTTGTTCTGCTCATCCTGAAAAAGTGTGGGAAAGCTTCTGTTCTCAGAGCTTCTGTTCGCAGAACTTCCCCCAGAGTGCTGTGGTCACACTGACTAGTCATTTATTCTAGTAGGTAAGGTTGTGTTTAAATTGAATGGTAGTTTGAAAAGATATGAAACAAACTGCTTGTAAATGGGTGGACAATACAAGCAGAAAAAGAACACCTTCGGTCTGTCCAGTTGTTAATCGTTACAGGCACAGACGTCTCTGAATCAGTTAAATCTCAAAGGTTTTTTTTTATTATTCTGTTTTGGGTTTGAATTGTAGAAGAAAAAAAAAAATGTCTTCCCTCTTCCCACGTAGGAGCCCAGATGACTATCATGAGCCAAGCGTGTGCAGAGCGCTGTAACATTATGCGCCTGGTGGATCGACGCTGGGCCGGCATCGCCAAAGGAGTGGGCACTCAGAAGATCATTGGGAGAGTTCATTTGGGTGGGTGACAGGAACTTCTTATAGCATAAACACAGTTGCTGTAAGATGATGAGCTTTTGTCAGCTTTTTGTCAGATGAGCTTTATGTCAGCTGTAGAGGCCATGGTCATCTTGTATCTTAAAGATATCTCCCTGTTATGATAAGTAACTTCTTAAGTGAGAGTTGTGGTTTAAAATAGTTAACTTTTCAGCATTTTTTTAAGAATTGCAAATAAATTAATGTTTCCTTCTGCCCCCAGATCGGTAGAGCTTTTTCCTAACCTGATCAGTTCATTTGTGTTAAATTGAGTTGTTTTCCTTCATTTTTCTAGCTCAAGTCCAAATCGAGGGGGATTTTCTTCCTTGTTCTTTCTCCATCTTGGAAGACCAGCCAATGGACATGCTGCTTGGCCTGGACATGCTGAAGAGACACCAGGTGTGCGCCTCCTTTGGTCTGAGACTGTAACAATTAAGAGATGAAACAAGTCGGGTTTTTCTCGGCGCCTCTCGCTGAATCTGTGTTTGTGGCCTTTGTCCGGCAGTGCTCCATCGACCTAAAGAAGAACGTGCTGGTCATCGGCACCACAGGCACCGAAACGCGCTTCCTGTCGGAGGCGGAGCTGCCTGAGTGTGCCCGGCTGGCGTACGGAGCAGAGGGGCGTGAAGATGCCCGTCCCGAGGAGATGGCCGACAGAGAGCTGGCAGAGGCGCTTCAGAGGTCCATACAGGAGAGCGGTAAGAAAGTGTCTCCAGTCTCTGCACCGCAGCCTGTTGTTCACTGAGCTTTTTTTATCACTCTGTTGGAGTTACATTTGCATGTGCCACTTAATGCTTCTTACTCTCAACCCCATTTACGCACTCATTTGGATTCTCAGTCACGCGATCACCTCATGTCATCACCCCAGCACTTCGGATACGCTTTAGATTAGGTTGGGGTCTGAAAGTTAAGAGGTATTTATAGAATAAAGCCATCATTTAAAAAAGATTTACCAAAGTCTGTTACACTTGAACTGAAAACTTCTTTTTGTACACTGGTATGTATGTAAAAAGGTCTCTACTCTGCGTCTCGTGTAAGCATCAAGCCACTGTGCTCAGACGATCTTTCAGACTAAAATATCTTGACTTTGCTAATCAACAACACCAAGGCTTTGTTTTTTTGTTTTTTAGTGGAGGTAATCCAGGCAAATCTATTTCACTTGGGGGAATTATTTTGAGAAGAGTAACAACAGGACCTTATGCTTCCTCCAGAGACCAAGGAGTATGTAGTCCAAAAAGATTCGTAAATTGGCAATTTGAACCGGAGGTTTTTAGTCAGACCAAATGATCTTCTGGGGGTCAGAGAGGGATCTTGCATCTGTGAATCAAAGATATTCTGAAAGCGACAGATTAGAAGACGTTCTGACGGTGAAAACATGAACGTTTCTCCTGTTTTACACTCTGACAAAATTAGGAAATGCTTCAGCCGTTTTGACTTACTAACAGTAATGGTATCAGTATAACAAATCCTGACAAATGAAAAATGCTGGAGACGCTCAGGAGAAAGGGCAGATCGTTTTTCTCTGCACACATGAGCAGAAACAAGAGAAGACCTCAGCAGAAAGGAAAAACTCTCACAGATTCATACATGGACGCTCATTAATCAAGTTCTGGGTGGCATATCTTTACAAGACCTAAAAAAAAAAACCTTGCGTTCACACATGCCACCTTAATAACTCCGTGTGTCTGTGTGTGTGAGCGCGCGCACGTGTGTGTGTGGAAACAGCTGTTGATTAAATGCCTGCAACAGTTCAAAGCCTGTGTTAGTTATCTTCCCGAGACAAAGCGTCTCTTAATAAACTCGGCTGTGGCTCAGTTATCCTGCCATCTCAAATTTGTGGCATCCTCTGTGGCTGTCAATATCTTTGACTAAAGTGAGCATTGATTGAAAAACACACGGGAATATTTTTGTGCAAACACGTTCTCCATAAAGTTACCCTGTTACATTCTGTTTAATGCTCTACCAGAGCTTATGTATCGATGCAAATTCAGTCTTTATTAATGGTGAAAATGTCTGATTTATTTATTTATTTTTCACTGTGGAGTGGAATCTAATCAAAATGCAGCCACAGAGCTCCAGAGAGTTCAGGTTCAAAATGCAGCTTTAGCAGAGGTAAAGTTCGGTATTCCCTTCAGTTAAAGCTGACAGATTCAACGTATTTAGTTCAAATTAACATTATGATAAGCCATAAACTGCTCTAACATCATACTTATGTGAGCTCGCCCGGAGCCTCTGAGGTTTAGTGACCTGTTTGATAATACTCAGGTTTAATATTTTTTCTTTTTTTAAACACTTTTCACATCCGAGTGTGTGAAAAGGCGGACAGTTTGATTGCATGCCCTGTGTGTGACTGCTAACTTTCTCCGTCCCTTTGCATGATGTGTGGTGTGTGCCCTAATCCCTGAGCAGGACAGCACTGATGCATTTGGAGACAGCTGGAGAAGGCCCTACCAACCAGGTACTGCAAATTCACAAGTCCATTGCCAGTGCTAAGTCCATTGCTACTTATTTCTTTTGTTTTTCCGTTAATTTGCTGCTGGTTAGACGTTGTACCTTGTTGTTTTTACTTATTCACATATGTATTTTGAATAAGTATCAGATGAAAAGTATCAACTTTCACTGATTATCTGTGCTGTGTATCCAAGTTTTAAAGAGGGTTTTTTTTTTACTGCTGCTTTCTAACGCACATTGTTGAAACTAGCTCTCAGTTGGGGTTCACATACTTTCCAGTTTGATTACAAGCGATATTTTCTCTCACCACAGACACTGCAGATGGACAAACTACCTCACCGAAACTCCCACCATTTACATTACCCAGAACCTTACACCAAACGTCCTCGCCCGACTCTCCTCCCCAAAGCCAACCCCAGAACCCCATCCTGGATCGCTCCCAGTCTGCGCCGGCCACTTTGGAGCAAGTAACAAGAGCGAGGCAACGCCAGGGTCAGCCTGGCCTCCCGGAGCTTCCTCGGCCTTCGTCCCCCGCGGGGGAGGCCCGTCCACCTCAGAGTGCCCTCGCTCACCCTCTGCCCGGCTATAACACCTCGGATGTGCTCTCTGCGCCCGGTCCCTCAACAGATGTTCCCCGCGCACGTTCCCCTCTTCCAGACGTGTCCTCGGCATCCCAGGATCCAGGGGGTGATGTCCAGCCTGGAGCCGCAGAGAGGGATGCTGGGTCAGACAGAGCTCAGGGGAGCTCTGCGCGCACCTCGTCAGAGGAGCTTCCCCCCGCTCAGCCCATGGAGCAGGAGTTCACCGAGTCTATAGCCGACGCCACAGAGGCCTGTCCCGCGGCTCCCGGCCAACCCGGCTCCGTCGAAATGGAGTCTCCCTCTGCCTGTTGCAGCGCCGGGTCCTCTGAGAAGGACCAGCCTGACGGGGACCGGCGCTCCAGCTCGGACAACATCCCCTCGCTGGCGGCTGCTTTGATGGAGCTGCATGAGCTGCTGGTGTCCAGCAACCACGCTCAGCCGCAGAGCCGCAGCGCCTCCTGCTCCCCGTCGTGCCCCCCCCAGCAGCAGCAAGACTCCGACTGCGAATCCCGCACTCCAACACCCGAAAACAGCCAGCCCGCCCGCCCCGCTTCCATCAAAGCCGGTGCAGAAACCAGCGACGCCAAAGCCAACTATGCGGCCGCCGCGTCTGACCAGGAGCCGGCCCAGTTTCTTGTGTCTGACCTCTCTGGTCGGGATGAGTATCCAGGAGGAGGTCCGGCAGAAACCGCGGAGAGACGAGGACCATCGCAGTGCCCAGATGTTTCTGAGGGGAGAGGGGAAGGTGAACGGAGTCTCAACGAGACCCTTAAGGTCAGCGTTTCTCAGCCTGAGACAGAGGCCCCCCCTGAGTGTCCTGTCAGGGACCTTGAGTTCAGGGAGCAGCCCGAGGGCCAGCGTGGGGGAGGGGCTGCGGATGGACAGGCTCCTGTCTCCAACACCAGGGACGGTCTCCTCACTCGCCACCCTCTCCTCGGCCCTTCGTCGGCAGCAGAGGGCTCACCAGACGGGGTCTCAAGCTCCTCGTCCTCCTCTGCTCCGGCCCCTCTTCCTCTCCCTCCGCATCCCTTTATTGAACAGTTTCCGGCTGAGCACATCCAGAGAATCCAGGCAGCGGGTTTTTCTGCCAGGGAGGCTGTGGAGGCGCTGGAGCAGGCCCACGGGGTGGTGGAGATCGCTCTGCTGGCTCTTCTGGCCCGCAGCATCACTGTGCCCACCTAGACTCACAAGCGATCATGCAAGTCTCCGGCTTCTGAGCTCAGCATCTGTCTTATTTATACCTTGTTACTGATCCAGATGTCTTAGTTCCATTGCAGACGGGAGTGCGGTAAAACCCCAGAGATTTGTCACTGAGAATGTCCAAGAACACACAGGACGACTGGGAATACTTTTCTGACTATAACAGATACGTGAGGTGTGTTTGCATGCAGATGTTTCAGGTGCCCACCTGTTTCATTGGATTTTGTTGTTTTTTTTTCTTTTTAGCAAATTGATACCATAGATTTATCGTCTTCTCATTTTGTTGCCCAACATTGACTTATTCAATGCAAATTTCCAGATTGATTCTCAAACCATTTAGTATGATAATTTTACAATTCTCACGCCAGTGACGCCACATTGAGTAGTGTGATTCCTACTCAGATGGAGGCGTCCGAGGCAACTGGCTACTAATTTATAATGCTGATCATTAAGCCCTCCAATCAGAGCCCCACAGTCAAGAAAAAAATAACAAAAATACCCCATCGTTTGAGAACTGCTGCAGTTGAATTCATTTTCCGAGCAGGTTTACAGTTTCTCCACGGCTTAGTGAAACCCCCAAAATTCAATCGTTGTTGCTCTTGAAGCGTGCCAGTGGGGGGTGGCAGTTGTCTGACTCTGTAACGCAGATGGCGTCTTGTACTGTGCGAGTCATTTTCCACAGTTTGAAGGCTTTGCCATGTGTAGATAACTAAAGCGTTTGTAGCTCCTGTTCAGAAACCTATTTACTTTGTGTCAAAACATCGCTGTGTGTCCAAACTTGAAAACACTCATTTTCAGTTTGAGTGTGGCCATTCACGGAAGTCAAATTTCGTTATGACATCCCACGTCGAGGCTTTTAATGGCTTTATTTGAGTCACACCAACAATTTTCAGGCAGATTGAATTATTTACTTTTATCTTATATTGAATTTTAAATTGCAAAATAAAATTGAACTAGTATTTGTATAATTTCTGTGAGTGTCTTTCTTTTTAACAGCAGAAATGTCAAGCTTTACTGAAATGCTGTTCATACGCACCATGGGAAGCTTTGGATGAATAAACAAGTAGCCAAAACCTTGCTTCTCTGCTTGGTAAAAAAAAATCCACCAAACTGGTTTTCCACCATGTCTGATTAAACAGGAAGACAAATCACACCTGCGTCTAGTTTTTGTGATTAAGCCCAGACTGAATGTTCTGCGCACTAATTAGTCTGCGAGGATCTTTTTCTTTTTTTTTTAGGCAGGAGAAGAATGCACCCACAGTTTTGATGCCTACAACCAGACTGAATCAGTATGGCACATTTCAGTTTCACAGATGAGAACAGTCATTTTTTGAGAAGTGGTATTGACTCTAAATTGCAGTCCTTCTTTGGAAATGACCATGGTGTGAACAGTTGTGAGTCAGAAAGGCCAACCATGAAGCCCGGTGAACAGATTTGTTCAGGGTTTTCTCATCTGGAGAACGGCCTCGATGAGAGCAGCAACTCCATGAACCAGCTTGAGGAGGATTACAGGTAAACTATCCTAAAGAGTACTTTAGTAAAACGGGTTTTAGTGTTAGATTCTGACAAGTAAATTTGGCCCGTCTCAGTCTCCCCTTAGACATCTCCTCAGCTCTGAAGTCGCTGACAGCAGCGGGTGTTTGGGACTTGAAATTACACCTGCCGGCACGGTTTTCTGCTCCCGGACTCCAGGAAGACCACTCAGCTGCGTCCCCTCCGGATCATCGGGATAAGAGTCGCAAAATGTAAGACGGGTCGTACATTTCTGCATCTCGATTTGCAGCGACTCAGTGTGGCCTTCTTTAGGGATCAGGACCCGTTTGAGGAAGAAACGCCGCTCGTGTCATTCCAGTCAAAGTTCATACGTTCTAGTAGGTCAGACCCTGGGAAGTGAACCTTTTGAAATGCCGTGTGAAGCCTCTTATGTGTCTCCCCCTCCCTTTTACGCTGCAGTCCCACTGTATCAGGACTACTGTCTGCGGGCTGTGAGAGATGATCTGCGCCGACTCAAAGACGGTTGCGTGTCCGAACTGATAAATCTCAAACATCTTCAAACCGCGCAGTCCCCGCTGAGCCCCTGCCGGCATTCCGGGGTCTCATCGCCTCAGCAAAAGTCTCCTGGCGTAACTCGATCCTCACCTCTGCCTCAACCAGTTCGGGTGACTTCCTGTAATCTCTGGCGAGATTTGGAGGAGGTGAAGGCCTCTGGCCTGCTCAGCAGTTTAACGGCCAGAGAGATCCGCCTTCAGGAGGTGTGAGATAAGATCACTTTTTTTGCCTTGTTGAATAAGTTTCCTTACATACCAGGAAAGGTGTGGGTTTTGTAATCTGGCTCCTTTAGTTCAGAAACTGAAATTGAATTGTGGCATGGTACATTATGTTCCTCTGGAGTTTTTACTTTCTAAATTACTTCAGTCTATTGAAGCAGCAGTCGTTTCTAAGTGCAGTACAATCACTTTTTTTTTTTCTTTCTTCCCCTGAAGTCCATGCTTGAGCTGATAGGCTCTGAAGCCTCTTACCTCAAGAGCCTTGGAGTGCTGGTCAACCATTTTTATGCATCCAAGGCTTTAAAAATTCTGTCCAAAATGGAGCATCGTGTTTTGTTTTCCAACATTCACCACATAAGAACGGCCAGTGAGAGGTGAGCCCCGTACACACGAGACCGCTTCCAGATTTTTAGACTGACTGTATGGATGTTTAGCTCATCTGAACGCCCCCAACCCCCGCTCCCAAGATTTCTCATGGATCTGGAAACTCGACTAGGGGAGAGTTTGCTAATCTCTCAGGTCGGTGACGTTGTGCTAAAGCACTGCAGAGATTTCCGTTGCCTCTATGTGCCGTATGTGACCAACATGAGGTACCAAGAATCTCTCGTCAACCAGCTGCTGTAAGTCTGTAATGCACGGCTGCTAATGCTCCGCAGCATCCCGCGTTCAACAGTCCCTACTTTTCTCCATCTTTAGGCAGCAGAACAGAGACTTTCTGCACACAGTGAAGACACTTGAGAGTGACCCGGTGTGTCACAGGCAGACACTCAAGTCATTCCTGGTCTTACCCTTCCAGAGAATAACCCGCATCAAGCTTCTGCTGGAGGTTAAATTGTGATGTTTGAATTGGGAGTAGCTTGGTAGCTTTTTGTGTATGGAAATTCAGTGTGGTTTTCTTTCTTTTCAGAGCATCTTGAAACAAACCGAGTCGAAATCTGCATCAAATCTTGAAAAGGCAATTGGCGCCATGCACGAGGTAATGACGCTCTCTTCTGATAGTCATGTCTGCTCAGTTACGTTCAGATAAAAGTGAAGTAGCTATTGTCATTTTATGTTTACTTTTCATACTGCCACCTTATCAAATGTTTCTAGTTTTGAAAATTGAGGCTGATAATTTATGGTGGGGCTAGACCTTACCTGTTAGAAAAGGAACTAAGCAACATATAGGGGAGGTCAAAAAGGCCAGACTATAATCAAGTAGTCTTAAGAAAACCTAAAATGAATGCTTGACTTTATATACCGTTTCCACCACTGTTTTTGGTGTTTGTTTGTTTGTTTGTTTTTTTCCCCTGGCCCAGATTCTAACAGCATGTGATGAAGTGGTCAGAAAAATTAAACGGATTGAGGAGTTGGTCTGCCTGGAAATGCTACTGGATTTTGCCAACGTTAAAGTATTTTAATTTCTCTTCTGTAACTTTAAACTGCTTGCGCATAACCCGCTGGTAGCAGTAAAATCTTACAGTGGCTCTTTCCCCTTACAGATGGTTCCTCTGATCGTAAGCACACGTTTTCTCGTCCTCCAAGGACCCATGAAACAGCTGACTATGGAGAGCACTTACAACTCAAGAATGTCATTCATGAGCATCCATCTCCACCTCTTTAATGACCTTTTAGTGGTCTCCTCTAAACAGTACTTAATTTATTTATTTTAATACAAAACCTTTTAAAATCACTCATTTTATATTTGAACGTTGGGAACAGGAAGAATACACATTTTTATGTATAAATAAGACACAAACCAGCACTGTCTGAGCCACCCTGACCGATGTAATACTGTCTCTGTTGTGTTTGAACAACTGCGTGCCTTTCAGGAACCAGCGGTTCGAGGTGATGGATTACGCTACCTTCCCTACACATGTGACCGTTAAGCATCTGAAGACGGAAGTCCTGGGAATTCCTCCAGAATCCTTTCTGCTGCATCTGTCTGAGAGTCAGACGGGCCGTCCCACCGCCATAATACTTGTGGCGCTCACAGGGTGATAAAAAACGGCACACTTAATCCACCACTGATGATCTGTGATGCCAAAAGTTAAACCTGCTGTTTCTTTACTGCAGGTCGGATAAAGAGCTATGGATGAGGGCACTGAGAGGCGCATGAAGTGAGCATCCCTCATCTGCCTTGATGGATGTTCGTGTGTACTTTCCTCTTTGACAGTCATCCTGTCTTTTAAACAACCACTGGCACTACTATTGGAAGTATTTTGATTACAATTAAATGCAGAATTGATCTTTTTATTTTATTTTATTATTTTATTTTTATTGTATACATATCTCCCACCCACCCCCCATAAGTGCCCTGATCTGATTGACCATAATAAAACATCGCAATTCTGTTACAAAACCTGAGTACTGTACGGTTAAACGTAGTTGGTGTCGAATGAATTATTAAAGGTATATTTAACTGAAAAACAAATGTGGAAAATGCAGCAACTATTTTTGGCATTCCAGTAATCTCCTGGCTTATTTTTAAGCCCCAAAGGTTAAATGTATCGCCACGACTAGCTACTCAGTCTCCTCCCTCTGCTGTGGCATTCATCACAGAAAAGCCAATAAGGATGATATGAAACTGGAAAAATTGCAGGAGGGCTAAATCTCTTGCATTGGTGGATGATGATCTGTTGTAGCTTTTTTAAGATGAAGCACTGCCACTTTTCCCCTGCCTGAGCAGAGCAGAAAGCCCTTAAAGCAGAGTAATGGTGTCCTCCTGTGAATGCTGGCTGGCTGCTCCAGCCGTAACGCAGTCTTGATGCCACAAGTTCTCTGCGAGGCAGTTGAGGATGGGGGCCACGTCCCCCAGCCCGTCGCTGACCTCCCCGCCCACACGCAGCACCGGTAGGCCCCGCGCCGTCTTGAATTCCCTGACCTCTCTCTCTGCCACGTCGCAGTGCATGAAAAGGTCAAACCTGAGGGCAGGATTAAAGGAAAACACACACGCCTTCATTCAGGAAAGACCAACACGCAACTTCATCTTACTCAACTTTGCTGGATTCTGCCGTTGCTGACCACACAGAAAGGATACTTGGTGCCAACCACCACTTTGACAACACGGCTAGCGGATGGACCGGACCATTTAGCCATCTGAGTGGACAGATCATCAAAGGATGTCCTGTCAGTGAAGGAGAACAGGAAGAGCACGGCGTCCACCTGCTCCTTACAGGACTGGAAGACAGACACGTGACTAGTTTATGTTTCTCAGTTTTACAGGTCAAATGTCAACTTATTAGAAGTTTTATTCATTTTTTTTTTTTAATTAGATCCATACCGGAAGTAAATGATCAAATCTACGTAGGGCGTTCTCGCCACAGTCCCACAGCTGCAGGCGGAAGAAAAGCACTCTGTCGCTTTCTCTCAGCTTCACGGGCCAATACACCACTGTCGTCTCGATGCCTGAGACAAAAACACATAGATTGGAGGCGCAATTCGAAAGCAGATAACTTTCCTTTCCATAGCATTGTCTGTTGAACCCACCTGTGGTTTCATGGTGCATGTTAGGAATATTCAAGCCAGCAAGACGGGCAGCCAGAGTGGTTTTCCCAACTCCACTCTTACCAGAGAGGAAGATTTTATATTGAACTGTATCCACGGCTACATGTGGGGGCATCATTGGAGACTCCAACAGGCCTGTAAAACAAGAACTACTGTTAAATGACCATTTGTATTGCTGGAATGCTAAAAGCATTATATGTTTTATAACACATATATTCCTTAATATAGTTGCCATTGTGGTCGGAATGTTTACAAAGACTTTGGTGTTTAAAGTACTGCTGCAATACAAATCTGCAAGCGTTTTCTAATATTTTCATAAATCTCACGACTTATATTATCCTTGTTTTTATCCGTGTTAAGTGTATGTCAGAAAGAAACCTCACACAAATTTGTGTAAGTGTTGGCAGAACAAAATGGGACGGAGAGATTTAATGTTTTCCAGTCATCTCCCGTTAAGTACTGGCTCATGTTTGAGCTGCATGGACTCCACACAAATCTTTACAGCCTATGTAATCCCAGCTGGATCCAACTATGTTCCAGGGAGTGATGGTATGTGTGACTTCCTCAGTCTTCAAGTGCCCCAGTAAATGTTTAATAGGGTTGTGGTCAGGCCACTGAGGAGGAAAATCCATGAAAGTCATCACTCTTTGGTCCTGCAGCAGTCTTAAATTTCTTCAAAGCTCTGGGGCGTTTTGGGACTCATTACCCTGATGCAGTTCAAATCCTTCCTCACGAATGTCTATAAACCAGAGAGTGGAACATCTCCGGGGAATGGAGTGCTACCTTTCCTTTTTGTAGATTTAGTGGGTGTTAAACTGGCTTGAATATCGCTGCCTAAATGCATCACTGGTTATGGTATCATGCTCTTCCCAATACGTGCCCTCACCTGGATCCTCCCTTTGCTTTTTAAACCACCAAACCTTGATTCTCTTGTAGCTTTTCTTGTTGTTTGCCACAATAAAATGTGTGTATTTATTAAGCTACCTTGAGCTTCTGTTCTTGTTTATCCAGAAAAGAGCGGATATGTGTCTTGTGAGATCTCTAAAGTGTATTTTGTGACAAGAATTAGTAAATGGTGTGTTTAGTTATAGGATGGGATGAAGCTGCCTCTGCTATTTTGATCTTCTGATCACCATCTAATTCAAATGTTTTTGTTGTCTTCTCTTTGCCCAAATAAACTGGAAACGCCTGAAACGTTTGCCCACATTTATTAATTACTTTCTGACTTTCTTAATGAAGAACATCATTATGAACTGAGCTTTTCAATCACATCACAGACACATCAGATATTCAGTTTCTAATAAATAAACAACAGGAACTCCCAAAATCCATTCAAAAGAATCCAACTCCACAAAAACAAGACAACAGATTCAATTCCAGACAAAAAGAAACCAGTTGGTCATTACCAAACGCCTTTCGCCTCTTCTTGTGTAAGATTTTGTTGAAATACTCTTGGCTTTCTTTACATCGATACCAGTCGGCGACTATAAGCGATCCAGGAGGAACAACGTGTGTCATGTTCGTTATGAGGCTCGGAACACACACAGTTCGGTTTAGTCCCACAGTCCCTCTCTGTGGTGATAGAAGGTAGCTCGCTACTTTGATTTTAGTATTTTAATAAAACGAATCATGTTGTAATCTTACAGCGTGTTACATGGCGCTTGTTCTGGTCCGCAAAAGCGTTTAGTGCACTGTGGCCATCTAAGAAATAAACTTCCGTAAACTAAAACTTCCCTTGACAACCGTTTTCATCACTTCCGTCGGTTTGTGGTGTTGCCTTCAGGTTCTGTCCGACTAGTTAAGACTATTTTTCATCGGGCTCAACTTTTGTTCTTGGACCCCCCAAAAAACCCATATCAGATCTATTAGGAAAATGAGTAAAGTTTACACACAACATATTTTTATATTTGCGGGGCTACTGCTCTAAATGTTTTTTTTAATCATTTTATTAATACCTTGTCCAACATATACACTTTCCCTTTCCGTTAGCAGGTGTTTGAACTTAACTTTTAAACAGTAATTACATGAGCATAATTGGTAATCAGTCTTTGAAATGGCAGAAGTAACTTTAAATAGTCCACTAAGGGTTTATGACTTTTCCGATTTACGGATCTCCGCGTAGTTACGTCGGCCACCGCTAGATGGCGCAGAAATCCGGCGTGTGGGTTCAAAGCTGAGGTTGTATCTGGAGAAACAGAGCAACAAAGTGACTCAAAATAAACAGGCGGTTGACACATTTCAGTTGAAATGTCAAATGCAGATAGATTAGGCACCGAAATACCCTTCGAGCTCTCACAGTCAGCACCCCACTGCCTCCCATGGACATGCTCACAGACGAAGGCTCCACATCGGAGGGCAGCTTGCACTGGTGACTGAAGGTGTTGGTGACAGAGCCATCTTCACCCAGCTGCATGACAGAAGCAAGGAATATGGGAGCATAAAGAAAAAAGAAAAAACAAAACAGCATTTGATATTCAGACACATAATTGAAATTTATTGATGGCACGAAAAAACAACGATATTCTAAGCGTAGAATTAGTGGAAAAACATTTACAACATCTCAAACTTTTTCATGGAGCATTGTTTTTTCATTTATGCAGGACAAAATCCAACCGGTTCTCACCTAATTTCATTCATCCATTTCACTGCTGTCTTTGATAAGCAGTTTTTGACAAGCGGTTTTATTTCCTTTAAAACCATCACCTATGGCATTCTGTAGTCCCTGTTGCAGATAACATTTGTACAAAAGGCTCACTACATGGCTCACCTTCTCAGCATGGACCTCTATAAGGTTGTTGGAAGATGTGACGATTACTTCCTCCGGAGAAAATTCACTCACATCGAGTGTGAATTGGAAATGATCTCCCATGACCTGGATCTTCCCTGTCGGATATGAATGCCCTGAAATACATTGAGCACTTGGTTATTAGTATTTTCTTTTTGTCGAATAAAGTAGTCCTTTCTCCTGTTCTGACTAGAATAGCAAATTAAATGATGCTTGTGTCAGTTATTGTCGAGACAACCTGTAAATTTGTGTTCTATGGTTCTGTGCTGTGTTAATAATCCTGAATCTTCTGAGAAATTACTCCGACTACCTTCCATGCAGGCAAAGGAAGTGTCTTGTCTTTGTCTTTAATCTGGTAATTTTCACCTCGTCCGTGTCGCATTTGGCAGCAGAGTCTAGTCTCTTATATGCTGCTGGAAGACTGGGTGGGGGTGGATGTGGTTCGGTATCTGAATGATTCAGCTTGCCTGGAATATGACACAGATTATAGATATTGAATCTACCAGACCTGTTGCTGGACTGTTGTCAAGGGGTCGGACATTTTTAGCTGCACCCTGAACAGGGAGCGTGTGAGTCCTTGTGTTTGTGTGTGAGAAAGGGTGTGGACATGTTTCTTTATAAAGGAATATGCTGTAATTACCACATGCCACATAGTGGAATCTGTCAATCTCGGGTTCCCTCAAGCAAAAGTCTTAAATATCCGTCTCAGATCAATTAACTGATTAATTAGGCATTTTAAACTGTGGTATGTCTGAAAAGGATCATTGAATGATTGAAATAGAATGTCATGTGGGCATCCAGCTGAGCGGGCAATTTAACTAAGCGAAGCAACGTTGGAGTGATGAAGTACAGTTGTGTGAAGGTGTGAGATTCTGCTTCACCTTGTTAAGTCACACTCATTCTGGCTGACAACCATCACCAGCCGGGCTCCGAGATTCCACTCTGCCAATTACAAAGTAAATCAAGCTGTTAAAAGTCAGAAAGTACATTTTTCTTCTGGTCCTCAGTTGTGAGAAAAGTCACGATTATCAACATCAGTGTGAGTGGAACAAAGCTGATTAAAGTGAGCACCATACTCCAATAAGAACGGGAATATGTAATGTGGTTCCATTGTGACATAGCTGTAGCTAAGAAAAGCTATAAATCGATCATTTCCTCACAAAACTAAAGCCTGTTTCACCTGGAAACAACCTAGTTTGTTTAACTGCCCTTCGTTTCCTGTTCTCTTTCTGTATCTGATTTAATCTTTGCTTCCAAAGTGTTACTCACACATGCCACAGTGATTCAACCCACTCCATTTTCAAACCCTAACCACAAGAAAAAACAAAACATACGTCCACATTACAGGAACCAACCAGTCAGACCAGCCCTTTTTTCGGTCCCGTCCTCTTCTTCATTGGCAGCTTTTTAGCCAGAGGAACATTGTTTCTCTTTTAGGGAGACATTTGTAGTGTTTTGACTGTTCGCTGCTATCTCTCTTGACAATGAGAGTACTGTGAGGGAAGCTTGTCTCTTGAGTCATTATCTCACATCGACTCAAGACAAACTGTGATGAATCAGGTCCAAACGGCCATTTCCCACATGTAGACAGCAGGACATTCTCTTCCTGTGAAACAATAACCCACACAGTCTGTCACTGGCACACAGGTACAACGCACAGATGAAGTAATCACCCCTTACTCAGACTTTTTACATGGAAAATTATGCAAGAAGTCCACACAAAGAGAGAAAAACATTAAACATTAATTTCTTTTGTGACCAAACTATATATATATATATTTTAAATATATATATACATATACACATATACATACATATAGTATATTAACACTCAAGTGGAATATTTTACGCCAACTAATGAACTATTTTCACGAGCTGAAATGCTCTCTTAAAAAATTACGACCCACACCGAAGTTTTCTCAAGACACTAAAGTTGACTAGTTAAATTCATAGCCAGCTCAAAGCAGTCCAGTCTAATCCCATAATAGCTTCTTGAAAGTCTGGAAAAAAAGAACTTGCCTTTGGAAATAGTTTCCGTTAGTTTGGGACTGAAATGCAATGCTAGTGCAACATCTTTGTTTGCTTAAACCTGTGTCTTGGCCCTTTTTCAGCTAAAATACTGAGTTGTTTTTTAAAAATAATTTCTCAATAGCTGTGCTTTGAATCCTTTATGTAAATGGATCCTTTTTTCTATTTGTACTTTTTGCGTCCTTTCAGCACATTGATGTACTGAACATATTATCCCTCATCTTGTATTTTGTTTCCCTTTCTGAGGTTTGTGAAGGTCATGAGATGGAAAATGGGCATTAAAGGAAACTTAAAAGGCAGATATTGTGCCCCTCTCTCCTTTTTCTACTCATCCCTGTACCGTTTGCCTTTAAAAACTAAAAACCTATTTCTACGGCTGCTGAAAACAAGAAACTGACATGCAGTCAAAAGGCAACATTGATTTTATTCAGACAAAAAATATACACCACCTGGTAAACATGCACCAGATCAGTTGTTTCATGTACAAATGACATAAATATAAAATAAATATTAAATAAAAAAAGGCTTTTTAAGACATGTAAACAAACGAATGGAGATGTGTGGTAAAGACACTAAATGCAAAGGCGAGAATGTGTAGTTTTTTGCCCTGAGTGGAATAATAATTCCAAAATTTAAAAGCAAGTTTCCAGGATAACAAAAACTAAAGCAGACAGAGGGACCCAGAAACATTGCTAGTATAACATGAGTGCTTGGAAGAAGTCTCCCTTTTTGAAAAAAATATTTCAGTCATTAAGTGAATACAAGCTCAAGCACTCATATTTTCCTATACTTATTCTTACATTTTTTTATTAACTACATTTCAAAACTTGTTTATGTTCAACATATAAAATATTTCATTTAAAGATAAATTACTCTTTTCTCTTATATAGTACATGGACTTGTTGGGTCTCAGTCCTTGCTGAGTGGTTTGGAGGGTCCTTTTCAGTCTTGCAGCTCTGCCACAGAAAGACAAAAAAAGTCCTGCGGTGTGGCTCAGTTTCACACCCCCCTCCTCCCTTTCTCCCGTCAGTCCTTGTCGCCCGTGAGTGAAATGGCATGGTCGGTCAGTGCACTTTGATTTAAAGGAATGCTCAGATCACACTGAGAACACGCTGAGGGAGCTGGTCTCGTCTTTCAGGCCCAGGATGCTGTATGCTATCCTTTTCATGTGACCGGGCAGCCGCACTCCAATGTTCCTAATGTCTCTGAGAGGAAAAGGCAAAAAAAGAAAAAACATTTCAACGGGATAAACACAAGATGGGCGCTGTTACGCACCAAGAAATGATAGCGATACAAGAAAATGAGTAAAGGCCACGGGTACGAATATAAAACACATAATCAATTATTTAAAGGTTAAACTAAAGAACAAAAACTATAAAACAACATGTGGACAAGAATTTAAATAGTTACTGAAATGGGTCAATTGAATACCTAAAGCCCATGAGTAAATGGTTCAAATGCTCTCATCATTGGGGTAGCAGAGAATGAGAGCAACGACACGTGTTAAGTGGTGTAGTCCTGCACTGACAACCAGGATAACAAATGTTGGAGCTGAGAACTCAATCCTCTCCCTGTGCAACTATAAAAGTGCGGGCTGTCGCCAGATGAATCAGCACAGCTCTGCAGAGCTGCACCTGTGCCATGTGTGCACTTACTCGTGCCTCAGAGCCAGCACCTGCTCCATGCTGGTGATCCCGGCGCGAGCAAAGCTCTCATTGTACTGGCTCATCTTGATGGACTCCAGCCACTCGGGCACCGACCTGAACATGGTGTTGTCGCAGCCGCTGGTGCTGGGCAGGCGGATGGATATGCTGCAGGGAAGAACAGGTGTGTCAGTTACTCACTCACAGCGACTTATGTGCATGCCGGAACACTGGAAAAAGGAGGAAGGCAGTTTTACTTTCAGTCTATTGAGTCAGAGAGTAGGTCAAAATTCAAGTTATGTATTTTTTTTAATTCTCCAAAGAAAAAATGTTGAATTGAATTTACACTTATGCTAACATTTGACAGATTATAAAATATTTTGAATAAAATTAAAATAAGTATTTTCTATGAGCCCTGCAATGGACTGGTGGACCATACTTTTTTTAATTTAATTTAAAACTAATTTAATTGGATATTTATAAAAGTGTATTTTCCTTTTAAAAAGTTGCGTATATTTTATCTTGTTTTCAATTTTGTGGTACCAAAAATATAACTATCCATGGGAAATTATAATCATACCGTGGGTCAAAGTCAGCAATTGTTTTTAAGGAATCCGGATTCCTGAGGAGTTTGTCCAAAATGTTGACGATGTCTGAGAAGCGGGGCCGCTTGGAGCGGTCCTGCTGCCAGCACTGGAGCATGAGCTGGTAGATGGCGGATGGGCAGTCCATTGGGGCAGGAAGCCTGAAAGCCTCGTTGATAGCCTTCATGACCTGAGGAAGAGAGCAGAGCAGACTGAGGACAAATTCGCTTTTAAGCTACATTTGTGACTGAGGTCAGTTTGAAAAGGCAGCAGTGCAAAAAAAAAAACTGCTGTGCGCTTATGTTGACATTAACACTGCATTTGATGAGGATGGTTGGAAACTATACACTGGCCATAAGGCTACTTTCCAGCAAAAAATACACTGCACAGGCCAAAACAATCAGTCAACACAACCGTGAAAGCTGTGACGGATGAAACATACCTCATGGTTGCTCATGTCCCAGTAGGGCCGTTCTCCAAATGCCATGACTTCCCACATGACAATACCAAAGCTCCACACATCGCTGGCTGATGTGAACTTCCTGTACGCAATGGCCTCTGGGGCAGTCCAACGGATGGGGATTTTACCTCCCTGAAAGAGACACATTTAATGAGTGAATGGAGTGGAAATATGCAGCAGCGAAAGACTCGGACTTAAGATTGGACACTTGAGAGTGGAAACAACATGTCATTTGTTAAAAAAGGACTATTGAATTTTAGTTTTTCATTTTTAAGTTCAGCTTGTCGGATGAGAAATGCCTGCAGTTAGACCTACTCTGGTTGTGTAAGTGCCCTCTGCATCATCCTCCAGGATGCGCGACAGCCCAAAGTCGGAGACTTTGCACTCCAGATTGCTGTTGACCAGAACGTTTCGCGCTGCCAGGTCCCGGTGAACATAGCTCATGTCCGAGAGGTATTTCATGCCAGCAGCTATTCCTCGCAGCATTCCCACAAGCTGGTACAAAGGAATATCTCCATCGTGGTCCTGAAGGGAACGTGAGTAATTAAATATTGTTAATAAGAAATACGTGGAATATAGGAAAAACAAGAAGTTTCTGCAAAACTGAACCTTTCTTTGTCTTTTTTTATGTAGATGAAATAAAAAAAATATGTATTTGAACCTTAAAAAATTTGCTTTGGAGTTAATTTTTTAACAAAACACACATGCTTACTTTCAGATACGTGTCAAGAGCTCCGTTCTCCATGTACTCCGTCACTATCATGGCGTGCTTGACTGAAATGAAAATTGGGTTTGTTAAACTCACTTCACACAAGGAACTGACATAAATAAAACATATTTTAAAGCGCTTGAGACAGCGGACTCACATTTGGTGACGACGCCCTCCAGGCGGATGATGTTAGGGTGGGAGAACTGACCCATGATGCTGGCCTCACTCAAGAAATCCTGCCTCTGTTTCTCCGAGTAGCCAGGCTTCAGGGTCTTGATGGCCACTGCCACCTCCCCTTTCACAGTCTTCATCAAACCCCGAAACACTTCCCCGAATTCGCCTGATTGGCAGAGAGACAGCAGGAGGATGATGTCAGAAAAACGACAGACTTTAAAGCAGACTTTGCTTATGAGAAACAGCCTTACCCACACCGATGACTTTCTGTTTGCTGATGGCGCTTGGATCGATTTCTGTGACAAACTTTTGGATGGCAATGTTTGGGTCCTCATACATATGTGGGTCCACATACGTCTTCAGAGGCTTAAGCTGGTCTGAGGTGGACATAAAAGAATTGAAGTTTAATTAAAATCTCATGTGCAATTTTAACACAGAAAATACCAGATCATTGTTGATTTTGTGTGTCGTTATTACCTGGGGAAAAGTAGGGATCCTCAGGTCCTCCTCTGCCACGAGAGCTCAATCTCCTGAGAAGAAAACAACATTAATCTTTGTAAAACCACACAGAATACAGGCTGACTTTACAGTAATTGCAGGTCAGTCTCAGCTTAAAACGACGAAGGGGATATTCAATAGCCCCACCAGTTATTACTCATAAACTCTCTTTGAACTGTTGTCCTTAATTTTCTTCAGCTTGTGGTGCATAATCACATTGTTTACAGGTGTGTGGATGACATTTATATGAATGACACACACGTTGAACGTGGGCACGGGTCTGCTATAACTAACCGTCTACGCAGCAGCAGGACGGCCACCACAACAAGCAGGATGACCGCCACTCCGACGACAGTTCCCATCACCACGGTGGACTTGTTCTGGGTCTGATACTCAGCTGTGGAAGTTACAGACGGAAAAACATTTAGCATTCTGACATCCACATCTGCACAGAAAAAATAACTGCTTTTGAGTATTTTACGGCTCTAATACCTAAAGCTGAAGTATGAAACTCGTGCTCCGTGCTGTAGCTGCCAGGGGTGCCTTCAGGACCCAGGGCCTGAACCCTGAACATATACGCAGTGTTTGGGGTGAGCTCATTAATCTGGACGGAGCTTTTGTCCAAAATTAGGACTGTGTAGGTGGTCACATCACTCTCTCCGTTGAGATTCTGCAAGAGAAAACATAAAGTTGATGAATCAGGATTATTTACTTTAACATTCATCTCAGGAAGAGCTTGAGGTTTAATCCTCAGCTTTGGGTGAGGAAGGAAGATAAAAGAGCACAAAGCTCTCCGTCGTACTTTTCGGCGGAACATAAGCTCATAGCGGTGATTGATGTGGGCTGGAGGTCTGCGAGACAGAGTCCAGGACAGAGACAGGCTTGTGGGCCCACGATCATCCAGATGGATCGACGTCACCTTGGGGGGATCTAACAGTCGGCAGGAGACAGAAAGCAAAATAATGGTTAGTGACTAATCATAGTCTTTGGAAAGGATACTTGGAAATGAAAGCCTCTGGGATTCAGTGGGTCAGGGCAAATTCCTCTCTCTGCAGTGAGTCAGTCTTTTGTACAACACTTCAGCTATAACTAAGGTGCAATATTCATGACAAATGACTAAATAGTTTGTGATTCTCTTAATCTCCCTTGTACTTTAGGTTTCTGGATCCCTTTAACACTTTCCCTAATGTCCCAAGAGCTTTACAAAGAGGTTAATCAGTGGAGCCTGAAAATAAACAAAGATAAAGAATAACCCAACAATAATCCCATAAGGCAGAAATCCCACGAACACAATCTCACCGGTATAATCCAGAGCAGTGGTGATGGTCGCGGAGGCCTTTTCCGAGCTGTACTGCGACACGCCGCTATAGACCTCCACAGTGAACGTGTAGTTCAGATGCGAATCCAGGTCCCCAACTACGACCGTGGTGTCCCGCAGATCGGACGGACCCGAATCGAAGCGGATTTTCTCGCCGCAGGGGGAGCACGAGGCCTCGTCGCAGATCTCGCACACCACGCTGTAGGTGAGGTCCGTTCGGCCGCCGGTCACCAGAGGCGGGCTCCAGGACAGCAGCAGCCGGCCGTCTGCTGACAGTGTGGTGGAAGTGAGGTCGCGAGGGGCGCCGGGGAGAGCTTTGGGAGGAAGCAGATGACAAGGCAGTCAGCACATTTGCCTAAAATGTCTCCAACGGACTGAGAGTTGACTCACTCTGAGCGAATGGCAGAGGGCGGGGATCTTACCGGAGCAGGCAGATGCTGGAGGGTCTGTTGGGGCGCGGAAGAAACCCTCCTCACATTGGCACTCAGTGGCTCCAGCTGCGGAGGGTTTGGTGTTGTCGGGACAGACGCGACACAACTCGGTGGACACAGACGGCTTGAAATAGCCCGGTTTACATTCTGTGTAAGAGAAAAAGGGTGCGCGCTAGTTTAGACATGAAATGTGAAACTGACAAACAGAGGAAGGAATGACTGATCAAAAAGCAAACAATAAGGCTGTCTTTGTGCAACCAGCCCCTTCCACCCTACAGGAAGCATTTGTTTTGAGTAACCTATAATCACTGAGACTTTGTATCCAGAAGAATGAGAAGGGATTTCCCTGACGATCTGCCTTCACTCGCCTTTTCATTTTTTCTTTTTTTTTTTTTGCCTGCAGGCCTGATCTCAGGTCACACTGCCAGTGTGAGCCGGATGACAGCAGGCCAGTAAATCCATCAGGTGATCTGATCTGCTTCCCCCCCATGAGCTCTAAGTTCATATTCTCTGGTAGATAATATTTTTGTTTTTGCCAAAGGAAACAGTACGTTGGACATTTGTGTGTGTGTGTGTTGTAACAGACATTTAAGTTCAGAGATAAACAGCCTTCCAGGGCACTGGAGGTTAATGAACATGAAGACAGGACAGAAATCTGAACGCAAGAGCAGCAATTCGCTCTGAGGCTGGTGCTTCCTCTCCTTCTTCCTTCCTTCTGTTAACCCCCTGACACCAGCCAGAATTTACAACATAAAAGGCTGAAAAGAATGGGAAGCGGAAAGCCGGAGATAAGTATAATCTGTGTTTCCACGGAAGCAGATGCACATATTTTCTGACTAGTGTAAGACCTGTGAGCGCAGTTTAAAAAAAAAAAGAATCTTTGTGAAAGATTTCATCTCTCTGATCATATTTGGCCATGTCCAAGGAGAGAAACCTTTCATCTGACCGCCCAGTCTGCCGGCCAAATGAAAAGGTGAGTGGAACCTGGATAGAGGGCACAATCATGTTACTTGGCCAACAAAGCAAAAGGACCTTTGCACCTCAAGCACTGCTGCACAGGACAGGGAGCACGTTAAGTTTGAGTTAAAGGGATGAAGATGAATAGACGGGGGAGGGGCTGAAGGTCTGGAGCACCAACAGAAGCGCTCTCTGGGGAGTCCCTTGGCGGCAGTGGGGGTGTAGCCGGGGCTATTTCGAATGAGAAAAGGGGGCCAGCTCATTTCATCTTGAGCTGGAACAGCAGGACCTCTGTCACGTACCAAAGAAACTCCAGTCCCATTCATCCATTGTTTGTGAGATTGGACCGAGTGGTTCCATAAATGTCTTGCATCCCTCATTATACAGCTTGTAAACGGCAGCATGTGTGCAGCTCGAGAACACAAACAATGGTAGTGAAAACTTTGGCGGCAAGTGATCCTCATCTCAATGTTTTAGCATAGATTTGCATTGGGCAAAGCTCCAAATTCTTTGACAAATGCAACTAATTGTTTTTTTTGTTTTCTGCACTTGCTGGGGGAAGTTGGGCTCCTAATCGTCCCACGGTCTCTCTAAAGTGAAAAGGACTTAAGTTCCGAGCTGTTGCATCCAATAACTAAACCTGTTTCTTGCTCTTTGTGTTCGCCCATTGTTCTACGGGGAACGTGGATTAGGGAGCTCGTTGCGTGTGTTAACAACCGGATGAAAGAGCAAAAGGAGGCCGAGTGGGGCATGTCATTGGCTAACAGCTGTCCTGTTGCTCTACTAATCCTCTTGACTAAATTACACTCCACACCTAACTAAGCAGCCACAAAACTAACCTCCCTCATGCACCAACTGTCGACTTGCTCCCCACCAAGGACAACCTGCTTATTTGTGTCAGTCAGCATTCCTCCTCATCTCACTTTGCTTCCTTTTCCCACACCAGTTGTGCTCTTCAGTGGACTCCACATGCATGCCACGAGTCAGGATATCACTTTCTCTAGTTATCATTATATTGGAATGACATTGAGATTCCTAGATTAAAGTTGGGTGGCAAAGGCTCACATAGGTTTTGCCTATAACTCATGTTTCCTCTATATAAATAATCATCTTTTCACTGAGATATTTCAATCAATCTCTTCCCATATCTTTGTCATACATATTTTCTGCTTTTGTTCCGGTCTACAGTTCAGGAGTGTAGCCCTAAATTAGGCCGTCAATGTCAGATACTCAAACATTCCTTGGCTCTGCCTTCATTTTTACAACTTAAGTGCAGCGTTTATCTGTGAATGGCATTCTTGTTTTAAAACTTTGATCATCTCTTAATCGACTTCCCTTTTCTGCCTGTTTTACTCCATACAAAAATGCAGGATAATTGGAATATAGATCCCAATTCAGTATGCCTTATTCAATCATGATGTTACGTGAAATTGTGGAATTTCTTTTTTTGGAAACAAAAACTTAAAAACCAATCAATTTAAAAAATTTAATTTCTGTTTCTTTGGACTGTTTAAACTGGCATGGGAATCGTCCCCTCCTTTCCAGAAACCATCAGGTGTCATAAACCGCAGTCTGACTCAGTCTAACCCCTGGCAGGCGTGGCGACCTCGTCCCTGCAATCTGCGGTTCCTGTTGCCCAAGCAACCAGCTCAAAACAAATTCTTGTGAGGAGAAGACACACCACACAGGTAGTTATTCCAACGAGCTCACACCGCCCTTCCTTTAGCCAGTCAGCCGTGTACATAGGTGACGTGAGGATGAAAGAATTCCTTTCAGAAATCCCCGCAGCAATCTGGGCCCTTCCTCCCTCCTTCCTCCTCACTCTATACCCTCTCTCCTCCCACGTTTCCTCCAGACAGTTCAACACACCACACCCCAGAATGCCAAAGGACAGGCCAGCTTCCACACAAAACAGAAGGAGCACCAGCAGTGTGAGAGCCACAGCTGTGTCTTTTCTGAGGGCACCACATACCACAAGCGTTCTGCACACTTTACATTAGTTTGAATAAAACTGCGCCGTGTTTGCATGCCCCCTTGGTGTAATGCACAGCCTCACGAAAATTCAAATGTTAAAAAGTATGAGACGTGTGCTAGTTCTATAGGACAGGTCATGGTTTCCTGTGGTTGAGAGAAAAATGGACACCTAAGTGTAATCGAATGTGTGGTGACAGATTTCATCTTCACGGACCATTTTGCTCTCTGGCACTTTTTAAGTTTTAAATCCATTTTTATATACCCTCCAGAAAGAAAATTACTACTAAATAAAAGTTCACATGTAATTGGGATGCGGTTGCTTCCATTGTCCACAATAAGACAATCACATCAAGTCACCAACCTCTGTGTGAAACACTGCCAAAGCCCAGCCCCATTCCTGAAGCCTGAGAATTCAGCAGTGTAAGGCATGACTACTGGTAAACACAGAAATATACCTTTTTCATGGGTGTATATCTGTTTGAAGTGAAGAAATCTGTTCCCACTGTCACAGAGTTACTCAAACCCAACAAAACTGAATTCCTTAGAAGGGTTTCTTAACTCCGTAAAAAATTTCTTACAGTGCTCAAAGTCTGGCAAACACAGCTGAGATGCGTGAAACACATTTTTGGCAATGCTCACCTTGGCAAGTGTCCCCTGTGGTTTCATAGCCGGGGAGACATTGGCACTGGCCCACTGGAACCACCCATTCACCCTCAGCTGTGCAGTAGATGCGTGGGGTGGCCTGACTGACAGCATTCTCCACGCAGGCTCCCTCCACTTCCTTCAGAGCGTCTGCCACCGTCTCTGGGAAGGCTGCCAAGCTCTGCACGGTGGACGGGCATGTCTTGTAGTACACCCTGACAGAGAGCAGGCCCACACAGGCTCCCATGTCCTGGAAAGCCAGGTAGAAGCCTTTTTCCGACAGGGGCCCCACCGTTCTAGTCTCTGTGTTGACGATCAGCGTATTGCGCTGGGACACCTCGTCGGGAGCAATAGTGGCCACTTTGCGGAACTGCCCTTTACGGAATTTGGTCCCCACGTCCGCATCAGCCTCAGAAATAAAGAGGTTGATGGTTTCTTTGCAGGACACAGAGGCCCCGTTAAAACTGTTGCAGTCTCGTACGACGAACTTGATCTCCACAGACACGCGGCTGACTCCTGGCTGCCGCTGAATGAATGTTGTGCGTAACCAGTTATCCTGTTCAGCAGTGTCTATGCTACAAACACTGTAGGTATAAAAAAGCGAGCCATTCACAACTCTCTGGATAATCTCCCACTGCAGACAAGAAGATAAAGACAGAGTACACATGTCAGTTTATGGGGGCAAAAGTCAACGTTACATTGTAACAATCATGATGAATAACGAAAGAGACGCTTCCTTTTTTGTCTCAACAGAAAAATTGCTGGGAATCTTTGTTCCTTTCAAGAAAAAAATAAAAGCCCTGATGAGACAACTTCTTTCATGCTCACTGAGGCTCATAAAGCTCAGAAGTGAGCCGAAGGCTTTTACCACACATTAAGATTATTGGTCTGGACATGTGCTGAACTCTCAACGTGTGTGGTTTTCCATTAACACGCATGAATGCATTGTGTAGGACATAAATGCAGCAAATACTACTGTAGAATACCAATCTAACATTTATGACAGTTAAACAAGCCTTGTAAGCACAGGGCTGGAAAAGGCATGTAAGCCGAATTGCCAGCAATTAAGAGTTTTTATGAGAGGGAAGCAATGAAGAGTATAAAGATTAAGAGATTTAATTTCGTATCAGAACTTAACGACTCATCTGTTAGCAGTTCAGGTGGGTTTATGGGACAATTGACAGCTTGAACTTTTGTTTCATTTTTGTTGATTTCTAAAAAAAAATTTGGAATGAAAAAAATCTGTCATCTTTGAGCTTTCTACAACGCAAAAGTGGAGAAATGTTCACATGGCTACATGAGAGGAAATGCTCACAATACAGCAGCTATTCCGACATCCTTGAATCTCAGAAAACATTCACAAGAAACATCCCACACACTCGAACTGGCCATGTCCTGTTACTTATTTTAGATGGAAAGCAAGTGAACTATAGATAGGGACTAGATGAGGAGGTTTGTACATACGGGCCAAATTTTGTTTTCTTTTTTTTCCCCACTCATGATTTCCCATAATAAACATTGTCTTGTGTGTTTATTCTGTAAAATTAAAAAAGGAATAACAAACAAGAAAAAAGTCTTAACATATGGTTTTTACACATACAGCCATGTGAGACAGCAATCTTGTGTTACTTCATAAAACACACTCTAGCACTGCAAATTTAAATGTAGGTTGAACCTTGACATTTTAATGGTATTCATAAGCTCTTTATGAAAGGGTAGAATTAACACAAGACGAGCTAAGCTTTGCCAAACCTCACCGAGCTGCCGCTCATTCCATCTCTCCTAGGATGCTTTTTTAGTGAGCTGTGTGAGCAGACACAAACCTCTATAACTGTCACCAAGCAGGTTTTACATTTGTGACAAAAGAAAAAAAAAAAGAGAGCTTCCTCACTTCAGGTCCTACTCAGAGAAAAAATAGTCTCAAGACATAGACCTGGAGTCTTAAAAATGCCTGTTGAGGTATAAATACTCACCCCGTTCTCATTTGGCACCGCCAACCATCCCAACTCTGATCCTAAAGCTCTCATATCCAGTAGTACATCTGTGGGGACAAACGGTAAAAAATAAAGTTAAAGCAAAAAAACACATGACATACAGTAGTGGAGGCACAGCGGATAATTAACCAAGAAAACTAGATTATAAACATGTAGTCATAGACAAAAGCTCAACAAGTATACACATAAATGTTTGAGTGATTCTACCTCTGACACAATACTTCATCAAATATTAGTGGATAGGTTTTTTAACTGAATTTAAACTGCCTTGATTTGACCCCACAGTTAAATTCTCTGCCTTGATCTTAGGGGGCAACAGTTTTATGGGGGGCACATGCCATGCTTTGACATTTTAATCAAGCATGTCGGTCTGATTCAGGATTTCATTGAGCATGTCCCCCAGGTCCGGGATGCAGGAATAATAGTGTCTGAGAAAGGCGTGGGCAGCTGAATCGCCATGACCAGAGAAATACATGACTGTGGATTTAGTGAAACAAAAACTGACACGCTGAATGTTCATACAAGAGCCCTACAGAAACACATGCTAAGGATGAGTAGTTTTATGTGAAAAGATCTATAGATGCGAGTAAAAAAGTTATCAAAAGCTATTTTCACATATCAATTTAAATTATTCTATATTTCCAGTAAGTGGGGTGGTCGATAGGCCTAAACATGTACCATACTGTTCATTATCTTAGAACTGAATGTAAAAAAAAACAAAAAAAAAACATAATAAATAGTGAATTTGACACATCTGAAACTTTATGTCCTCAGAATCGAAAAGGAACCGGTAAAGCTTTAAATCTGGCAATTCCAACGTCCTGACTCATGAGGTGGGGTAAAAGTTACACCACATCCGTCTCTCCATACAAAACTCATTTAAAGAAAAGAAATACTTACGTTCTTTTGACTGAAGGCTGATAAATACACTGTTAATAAATAAAACGAGGAATAAGTTGAGCCCGCGGAGCGCCATGATTCCACACAACTTTGAAAAAGTCGTGTCCGAGTATCCCAAAATCACTGCGCACTTCCACGCCGGCCGCTCTGGCTCCGCTTCTCTGAATAACTCCTCACACGGGCGGCGCACGAGCCCAGAGCCCATTGAGAAACAGGTGGCGCCACGGCTCCGCCCCGCGCGCTTTGGAATGCGGAAGCTTACCAAATATGGCATTCAGGGGCGGAGCCTAGTCTCAAAGGCACCTGTCTGTTTTAAGGCTCCCACTTTGTGTGACGGTAATACTGTATAGCAGTTATCATTAAAGTGTTTTCCTCCATAACATGAGAAAACGTTTATGTGCAGCTGGCTATTTGGTGAAGGGAATGCCATCATTCTCCTTTATCTTTTTTTTAAATAAAACTTTTCCATTGTGTGATTTCCATGATTGAATTAATAAAACATTATATCTATCCGCAATTCAATACTAGTGCCATTGTTAAATGTATATTTCTTATTATGAAACTGATTGAAATTGGGTGGACATATATGTGTATATATATGTATCCTTTTTTCATAATATAATTAGCTAACCTTAAAAAAGGAAAAATCTAACTTTAAACATTGCATTCTCATTTTGAGTATTTCTTGGGTTTCTTCATATATGTTTTAAGAATTTGATTGAAGCAGTATAGATGGAAACAATAGGGTGTCATTTTTATTTTTATTTTATAGATAGATATATATGCAGTGACATTAAAAGTACCCTTTACTCAGACAATTATTTGACCGTCCAAGCAGTAGCCTCATCCACATCTCACCCAGGTCTTGTCTTTCCCACGACTGGTAAAGGAGGGGTCAAGTGGGGGGGAGTCTAGTATGAATATATGACTACTAATGAGACTGAACCTCACAATTTGGGTATGAATATGTTACCACAAAAAAAATCTTACAATGGTATCACCTAGCAACTCTGATCTGAAGGAATGTCAGAGTCAAGTCTTTTCTGTGAGGCAGGGTGCACTTGGAAAGAGGAGCCCCTCAGGCTGAGAGCCCAAGACAGCTGACTATTCTGACAAAGAGCATCTAAAACTCAACTGAAGGATTGCACATTGTCTTGTCCAACGTTAACATACACGGACATTAATCATACAACAGAAAGAATGAAAGATGCCGTTGAAAGAAATAGATTAACAAGTTAAGTGTGGGTTGAAATATGACTTTCTGACCTTAAATATCTCATCTGCTCTAATTACTTAAGGGAACTAGTTTTGGTAAATCTAATTGGAAATTAATTCAACAGTCAAACCATTTCAGACAAGAAATAAAAAAAGACTGTTGGCTTATTTGATTTTACATTTCTGTTTTTTTTTTTATTCCCTCTGTTGTCACCTAAGTATTTAAGATTTGGACATGTGCTATGTTTAAAGGAACGTTTCTTTATTTTGTGAACTGCACCAGAGGGTAAATTTTTTTCTGCAATTTTATATCCACAATAATGCCATTTTTAAGAAACACTTAAAGAGATTCTTAAGAAATCAGTTTAAGTTTGGCATCTGAGGAAAAACATGACATGACGCCATGGTATGAAATCTTCACATCCTTCACTTTAAAATACTCCAAGTTAAGTGTGTTTGAAGTGTAATCGAGCTTTGTAGGAAACAGCCATTTTAAGCACACTCATGACACTTTCTCTGCAATCTTTACTGGTTTTGATACACATTGAGGTACACTTAGGTGTTACTCTCAAGTGTGCTAAAGCTCAGACTCCGAGAGTGGTTTCTGTTGTCGTCCAGTTCTCGAGGGGTGTCAAAGGTTAACACCCTCTCTAACACACAAGTATGCAAATGCTTTCATTACAATACAAGCTTCTTTTCATTCACCTAACAGAGCATGTGTCGTGCTGGAGAGTGGACTGCCGCCTAACAGATCGCTCAGCCCTCCGGGTGCCCAAACCCCCACCCCTCCTCTCTCACTGCCCCTCAGGTCCCGGGCTTCTGAGGGTGATGACAGCACAAAAGTACTTCACACTGGGGGCTGGGCCTGCATTTTGTGGGTCAGTGAACAACGGCCGATGCAGCAACACCATGTCATTCAGACCCAGCTTCCCCCTCACTCCCCCGCTTCTTGTGGTATCAGCAAACAGAGGTGGAACTCTATAGAAAGCGCTGGGGAGTTTTTGTGAACGGCTAACATAAAATGCACCTACTGTTTTCCACCACTCTCACAGGGAGAACCCTTGAAATCCTTGTTAAGAAATGATGGATTCACTTGTTTATGCATGGTTATCACTAAACCAATGGTGGTGAAAGAGGCACTCACATTATTTATCTACCACACTACACTTTTTCCCCCATGTACTGATTAAGGTCAGTTACATGACCTATGACGCTGACAGATTTAAAGGTAAGCCTTGAAATTGTTTGACTGGTGAAGTAAAACTTTATGCTCCATTTTCTTTGGCACTGTATACTTTCTAACAAAAGAAGTTCATACATTTTATGTTTACGTTAAACATTATCTCAAAAAGGAACAATAACTGGTCATTCAATGTAAATCCTGTTAAATAGTAGGCCAATACAGCACACAGCATTTTGCTGTCACATGGATATCACACAGTGGTTTGGATTAAAGCTTCCTTTGGATAAATAGATAAAGACTCACAGCTGCATGAAATGGAAGTATTGACCCAGGGGTACCCTAAATTGATCCATGTACCATTTAGGAGTCTGTCTTTTGGATCATTGTTTGATGTATTTGTAGTTTGGGTTGTAATGAGCAAAGATTGAAAAACTTACTGATTTTGCTGATTGGATCTGAATCACTGATTCTGAGGTCTGTAATAATAGATAGGTCTCCATAGTTTTGGAGATAGGCTGGCTGGTTTTGTGAAATTTGAATGAGTTTACAGGGTGGGACTTGTCAGCCACTAGAAACTGTCCAATTTATCATCAGATAACAGAAATCACACAAAGCACGAGTTGTGCTTTACAGCAAGGAAAATAGATGATGTGTTGACAAAGTGAAGAGATAATGCTGCTCGGCAACAATGACATTCTTTAGTTCATAGCAAAGTGTTCAAACATGACTGAGCCACGCACATGCAAGAATTTCACAGAAACTGAACAAACACCCCACATTCTGAAACACGTGCAAAATACTTTGATCCAATGACAACGCGTGAAAACCAGTCTTTTTTATCTTCCCCAAAAGGTTGGGAAAGACTTTTTCCTTCTCTCTGTCGTCTGTTCTTTGTTGGAAAAAGCTGTGCATTTTTTCCCCCTGCATGTCCTCAGCTATTTCCTTTTAAAAGCGCCCCATGCCGCCTCTGGAAACACTACCTCTCAGAGGTGGAACTCAAAGCAGACCCGTCTGTTGTCATTGCCGGCTGTGTTTTGTGCCGGTAAGGACTAAGGAACAAAAGAAACACGTCCTGACAAGTTTTGTTCTGTGACGATGAGAAATGTAAGAATGTGGTTAGAGACACAGAGCATTACTCATCTGAACACGGGTTTGGTCTGATGGCGACTCTGCTCTGATCAGTCAACGGTGCCTGCATTAGCAATGACCTAATGCATCAAAGAGCAGCTGCAGAGAAAAATTTCCCTGGAAGCTCGATAGACATAATTTTTGCAAGACGCACAACAAAGATGCTTTGAAATATTAAACCACCGTAAATTACCTTTGCCTTTAAGGTTACATATCCCATAACAAGTCTTTCCCAACCCTAAAATTACTGCAAGGACCAACAAGTCATTTGAAAACGAACCCACCGTTTATTACTTGGTATTAAGTTCTCCTTTTTAGTATGTAACAGGTTGTGTATTCAAATTTATCCCAGACTGAGGTCACTGTAATCCTCCTTGTCTGGCAAGTAATAGTGGATAGGAGCAGGGGGGGGGGGGTGGTGGTGAGAACATGACTGAAAGTGAAATCACCTCTACTAAAGCTCTGTGTTAAATGTAATGAGTGTTGGCAAAGCAGCCCTAATAAAGATCACAACACACATTCATATGCATTGGTTTGTGTGCTCAGCTTGACGAAGTCTGCCCCACAGGCTTAACAAAGAGAAGGAAGGAAGCCAGGGGGCAGTGGGGAATGCCTGAGGGGGGTGTGTGGGGTGACAACACACACACACACGCGTGCGTGGGGTAGGGTACAGCCCGCGTCCTATCGTCTCTCAAGGCTGGGGTTATAGCAGTGACAGCTGGGCCAGCACACTCTGCATGGGCTCATTCTCTCTTCAGCGGCCTAACCCCCTCCACACAGGAACACAGCCAGAGTCTGCGGCACACACAGACACAGGATGCTCCATCCTGTTTACTGTTTACTCTTCACGGTAGCGGGCCAACTTGGGAGGGCCCTGCAGTGTGATCACAGGCACCACAGCTGTCTGTAAGGTGGCCGTGTTTTCTCTTAATTGTAGGTGTTCCAATTTCCACTTGGTTTCTCCGTGCAGTCCTTGTGTTCACCATAGTGCCAAGACACTTCAAGGACTCCTTAAACATGATACAGCACCAAAGCCGAAGGCTCTCAAAGATCTGACGCAGCCGTTGAGGGAAACTGTCAACTACCGATGGACGCTGTTCTGCAATCAGCATCCCAAAATCCAAACATTAAAAAACACAAAGGACAAATGATCCTATCTGTAACTCTGAGAAAATAAAAAGTTAAGGAGCTTCTTAGTGATTCCGAGGAACGGTTAAGTCGAGGGTGCTGTGAAGTCCACATCTGTTCAGGGGAAACAAAGAGGAGGACGGTGTGGTCAGTGTGGTCCACAACAATCACTGCTGAGCCAAAAGGACACCTGCTTTGTTAGAGGTAGGCCTTGATTCAGAAGGGTGATGGTATGAGACAGCTGAACAATGCAGAAACCAGAGGCTCACGTCCATCCACTGAGTGTCACCCTTTGGAACCATTCAAAATTTCTGTCCATGTTTTTCAAAGGTTTTGTATGGACAAATTATATTTTGGAGGTTTGATTTATTTGTTTATTTATTGTTGTTTGTTTGTTTTATTGTGATTATACTTTCTGAGGACAGCTTGAGTGATTTCCAACTCCACAGAAGGATTTTTTGGATAAAAGAAGAAGCTATATCAGTCAGAGACCAACAGGGGTCCCTCTTGTTGTGATAATAGAGTGCAGGGTACAGCTATAAACAGCTGATAAAATACATCAACACTCTTCTCTGAAATGTTCATTATTAGGAAATACATATACACAAATATTTTAAAGGGGATCTTATCTATAAGTAAAAACCCTTTTTGCTTTTACAAAGAACTTCAGATAATGCACAAGGAAACAGGAAACTCAATATACAAGAAAACAAAGCAGTGTTTCCAACAGCACACCCAAAATATCCCTGTTACTTTCTTTGTGTTTTTTTCACAAAGAAATCACGTTGTCACATTGCTTGTAAAGTTGTGGTCTGAAAGTGTTACTTTTGGAGGTTGGACTATTGTGATGTGACCTAGGTCGTACACAATTATGTTTTAAAAAAGAAGCTCTTTCTCTCAAACACACGCTTTGCTTCCATTTAGTCTTCCAGACTCTGCTGATAAGTCTACGGAAAGCTAACAAAGAGATCAAAAGGTCATTTTATTTAAGTTTTAATGCAAACCCAAGCAAAGTGCAGTCAAACTGATTTGTGACAGAGGATTTTAGTCTTACACAACAAACAGGAAAAAAGACAGGATGTTTTTCTACCTTTTAATAAGTCTTTATATATTTAACCCCATCGTGGAAGCTAGATATGCACATAAAACTACTTCACTTTGTACAATTACATTAAAAACAAGTTAACGTTATTATTTTGAAGGTGTAAACAGCCGGGAGCTGGATTTGGACGCCTCTTCACATTTTCTGACTTTTCCCCCAAAGAGCTGAAATGTTTACTTCCTTCGTCTAGGTTCTGAGACAGGACCCCCCAGTCCAGACGAGGGGAACCGGTGTTGTGCGAAAAAGTGAATGTTTGCGAGAATCTGATTAAGCTCGCGGGAGCGCGCACCGCAGCCCGCTGAGCGATACCGTAAACCTGCTTTTCTCTGGATTAAACGGTCATGACATGCAGATACACACAGTTGCATTATAATATAGGCCTTATTAAATTATAATATAGGCCTAATTAAAGATTCGAAAGCTTAACGTTTGTCACATAACGGCAGTTACGTGACAGACATGTTTCTATACTCGGTCTGATGACTTTGTGTAGCCCTGACATTGGAGACTACACTACGATAAATATGATTCACTGGAGGCTTTTCGATAAAGATATGATAACTTTTGCAACGATCCTCGTGACTCTGCATTGTTTCTTATCTGATCTGGCCGTATATAGCACGAGTTTCCCATGTTTCTATTTGTTTTGCAGTTTTCAATCGGTTTTCACCTGTCAAAAATTGATTGAAGGCACAGTATAGTCACTCAAAGGTTATTTCTACCTAAATATGACTAGATTTCCTTCAGGAGATGCATGATTTAAAGATCTGAGCTCACAAAACAGCTTGGAACTCTTTTAAAGGACCATTACAACACAAAATAGCCATTTTGACTTGCAAAAAATGTATTAAAGCCCAAATGCTGTCATTCAAAGGGGATATCTGCTCAAATATGACTTGATTTCATTCAGAAGCATCTTATTTTAAATAGAACAAGGCATTTTTAGGCAAAAATCACATTTCTCCAACCACATTTGGCCTTTAATCAATTTCTAGCAAGGTGTTTTGACCTCAGCCGACTTGCTAGAAACTGATTAAAGCCCAAATACTGTCATTCAAAGGGGATATCTGCCAAAATATGACTTGATTTCATTCAGAAGCATCCTATTTTAAATAGAACAAGTCCTTTTTAGGCAAAAATCACCTTTCTTCAACCACATTTGGCCTTTAATCAATTTCTAGCAGGGAGTTTTGACCAGCCGACTTGCTAGAAACTGATTAAAGCCCAAATACTGTCATTTAAAGGGGATATCTGCCAAAATATGACTTGATTTCATTCAGAAGCATCCTATTTTAAATAAAGCAAGTCCTTTTTAGACAAAAATCACCTTTCTTCCACCAAGTCGGCTGAGGTCAAAACGCCCTGCTAGAAATTGATTAAAGGCCAAATGTGGTTGAAGAAAGGTGATTTTTGCCTAAAAAGGACTTGTTCTATTTAAAATAAGATGCTTCTGAATAAAATCAAGTCATATTTTTGCAGATATCCCCTTTAAATGACAGTATTTGGGCTTTAATCAGTTTCTAGCAAGTCGGCTGGTCAAAACACCTTGCTAGAAATTGATTAAAGGCCAAATGTGGTTGGAGAAAGGTGATTTTTGCCTAAAAATGCCTTGTTCTATTTAAAATAAGATGCTTCTGAATAAAATCAAGTCATATTTGGGCAGATATCCCCTTTGAATGACAGCATTTGGGCTTTAATACATTTTTTGCAAGTCAAAATGGCTATTTTGTACGGAGCCCCTCTGATGACATGGTCAAAAAAAATAAAATAATAAATACTACTTCGTGGCCACGCAAAAAGTATAACGTGCGCACGAAATACTACTTCGTGGCCACGCAATCGAAATACCAAATAATAATATTAATATCATTCCTGGACCAAATCGAGCGCGCCTTCTTTAGAACCTGCAGTAGCCTACGTACGGAGCCTCGTACCTGCTTGATGTCATTAAGGTCAGTGTCTTTGGTTTATTCAATATCTTGTTATCCCACATTTATGCAGTTATCTGTTGACGTCTCACCCGAGTAACAAACTTTTTATTCTCATCCTGTTACTACACCTTGTTTTGTTGTGCTAATATGAAGCCGTAAACTCATTTGTGTCTGTAGGAGCTGCAGCCCTGCACACACATCAGGATACTTTTCAAGTAGAGCTGAGGGGTGTAGGCATACTACTAAGCAAGGTATGTTGCCAGAGTCTTCTGCGTCACGAAGGTGTCTTTCTTTTAACCTGGCTAGATCTCCATGCTAACTTATGCTGCAGACCTAACCTGGTCCGGTGTTGTGCGAAAAAGTGAATGTCTGCGAGAATCTGATTACGCTCGCGGGAGCGCGCACCGCAGCTGATGAGCGATACCGTAAACCTGCTTTTCTCTGGATTAAACGGTCATGACATGCAGATACACACAGTTGCATTATAATATAGGCCTAATTAAATTATAATATAGGCCTAATTAAAGATTCGAAAGCTTAACGTTTGTCACATAACGGCAGTTACGTGACAGACATGTTTCTATACTCGGTCTGATGACTTTGTGTAGCCCTGACAGTGGAGACTACACTACAATAAATATGATTCACTGGAGGGTTTTCAATAAAGATATGATAACTTTTACAACGATCCTCGTGACTCTGCATTGTTTTTTATCTGATCTGGCCGTATATAGCAGGAGTTTCCCATGTTTCTATGTGTTTTGCAGTTTTCAATCGGTTTTCACCTGTCAAAAATTGATTGAAGGCACAGTATTGTCACTCAAAGGTTATTTCTACCTAAATATGACTAGATTTCCTTCAGGAGATGCATGATTTAAAGATCTGAGCTCACAAAACAGCTTGGAACTCTTTTAAAGGACCATTACAACACAAAATAGCCATTTTGACTTGCAAAAAATGTATTAAAGCCAAAATACTGTCATTCAAATGGGATATCTGCCCAAATATGACTTGATTTAATTCAGAAGCATCTTATTTTAAATAGAACAAGTCCTTTTTAGGCAAAAATCACCTTTCCTCAACCACATTTGGGCTTTAATCAGTTTTTTAGCAAGTCGGCTGAGGTCAAAACGCCCTGCTAGAAATTGATTAAAGGCCAAATGTGGTTGAAGAAAGGTGATTTTTTCCAACACCGGACCAGATTCTGTTCACAGCTTGAAATCAGCTTAAAAAGTGCCCTTTTCACTGATCATCTCCTTTGAAAGTAGCATCGTGTGTGTCAGACTCTCAGCTGAGGTAATACATAGGTTATATGAACCGCAACGTTTAATGATGCCACCAGACGAAGCCGTGCAGTGATCAGAATCTAGTTTTTATTGATTTGCAGGTTTTTGTTGCTCTGACTGAAATACTGAATGTGTCTCTAGTGTTCTCTGGACATTTGTCCTTCAATTAAATCACAGAATATTAAAAGTTCACTATATTATTGATCAGCCTGACGTTTACATGCAGATGAAATGTGCTATAATTCCTTTAAACCATTATGTTAACACTTTGATGATGTTTGGTCCTGATTCGCTGAAGTCCGTTTTATACTGCTGGTATATTACAGCTAATAGAACCCTGATTAGAAAATTGCTCAATCCTTTATTACCACAGATAATATCTGATCAATAAAAATCATTCCATTTAGTCTTTTGCCAAAGACTAAAGTGATTTCATAGGACAGTGTCAGAGCTTGAGCATAATGATTAAATGAGCTGCATCAACTTTAAAGTTTCAGAGCTCTACAATGTGCAGCTGTCACCACAAATACGGGAGGCACTGTGAGTGCACCGAGTGCTCAAATAAATATATTAATTTACACTGTAATAAAGTGACTGTATTTTGCAGTAATGGTTTTGCTTTTTGCAGCATAATAATAATAATAGCAGGGACATGGGGCAATATGTGATTTGGAATCATAGAATCTGGAAAATCTACTACTTGTCAATTCATTTTGTTTTCCTGTGGTTTAGAGGGCAACTATGGATACTCGGCTGCGAGAATTTTTGATGGAGCGCAAACTTGAAGAAGATGTGATCCAGAAACTTGAAGATGAGAATGTAAGCCACTGCAGCTGCTGTCTTTACTTGCCTGGTGTGTGTGTGTGTGTGTGTGTGTGTGTTGTGTATTTTTTTCCAAACAGAATTTTAATATTTACTGAAAGTTTGTGTAGAACATGGTCACACCAGAACAGATAGGCTCAATGCACAAAATCAGATGCACTCTATAAAATGTTATATGTTTTAATTTTTTTTAAAGATTTTTTGGCTCTAGTGGCCTTTAATGACAGTAGGTTGACAGGAAGGGGGTCAGAGATAGAGAGGGGGAGACCTGCGGGAAAGGGCCGTGGGCCGGATTCGAACCCAGGCCGCCCGCTTACGAGCAGAGGCTCTGTATATGGGCCGCCCACTCTAACCATAGTGTAATCAAGTACATCAACTGTATTTACAGAATAATTTAAAGTAATTCTTGGTCATCTCAAGTTGGAAAAATATGTGCACCATTACCAAAAGTAAATTGGTCAAAAGTAGTTATCAAAAGTAGGCTGCATAAAATGAAACTAATGATGTGAATAACTACACCCTTACACCACCAATATAGCTATATTCTTAACTTCCTTTAGATATCCATTGGCATTCTATGTTATGCATTTGTATGTATTAATTCGTTTTTTTATTGACTAATTTATTTATTTTTATTTTTATTTTTTCAGATTGATGAAACTGTCATTCCTTTAATGACAGACAGTGACCTGGCAAAGTACATCCCCAAAGTTGGAGATAGAGTCTCCACTGTGGCCTTCTGCAGACAAGCAACACTGTCACAAAAATCACCATCTAGGAAAGAATCCATACTCTCAAGGCTACGACAAAGACTGTCTGGAGCTGAGGGGATGCCTCCAAAAAAGAGATCATCTAAGTGGGCGGAAAATACAAATGCCAAACGGAAAGTGAGACGAATTGAGGTTGGCTGGATGGATTTTGATGAGGAGAAGGAGAGGTACAAACAGGTGAAGTCTGTCAGTGGTGGAGGCACGAGGCATCTGTCTATTGACAAAGATGAAACAGTGGCAAATATAAAACTTATGGCTGAAGATCTTTTTTTCCCCAATGGCCTTTCAAAAAAAAACAAATGTCTTTCACACTATTCAACTCATATTGAGAGTTCACAGATACATGTTGATGTGACTCATACAGTAGAAGAGTTGTATAGTCAAAGCAAGGTAAAAATTCTGCGACTTTATCTGTGCACCAAAAAGAATACAGGACAGCAGCCCTCAGAAGTGGAGGGTGATCACGCAATAAGCCACCCCTCAGTGGTAGATCTCACTAACAACGAACACAATCAGGCCGATGAGGATCTGTTGGTGGAAAACAGAAATTCTGAATCATATTTGGAACTAAACGACACATTAGCATGGGATGGTCTGCCAACTGAAGATTCTGATGTAGTTTTTATTTTAAGTGGGGATGACATGCTGGATGTAAATGTGGATGAACCAAACCTTGAAACACTCTTTTCAGAAAAAGAGGATGCTGCACCTCATCAAACAGTGGATCTGTCACCAGTGCTTGCAGGAGAGGCCAATGTTCCAGACCAAGCACTTCCTGAACCACAATCTTGTCCAGCAACACTGATTGTAAGAAGAGGTCACTGTCTCACTGACTTGATCAGTGCCTTTAAGGACCCAAACATTTTTGAATCTGAGGTGAACATCAAAATGCGTTTACCAAATGGAGAGCTTGAACAGGGGGAAGGAAGTGGTGTTTTGCGAGACTGCCTGACAGAATTTTGGATTGATTTCTATGACAGCTGCACACTGGGAGTTGAGGTGAAAGTCCCCTTCATCAGGCATGACTTTCAGTGTGAAGAATGGCAGGCTGTAGCTAGAGTGTTTGTAATAGGGTGGAAACAAGCTGGTTACTTCCCAGTGAAGCTTGCAATACCATTTCTGGAAGAGGTGCTGTATGGCTCGACAACCAGTAGTTTCAAGGATTCATTTTTGCTGTATGTATCACAAGAGGAAAGATCTGTCCTCCTGAAGGCTTTGGAGGACTTTAATTCAGTGGACACAGATGAATTGCTGGATGTACTTGATGCACATGAATGCAAGCAAGTCCCTACCAAGGACACACTGCTCCCTGTTTTGGCACAGATTGGACACAAAGTAATCGTTCAGGCCCCAATGTTTGTAATTAAGTGCTGGCGTCCTGTTGTGGGTTCTGTAGCTGGTTTACTACCACCAGAAGGACTGCATAATTTCATTGCACAAAAAAAGCCAACTGCAAAAACAGTGAGGGAGCTTCTAAACTTTCCAGAAGAGATGACAGCAGCCCAGTCAACAGTTTCTCGTTACCTGAAAAGGTACATTGGGGAAATTGATTTCAACAGTCTTCAGCTTTTCCTGCGGTTCTGTACAGGATCCGATCTCTTGGATAAGGCCATACTAATTGAGTTCATAGAAACCACAGATTTCCTCCGCAGACCACAATCCCACACATGTGGATGTGTACTAAAGCTGCCCATCGGTTACTACAGCTATCCAGATTTTCGCAGCGAATTTAACAGTATTCTCACAAGCTCAATGTGGGTAATGGATGTGGTGTAGGTAACAATACAAACAATAACATGCACGATGTGACAGCTCCTTGCTAGACTGGATGGTTTTGTTATCTTAACTATAGCCAGTTGTGCCTTTTTTATGTGCGGTATTTTATTTTATCTGCTTTGAAAGTGGTTGTTATACTTTAAAGACGTTTAAATAACATTATTTTGTAACTATCAGTATGATGCTGGCTAACAGGAGGTTTGAAAACTGTTCTTAACCTGTTATGTGCAAAATACAACCTGGTTTTGACTATGGTGTATTTTGAAAAAGACCAGTAGACTATTTAAGTTTGTACAAAATGTTGATGTCCTCTCGGTTACATTCTGTACATCTTTGCACTTTAATATTTCTAATGACACCACCCAGTTATTTTACGTCTCACTCTCTAGTGTTATAAATGTGCTGTGATTTGTTCTGAAATACAAAGTTCTTTATCAAACATTGGATTGTTTTAATGTCTTCCACAAAAACAAAAACAGAGGCTCAGGAAACATACGGAGCATTGATGATACAAACATTATAATAATACACTATACTGTAGCCTACTTGGTCTCTTGTCTAATTGATAATAACATTAGATTGATGATATCGCCAGTCTGTGTGGTTGCTGTCCAGGGTGCTATTGTCCTCGTTAGAGATGGATACATTTTTTGTGTTATCCCAATAAGAGATCAGTTTATTTTTGTAAGTTTACCCTAAAGCAAAACACCAAAAACATGTAACAACCAAACTTTGTTATAAACAACTTTTGAAGCCTTTACAGTTTGACAAGTTTAATATTAATTGAAGGATAATAACTATAGCCAAAAAAGATTAATTTTGTCTAACTTGTACAACTATTTGAGTCAAACATTTCTTATTTTCTAGCTAACAATAGCTATCAGTACTTAATGATGAGTTAATTTACTGACACATTGCTAAAACTGAAAACAGTAAGTTATACAGTCTTCTGATTATTTTGGTTTAAACAAAGACACAAGATAACCACACAAACAAAGTAATATGTACATTATACTGTAAAAACATGTACTAAAGTACCAAATTTACTACACGATTTGTATGCTTGTGTCCATTTAAATAGCCTCAAATAACTGTGGACGAACCGTGTCCCTCAGATGAAAATACAAATCAAGTGCCTGGGACATGGTTGATGGGAACTCCAAGCTTGATTCCTCCATTATTATTGTGCACAAATCAAACACGTCCACATCACATGGGACTGAACTGACAAATGTGCAGCTGTCTTTACATGTGGTCAAATCTTCAGTCAGTGGAACAAGACAGTCTTCTGCACCCCAAAGGTGAGGGGCCATGTACATGACATCAGGTATCCCACTGGGCACGTTGGTGTTTTTGGAGGGCCTTATACGGTGAGCATTCCAAACACCCCGGATGTCATTTAATACCTCCTGTTGAAGAAACAAGACCAATTAAGTCATACAGTGGGGCATACAGTGCATTTTAAAACAGTAATTAGAGCCTATAATAAGTGAAATATCATCCTCTTTATTCTCTGCCTTTGCAGTGGGTAAGAAAAACAAAAGTTTGTGTTGAGCAAATAAAAGTATCTTGACAATTATTATTTCCACAACAGTCTAAAGAATCAATACATAACATACATTAAATAAACAAACTCATAGTGGCTTAAATCTCTTAAGATTACATGAAGGTAATGTAGAGTTGATGGTACAGTTTCTGGGTTTTTTGCTGTGATCATAATATAGGCTAATTACCTGAATGATTGGCATGAAACAGAACTGTGACAGAGCTTTGTCAATGAAATCTCCAGCGAATAATCCCTCATCCTTCAGTTCTGCCAGAAGCGTGATCCATGGTTCTATTCCTTCTTTTCTCATCACTCCCCACCAGCTCTCAATTCTCTGGTTTGCGGTACTTGCTCCTGTGATATAGCTTCTCTCCGCTGCTCTGTCATCCACGTCATTTCTCCGTAAATACCGCTGAAGGTCTCTGACCACCACGTTCTCAGTGCCCATGTCAGTTCGTACGAGCCTGGGGCAGCCCCCACAGCGCTCCACTGCTTCCACAAAGTACGCCCCGATGACTTTCGGGTCGCTGTTAGTGAGGGCGGCCCGCAGCCAAATGATGTTGCGTGAGAACCCGTCGATGCAGCCATTAATGCATATCCCATATGGCTTCAGTTTGTCATATGAGTCTATGTGCCACACAAAGTTAGGTCCCTGAGCAAAATATTGCCTCCTTCTGAGACGTCTGGTCTGGCGAACTTGGGAACCGATGGGGTCCAGTAGAGAGAGGAGGATCCTGACGTCTTCTTTTCTGATAGAAATACCGTGTTGTTTACACTTTGTAAACATCCACCGGTAACCGTGATTATTCCCAGGGCCTTGCAGTTGGTCAACAATGAAACCTATCCCGGCGTCCAAGTCGTACCTTCGCCGGTAAAGCAACCTGGCTCTCAGTATCCGGTTTAAATGTCTCTCGGTAATGACGGTTCCTTGCAATGCCAGGCTTTTCAGAATGTCTTTGTAGCTCATTCCCAGCCTAAAATAAAATTCTATCATATTGTCCCTTTCCATCGTGGAGCTTTAGCCTCTCTGATGCCTCTACCTTAGACCTTAGAGAAGGCGCGCTCGATTTGCTAACCCAGTTGTCCAGGAATGATATTAACGTTATTAATAAGTATTTCGTGCGCACGTTAAACTTATTGCGTGGCCACGAAATAGTA